TGCGATGAGAAACATACTCGGACACGATGCCTTTTAAAAATACGCCGTAACTGGTTGGAAATACTAGGGATATACGGAAGAACTGCAGTACACCTTATATCGTCATCATTTCTTGTTCTGTTTACATTATTTGTCGCATGTCTTTCACCTTCTTTAATCAGCCATTCCGGGTACCCACACTCCTTTAATGATCGGCAAACCAGTTCCTTTTCTTTCTTTAGATCTTCCTCTTTAGTTACCAATGTTTCTGCCCTCCTAAAGAGGGATTTGACAACTCCTCTTTTAGTATCAAGAGAATGATTTGATTGGAAATGCAAATACTGCTAACGCACACAATCATGCATGATTTAGCGCCAAAAATCTTACGAAACGAGCTCGTTTAAAATATGTATTAGAAAACCAGCTATAAACCGCATCAATGACATACTATAGAATCATTACACGCTATGGTGTAGTCTAAACAAACACTGGATTTGAACGGCTATTTATATGAGAAGGCTACATGAATTTGTATATGGTCGAGTGATACGTACAGGTTCAGTTTCGATTATATATGCAAAGCTTAACCTCTCAACTACCGCGTGACAAAACGACTTTAAAATTATGTGAAATATAAAGGTACAATCAAAAGTTACATGTAGTTGTATTCGTATTTTTATGTTTATATTTAAATTACAGCAAAGAATGAGTCATTGCCAAACCAAGAAACAATATATTTCACTCTCAGTTTCACATATGATCATGCTATAACTTTGTGGGAATAGCGATGCATGTAATCTTTACATTTCTATTCAACATGCTATGCTTTCTTTTTATTTCCATGACCGACACATAACCATACAACTTTGAATGATGTTTCTCATTCCCTCATTGCCCCCGCTGCGTGTTTTTGAATGATATTATATTTTGAATGCCGCTTGTAGTTCCCTATGATGAATGTTTGGCCTTTACCCGAAATGATAAATGTTGCTTGGACATCTTAGTCATTGTAAGTGCCAGAATACTTTTTTATCGATTCCAATGAAAATGATTTCATTCATTGCAATCTTTAATACTTCACATGCAGTATGAGCAACATGCCCCTAGCCAGCTTTTAGTAAAGGGGAGGAGGCCCGAACATATCCCCCTGCCCACACATCAAAAATGTCCATGGTAAACCAAGACCTGATGCGATCCTGAAAATTCAGAGGGTGGGGGACGAAAACAAGGCATTAACATGACAAAATGTCACCACCTAGTTGCTCACAATATTATTAGTTCAATATTAAGTCAGATTTGAATTTCTGAGAAATTGGTCAATTTGAAGTTGAAAAATACCTTTTTTACCCTGACAAGGTCATTGGAGATGAAATCTCGAATCTAAAGTCAGATTTGAACTTCTGAGAACTTGTAGATGATTTTGAAAAAAAGAATTGGTCAATTTGAAGCAAGTTGAAAAAGACCTTTTTGACCTTGAGAAGGTCAAATATTTTTTTGACCTTGAGAATGTCAATGAAGGTCAAATCTACAGTCAGATTTGAACTTTTGAGAACTTGTAGATGATTTTGAAAAAAGAATTGGTCAATTTGAAGCAAGTTTAAAACATACCTTTTTGACCTTGAGAAGGTCAATGAAAGTCGAATATCAAATCTAAAGTCAGATTTGAACTTCTGATTGTATTGTATTGTTTTGTATTGTACAGGGTGTCCCGAAAGTATGGGGCCCCCCCTAGGCAGACATATTCCAGTGTCCTCATAAAACATCTCATATATCATTTTAAAGCTTATCCAAAGTTACATTGATCTGCCAAGTATCATGGTTTAACTCCCAAATGGGAAAAAGTTACAGTCATTTTAAAAGTTAGTGTTTTGTCAAAATAAAGTCCAATTTTACTCCACATTACTAGTGAATGAGTCCCCCCTTGGCCATGTTAACAGCACCAATTATTTTCATATATGACCTTAAAAGCCCTTCAAATAGAGGTGTGGTATTTTATAACCCTCTTAAAACCTGTTAAGGGACTTTAGAAGAGTTTCCTTAGAGTTTCTACCCTCACCGTTCTCTTTTTCCAACTCAATATCCATCCGACCCGAAAAGAATTGCTGCTGTTACGATGGCCCGGAAGGACACATTGACTAGTGATTTGGTGTAAAATTGAACTTCATTTTGACCAAACACTAAATTTTGAAATGCCTGTAATTTTTTCACATTTGAGAGTTGAACCATGATACTTGGTGAATCAATGTAACTTTGTGTGAGCTTTAAAATGATATATGATTCATACTATGACGACACTGGTATATGTCTGCCTAGGGGGGGGGGGGGGGCATACTTTCGGGACACCCTGTATTGTATTGAATATTTATCCTATAGTGATTTATTTATCCTATAGTAAGGGCATCGGAGAAGAACTGTACATGTAAAATTGTATGAACGTATCTTGCCCATTACTTTAGTTATCACTTTTGAAAAAGGGGTCGTTCATAATAATAAAATAATATAATAAATAATAATTTGCGGCTTATAGTTTCAAACAATAACGTTGACTCTATTTATTTTTACAATTCAATACTGATATCCAAGGAAACTTGTTTATTGTTTGACACACACACACATGTGATAAATACTATCTTATTTGAAATTAAACCAGACTTATTGAACGATTAACGAGAATATGTTAATTTCTTATTCATTTGAAAATTGCTCAGGTTTCGAAGTACCAATATAGTTCCAATGATGCCGCTTTAAAATATAATGTGTTCCCTCTGCAATTCAAGATAAAACCATCGCCATATGAATATTTTGATTTTCGAAATTTGTATTTTTTGAAATATCAATTATCGTAAATTGTCCCATAACCACTGTTTGCTCAATTAAGATTATCGTTAATTCAGTAAATATAGTATAGTCGGGAGTATAATACATTCTCGGATATTTTTGCAAAATAAATAGATAACTTGAATCTAGTTAAAATATTATATTTGCGACGACATCATGGCAGTGCTGTTCATCGTTAGGTTTTGCATAATAAATGGATGGATTGAATGTTTTTAAAATATTATATTTGCGATGACATTAAGAGATGTTTAAAAGATATGATACTATCAGCAACGCGTGAATTACTTTGAAGTCTACCTCAATAACATTTGCATTAGGTCTGTGAAATATGGATATTACGTAAAGATAGAAAGGATTAAATATTGAAATTAAATATTGAGTTTGCCATAACCGACAAAGCATTCATAATATCCTTTAACATTTGCATCATACAATTTATAATATTGAATGTACTGAAAAGTACAGATAGCCTTGCCCAAGTCGGTCTCTTTTACTTATCTTGATTTCTATTATGACCGCCTTGTACAATCCAATACATCTCCGCTGTTATTATGCTGAAATATTCAACGGTTTCGAGATTTCCATAATACCTACGCTATCAGGGGTATCGCGAAACCTTATTGATTGACAGGTATCGCGTGGACGGTAACTGGTCAAGTCGTACCCAAGACAACTCGTACCCAAGTCAAGTCGTACCCAAGACAACTCCTACCCAAGACAACTCGTACCCAAGTTTATGTTTTGTTTTCAATCAAGTGTTGAAATGGGAATGGGTATAGATATACATATTATAATTGTTACATACAGTTCAGAATAGTTTGAAGTCTGTAGAAGAGTTTTTGGAAGAAATCTTCAAGATGGTATTATTAAAAATATAAAGATTTATCAAACCTTGGGCCTAATTTCTCATTTAACAGATAATCTATTTAGGATTTCATATTATCAGATTAATGAATGTTAATTCTAAGAAGTCACATTCATAAAATTTAGCAATAAAATATTCTAAATAATATTATATTTTTCATACATGATATAATACACTTCGTATACATGTGCTCAAATATAATCCAATTAAGTTCAAAATGGAAAAGAAATTAACAGATTAAACTTTCGTTATTAACTTTATCTAAATGCACTTAGCTAAATTAATTGTTTGATTCATTTGTAGAAAGGTTACTGCTGTAATTATATTAATTTATATATATATATGTATGACAAAAAAAGTTGAGAACAAGCCCTTCAAAGCACTTCTTTTATTTAAAAAAGGTGATCCAAGTTAAAACAAAATGCTTTGCTTAATCCATTCAGGAAAAATGTCTTCTAAATTCAGAAAAAATATTGAGGCTTATTTGATTCACATAATAACAATTAAACATTATTATACAAACTCAATTTGTATTCTTATATGCACCCATAATACTGGAAATAACTTGGGTACGAGTTGTCTTGGGTACGAGTTGTCTTGGGTACGAGTTGTCTTGGGTACAAGTTGTCTTGGGTACGAGTTGTCTTGGGTACGAGTTGACTAGGAAGCGCGTGGACACTACGTGTGACTTCAGGCTGAATGACCAATCAAAACGTTATCAGGTTGAGCTGCATAAACAAAACAAACTTCCCATCTACGACTTGAAATTCAGATCTGATCGAGTGTTTCGTTAGAGTTACAATATATTATGTAATTAAATGTACATTGGAAGGTAAGAGTAATTAATATGAATTAAATCATGCGATTCAAGTTTTATTTAAAACTCATTTCGCGATGAAATTGTACGAAGACCTAGTCCAATGTAGCGGGTCATGTTCGTTGTCGTCGATCGGTGATTGAATCTCAGCCTACATGTTCAGCGATCGTTTCAACGTTTATTGTTGAAATCTTCTCACCTTTGGTTATCCGATCGATGCCCCGGCATCCACTAAACTCTCATTGATATTTATCTGATAAAATAGTTGTATTTTCATGATGAATTCGTGCTCAGATTCGTGCAAGATTTGTTCGTGAAAAGTCCCAGTGAAAAGTGTACTTGTTTTTGACCTTGCATAATAATGAGCTAACGCTACAGGGCCGTCGTTGATTGGTCAAATTCTACCGACATCAACAAACTGTCGGTAAAGCACGTGGCTTTCTCTTTGGTACAAGGCGGTCATAATAGAAATCAAGATAAGTAAAAGAGACCGACTTGGGCATATTTGTTCTGTTAGGCTAGTAGTAGACACTTGCATATTATTAGGAGCTCAGTTGATAAGTAATACAAGGCGGGATTTGAATGCAGTAAGAACGTTTGATTCGATAATACACCAAGGGTAAATTATAACATATGGTATAAAAACGATCAAAGTGCATCAGCTGATACAAGAGAAATCTGAAAACAGCTGAAATGAAGAACCAAGTGCTCCTTTTGGCGGTACTTTTGTTTGGAGTTGCATCAGCACAGATAATTGATTTTATAGTTCCAGAAGAAACGGTGATAGCTGTGCCGCGTTTTCCAAGGGAATGGGATGTTACGAAAAGAGAACGAATCTGTAAGTTAAAATTGAATATAGTTCAGAGTAGGGATGCTAGCGGATAACGCCGGGAATTTGGTTTCCTATATAAAAAGCTTTTTCTCCCTTTCTGGTCCTGTACAGCGCCATAGCTATCGAGTAAAATCATAAATGAATCGAGATTTATTAATAAATACTTATCTATCAGAAAACATATTCAAGTTTGGTTAGAAACAGAATTTCTAGAGATGGCAGAGTGATTTTTGAGGCTATGTAGAGCAGAATCATTTTTCTGAAAAATGGTAGTTTTTTGGTGGTACAGCTCTTTCCAGATTCATTTATCTCAGAATTCTTGTGGTCACGGTATCATTATCATGTAATGATAAGCTAAATAGGACTCTAATAAACACTTGGAGCTGTTTCACTGAGCTACGTGTAGAGGTATGGCCGTTAACAAGTTCCGTCAAAGTAATAGTATAGTAGGAACAAGGGGCTCCCATGCACCCATAAGGTGTGAATAAGTTACATACATTTCTGTAATCCCTAGGGTGTCTATTTAATGAATTCATTTGTTAACATTGCCAAATAATGTCCCATAGTACTTTTATGGCGGCATTCAGTTACCATGGTTACGCATCTTTAGACATCTTACCTTGGTATCTTAAATCATTTGTAGCTCTGTCATTATTTGGTCTATAGAAATGATATTGGTACCAAATTAAACCTCATTAAATTTCCAATAAATTTCTGATATTCATTTATGCAAATTATCTAATTTGCATAAATTATGACGTCATCAATCTATTTTTGGTTCAGAATTTCCAACTATAGCAACGTATCTATTAGAACTGAGGCTGTATGGCAAAATTTCTGAAAGGTTTTGTCCTTTATTCTATTAGTAGAAGGTATACGCAACATAAAAGTGAAAACAGATTCAAAATTGAATCAGTATTACGAAAGTTATGTAACTTTCAAGGCAGATATCGTGAATGTCATTATTTAACAATAATATACATACGTCTTACCTTGGAGTCTTGAATCAATGTAGCTTCGCCATTATTTGGTCTAAAGAGATGATATTGGTATCTGATTAAACCTTATTAAATTTACTATATGGTTACAATATCAAGTTATGCAAATTAGCTAATTTGCATTAATTGTCACGTCATCAATCCATTTTTTGTTCAGAATATCGTAGTATAGCAACATATCTATTAGAACTGAGGCCGTATGACAGAATGTGTGCATAGTTTTGTCCCTTATTTGATGAGTAGAAGATATAAGCAACATTAAAGAGACAACAAATCTTCAAAATTGGATCAGAATTAACAAAATTATCCAGCTTTGGAGGCAGCTACTGTGAACGTCATTGTTTATAAAAAGAACATTAAATTAACAAAAAAAGTAACAACCATAGTTGTTTCAATCTTATTGAGTAAAAATGTGCATGTATTGAACTGAACTAATAAGTATGTGGAAAGGTTACATGCATTTTGACTATCATTCACAGGGGTCAAAACGGTTATCTCGACCCTATATATTCAAGATCCAATCTTATAATTTACCATGCACTTTCAATGATTCATATAAATAGTATACATATAGTCTGATTTTCATCATATTCTTTATATTATTGATTCATAAAGCATCTGAAGTATATAGCATGATTAAAAGTGAAGATGATTCATCATATGGTTTATGTAATATTTTTAACATTTCAGATGCTATGGTAACATCACTTGATAATGAGGTTTTTACATTTCACGTTCTTAATGAGTTAAAAGGAAGTTATTCTCCCTTTGCTTTAGAGATAAATAGTCGCATGAATTTGTTTAGAAAAATTATAACTTAATTAATTTAACCCCCCCCCCCCGACAGCCCCCATATTTGAAGATTTTGGTGAAACCTGGCAAAATACATTAATTATTAGGTTCCAGAAGCCCCCAGAAGCTATATGATGGCCCCCAGTGGCCCCAAGAATCTATACAGGGGCCCCAAGTGGCCCCAAGAAGCTGAATAGTGGCCCCCAGGAGCTATATGTTGGCCACCAGAAGCTGAATAGTGGCCCCCAGGAGCTATACGGTGGCTCCCAGAAGCTATACAGGAAACCCTGTGGCCCCCAGGAGCTATACGGTGGCGCCCAGAAGCTATACAGGGGCCCCAAGTGGCCCCAAAAAGCTATAAGGTGGCCCCCAGAAGCTACATGGGGCCCCCAGAAGCTATACTATGGCCCCCAGAAGCTATACAAGGGCCCCCAAAAACTATACTATGGTCTCCAGAAGCTATATGGTGGCCCCCAGTGGCCCTCGGAAGCTATATGATGGCCTCCAGAAGCTAATTAGTGGCCCCCAGGAGTATACCGTGGCTCCCAGAAGCTATACAGGGGACCCCAGTGGCCCCAAGAAGCTAAACGATGGCCCCCAGAAGCTATACAGGAGCCCCAAAAAGCTACATGATGGCCCCAAGAATCTATATGATGGCCCCCAATGGCTCCCAGAAGATGTGAAGGGCCCCAAGTAGCCCCTAGAAGCTATACGGTGGCCCCCAGTGGCCCTCATAGGCTATATGATGGCCTCCAAAAGCTAATTAGTGGCCCCCAGGAGCTATACAGTGGCTCCCAGAAGCTATAAAGGGCCCCCCAGTAGCCCCTAGAAGCTATACGGTGGCCCTCAGTGGCCCCGAAAGCTATATAGTGGCCCCCAGAAGCTATACAGGGGCCCACAGTGGCTCCCAGAAGCTATACGATGGCCCCCAGAAGCTATGCAAGGGCCTGCAGAAACTGTACTGTAGTCCCCAGAAGCTATACAGGGGCCCCCAGTGGCTCCCAGATGCTATACGATGGCCCCCAGAAGCTATGCAAGGGCCCGCAGAAACTATACGGTAGCCCCCATAAGCTATACGATGGCCTCCAGAAGCTATACAGTGTCCCCCAATGGGCCACCATATAGCTTTGGGGGCCACCGTATAGCTTCTAGGGGCTACTGGGGGCCCTGTATAGCTTCTGGGAGCCATTGGGGGCCATCATATAGATTCTGGGGGCTGCTGTATAGCTTCTGGGGGCCATCGTATAGCTTCTTGGGGCGACTGGGGTTCCCTGTATAGCTTCTGGGTGCCACCATATAGCTCCTGGGGGCCACTAATTAGCTTCTGGGGGCCATCATATAGCTTCTGAGGGCCACTGGGGGCCACCATATAGCTTCTAGGGGCTACTGGGGGCCCTTCACATCTTCTGGGAGCCATTGGGGGCCATCATATAGATTCTTGGGGCCATCATGTAGCTTTTTGGGGCTCCTGTATAGCTTCGTTTCAGGAGCCACGGTATAGCTCCTGGGGGCCATCGTATACCTTCTGGGGGCCACTTGGGGCCCCTGTATAGATTCTTGGGGCCATCGTATAGCTTCTGGGGGCTTCTGGAACCTAATAATTAATGTATTTTGCCAGGTTTCAGCAAAATCTTCAAATATGGGGGCTGTCAGGAGGGAGTTAAATTAAGTTATAATTTTTTTAATCAAATTCATGTGACTATTTATCTCTAAAGCAAAGAGAGAATAACTTTCTTTTAACTCATTAAGAACATGAAATGTAAAAACCTCATTATCAAGTGATGTTACCATAGCATCTGAAATGTTAGAAATATTACATAAACCATATGATGAATCATCTTCATTTCTAATCATGCTTTATACTTCAGATACTTTAAGAATCAAGAATATGAAGAATATGATGAAAATCAGACTATATGCATACTATTTATATGAATCATTGAAAGTGCATGGTAAATTATAAAATTGGATCTTTAATATACAGGGTCGAGATAACTGTTTTGACCCCTGTGAATGATAGTCAAAATACATGTAACCTTTCCACATACTTATAAGTTCAGTTCAATACATGCACATTTTTACTCAATAAGATTGAAACAACTATGGTTGTTACTTTTTTGTTAATTTAATATTCTTTTTATAATTGTCAAACAATGACGTTCACAGTAGCTGCCTCCAAAGCTGGATACTTTTGTTAATTCTGATCCAATTTTGAAGATATGTTGTCTCTTTAATGTTGCTTATATCTTCCACTCATCAAATAAGGGACAAAACTATGCACACATTCTGTCATACGGCCTCAGTTCTAATAGATATGTTGCTATACTAGGATATTCTGAACCAAAAATGGATTGATGACGTCACAATTAATGCAAATTAGCTAATTTGCATAACTGAATATTGTAACCATATAGTAAATTTAATAAGGTTTAATCATATACCAATATCATCTCTATAGACCAAATAATGGCGAAGCTACATTGATTCAAGACTCCAAGGTAAGACGTACATGTATGTATATTATTGTCAAATAATGACATTCACGATAGCTGCCTCGAAAGTTACATAACTTTCGTAATACTGATTCAATTTTGAATCTGTTTTCACTTTTATGTTGCTTATACCTTCTACTAATAGAATAAAGGACAAAACCTTTCAGAAATTTTGCCATACGGCCTCAGTTCTAATAGATACGTTGCTATAGTTGGAAATTCTGAACCAAAAATAGATTGATGACGTCATAATTTATGCAAATTAGATAATTTGCATTATTGAATAACAGAAATTTATTGAAAATTTAACGAGGTTCAATTTGGTACCAATATCATTTCTATAGACCAAGTAATGACAGAGCTACAAATGATTTAAGATAACAAGGTAAGATGTCTAAAGATGCGTAACCATGGTAACTGAATGCCGCCATAAAAGTACTATGGGACATTAGTTGGCAATGTTAACAAATGAATTCATTAAATAGACACCCTAGGGATTACAAAAATGTATGTAACTTATTCACACCTTATGGGTGCATGGGAACCCCTTGTTCCTACTATACTATAACAAAATGAATGAACTTCCTAGTTACGAGTTTTTTGTTCTCTCGAATTAAACCTACTTACAATAAAAATAATCAAGTTGCAGATTGTAATTTGGCACAAAGCTAGAAAATATAGTCTAGCTTTAATTTTCTTCTATTTGGAATTTGTTTTGTAAAAGAAGCTGCAGTTCATAAATTTAGTCCCTCGCTTTTGTTACATTGTTGTTATACCAATGTATGTTACTTTGACGACTTAAGTCAATGTAACAAAACGATGGTCTAAATGCATAAATTAACGCTTTATTTAAAAATCAATTTCCAAACCGAGAGCATTTCTTAAAACTAGACTATATTGTTAACTTTCTGCCAAATGACAATCCGCAAATTGACTTATAAGTAGGTTGAAATCGAGAAAACCAAAAAGTCGTATCCAGCAAGTTCAATCATTTTGTTACATTGTAGAGAAATCTCTGCTCAGAATACACACATATTTTCACAATAAATAAGCCTAACAATGTCAGAAAAACGGTAATGCCGAAATTGAACAGAGTTCTATTTAACCCTAATGTCTGCACCATTTCTTATGTACCATTCAAATGTTCGCGAGAGCCCCCTCACTGTTCGCGAGAGCCCCCCTGGGAAGGGTAAGAAATTTTATACGCAATAATGCCCCGAGGTGTAGGAATTGACGGAGAATTTCGTCTTGGGAGTAAGGAAGTTGATTTGCATGTGCCCGGGAGCGGGGATATTTGACTGGATTTGTTTCGTCCAGTATACACTATAGGAAACTCATAATTTGCAAATGATCGGTTAATTCAATGAACTAAATATCTCTCATATCTCAACATATGCTAAGCTATTTCAACCAGCCCGAAGTATTATATTTGAGTCAGGTTACGTTATTGATTAAGTCATCTTGTCAATGGTTATTCTTCACCCACCTGTCCTAAACAATCACGTAACTTTATTATATAAACCCATGCCTTAATTAGCCCATAATTCCCACGTCCAACACATACAAAGGAAACACATACTAAAGAATTATGGGAGCGACTCACTTCTTCTGCTTGTGACTATAGATTGTGGGGTATGCTGTGGGAAATAGTGCATCGAGGCACTTGAAAATATAGCCCAGTTGCCCTAGGCTCCGCTCTGTTGTTCAGGAGAAAGGGGGTCCCATTGAACATCTATCCAAGGGATACACTTTTCACAATACATTTTTACAGAGATGATGAAATTATGGTTATTTCAGGGTTGAATCAGCTTACTAATTTCTCAAGGGAATATGAAGAGGCCACTATGCTACCAGAATGCACGAACTCGATGAAGCCTAACTGCTCTGTCGCTGCAAACTTCTGGGACAAAGATGCCGTAATTGCTGTTGATGGTCTAAGCTCCGGTCATGGAAGAGAAGGTAATGTTAATGTGGAGTATATTGAACAAATATTTCACTCTATTTAGGTGAACCTGTGCATCTTTCAGGAGTGATATACGAAGTCCGGAGAACTAGTGGAATACCATCTAGTGAAAGTGTCACGGGTATTCACCGATGAGTAGAGTGAAATATTCGTTTTATCATATCACTGACTGTTGATTCCATGGCACTCAACATCGTGGATGGATCTGCCCCGGGGATCTGCAGTGATCCCTTTCTAGTCTTGTTTTTTTCATTTTATAAAGATTGATATTATTTTGTATTCAGTTCAAGTTTTTCACATTTTCAAGTCTTTATCGTTCCAAGTTTATTCTATCCAATCATCAAAAACTCTAATCGAACGTTAAGCTGATTTTTGTTTTACTTGTGAGTACATTTTCAATTAATCTTAAGTTTTCATCGTGAGACATTCCTTCAAATCTTTTCTCGTCTGGCATTTTGACTTACATGTACACTGAACAAAACATTCTTTGAAAATTCCCGGGGAGCGTGGGATATCGCTAAATATTCACCGGTTTTGACCAAACATACATTTGCTAGAACTAGATAGTAATACAATAATGTATAATATGCAAGGGGTAGTGCACTCAAACTCACAGAATCAAAGAATTTCTTAGGTCTACATGTGTAGTTCTCATCTTCAAAAACTAAAATATTCCTCATCTATAATAAAAGGTAACCTCCCCAATCGGTAGACTTGGACACGCCCCATTTTCTGGGGTCCGCGCATTATACCGAAACCCATTATACCGACGCGTATTGTACTGAACCCGATACCGAAGCCCATTATACCGACGCGCATTGTACCGACGCGCATTGTAACCAAAGGCGTTATACCGAATGACATAATCACTGTTCCACAACTAGTTACTTTGACGGAACGTCAATGTAATAAAATGGATGAACTTCCTGGTTACGATTTTTTGCTTTCTCGATTTAAACCTACTAATAAGTCAAGTTGCAGATTATAATTCGGCCCAAAGCTAGAAAATATAGCCTAGTATTAATAAGTTTCTTCGATTTGGAATTTGTTTTGTAAATGAAGCTGTAATTCATATACTAAGCCCCTCGCTTTTGTTACATTGACGAAAGCCTGTTATATTACCAATGTATGTCACTTTGTCAATGGGTATTTAGCCCGACCATTTTTAGAAAACTTGAAAATCTCTATAGCTAGAATTTGAATAAAGGTAAATAACAGTGCAAAAATTAAGTTGTTTTGATAGAAAATTACACACAGAATTCAAATAGAAGAAAATGTTAGTCTTTAGTGCATAAAAATGCAGATCTCCTAAAATCTCATTATTTATGAGACCTTAACGAGATTTTAAAGCTATTTGGAAAAGCCACCATTAGATAGATGCCTTCACTAGGCTATTCTCTGTACTTGTGTCCGTGCCTAATTTTGAGTAGCGAGTGTAAATTCTTTTCGGAAATATGATTATGTTTTCCCTGTAATATGAATTGGAGATATCTGACAAAATATGGATAGCCTAAAATATAAATTTTGTGTTTTTGAACATGCGGATATCTTGAACACAGTTCCTTAATTAGCCTTGCCCAAGTCGGTATTTTTTACTTATCTGATCTTGAATTATTACCGCCTTGTACAATCCAATACATCTCCGCTGTTATTATGCTGAGATATTCAACGGTTTCGAGATTTCCATAATACCTACGTTATCAGGGGTATCGCGAAACCTTATTGATTAACAGATATACGCGTGGACACGACGTGTGACTTCAGGCTGAATGACCAATCAAAACGTTATCAGGTTGAACAGCATAAACAAAACAAACTTCCCGTCTACAACTTGAAATTCAATGATCTGATCGAGTGTTTCATTAGAGTTACAATACATTATGCAATTAAACGTACATTCGAAGGTGAGATTCATTAATATAAATCAAATAATGCGATTCAATGTTGATTTAAAACTGATTTCGCGATGAAAATGCACGAATACCAAGTCCAATGTAGCGGGTCATGTTGTATTTGTATTTTCATGATGAATTTGTGCTTAGTTTCGTGCAAGATTTGTTCGTGAAAAGTCCCTGTGAAAAGTGTACTTGTTTTTGACCCTGCATAATAATGAGCTAACGCTACAGGGCCGCCGTTGATTGGTCAAATTTTACCGACATCAACAAACTGTCGGTAAAGCACGTGGCTTTCTCTTTGGTACAAGGCGGTCATAATAGAAATCAAGATCAGTAAAAGAGACCGACACAGCGAAAAATGGTGTAATATCCTATAGTTTCCGTACGTATCGCAAATCCCGGATATTTGAGGTATCCTTGAATAACCTAAAATATACCGATACTTCGAACATCCGGAAATATCCTCAAAGGGATATTTTTGGATACTCCAAGTTTCCAACTTTCAACATATCCGAATTAAGGATATTTCAGGATAGTTGACTACCCTAGTATCCAGAAAATTTTTTAAGTATCCGGAATATTGATTCCTGGAAATTATGCTAGTACATAAATTATAACGTTCAATTAACAATTTTAGTGTCATTGAAACATTTGTTTCGCCATATAGAATGTGGAATATCTTGTATGAATTTCTGCAGTGAAACAACATTCTCCTCGTGATATCTTAACTGCTCAAAATGGCTGCCATCGAAAAACTTGTGTTTGGGAAATTCAGACATATGAAAGACAGGAAATTCATGATGACCGAAGATTACATCGTCAATAAGCTGATCTTCGAAGATAAGTTTGCTTCTAAGCATGGAAGATAATATTAAATAAAGTTCCTGGGATATTGTCTAAAATATATCTATTCTTAAATGTTAAGGTTTTAAGTTATATTCTTTTCAAATTCTATTACTGTTAAATCATATATCTGCTTCATATGGGCTTATGAGCCTTTTGCAGATTATCGACATAGACATAGACACCGATACTTCGAATATCCGGAAATATCCTCGAAAGGATATTTTTGGGTACTCCAACTTGTGTTTGTTTGGGAAATTCAATCAACGATTTCATCGACAATAAGCTGCGCTTCGAAGAAAAGTTTGCTTCTAAGCATGGAGGGTATATTAACGTTTATAACAACTAAAGTAGAAACAACATTTCCTTCATGTCAACTGATTTGTTTCAATAATACCGTGAATCTGTCGAATTTTAGCTTGTACATTTCGTAGTTTTCTCATTATATCTGGCTTCGGTCGTACTTTCAAGATATAAACGTGAATTCATCTTGTAGAGAATCTTATGAACTTTACTAGGAAACTTTTGTTTACTACATTTCGATATTCGTAGACACTGAAAATGGCTTTTAAATAAGGTAACAAACACAAATATTAGTCGCCATTAAAACATTGCAATCAAACCGGAAGTTTGCTCTCTGACGTCCGCGCGCTATCAATAAATTGAGACGAAATATCGTTACAACTTACAACGTTATCAATGCCCCTAATTTAAACATCGAGCATTTTCCTACAAGTCGAAATTCAAATTATTGAACACACAATGATCAGCATGGCAGCCACATCAGTTCCTAAGTGAAGAAGGACGTCAAGTAGGAGATGTAAAAGTAGCAGAACAGCCTAAGTACATCGATGTGGTCATTGTTATACATCCTTGTGATCAGATGTTTTAATGCTTACACCTATCGTACATCTCATTTGTATTGATGAGATAATAAACTGTACGTATTTAAATGCGTCATTTCGTGTTTAGTTTGTTAGGTAATATGAACGAAAATCTCCTTGCAATCCCGACCGTATTCGTGAATATCCCAAAAAATATTACGAACTGTATCCCTAAATATCCCGGAAAATTGTTGAATATTCAGCTATATTTGTGAGTATTCGAATCATATATTAGTCATACCCCTAAGAATACGCGAAAAGACGTGATGTATATCAGTAGTATCCAGAACTATGGATATTTCAGGATACCAGTGTTCCGTCTCTCACTAATATCCGTGAATCTCCAAAATCGCGATACTTAGAGTATTTGTCACGGATTCTTAAGGATACGTTCCATATCACTATAATATTTCGCAAATATCCAGGCAGGATATTGTATCATTTTTCGCTGTGCGACTTGGGCAAGGCTATTCCTTAATAGATCGTCCAGTTTTCTTGTTTTTGTTCTACACAACACTTGTGTTTAATAGCCACGCGTAATTATTAATAAGCGTAATCAGATTATTTCAAGCGTCGAAATAGCTTATTTTCCTCAACGTATCTACACAGACCTATTCACTTACCGTTATATTGAGCGATCTAGATGCGTCAATTATAATTGTTTTCACTTATCGGCTTTAGTGGCCCGCGATACCTTTTATTTCATTCATTTGAGACGCAATTGATATATTGGCAACAAATCAAATGTTCTAAATGATTCTTCTTCATTTTGGAATGTTTCTCCTACCCGATATTCAAAGATGTGTCTTAAATATTATACTTTACATTGATCACGATTCTTGTACTTTCTGTCTTTACGACTTCCGTTCACATTTGCAAGAGTCGTTGATTGCATTGCCTTGATCGTTGGTCGAACTTCGATTCCAACTAAATCAGATTAATCAATTATAAGAAATGTAATATCATGTTTATCCAAGCAAATAATTGTAACAAATACATTATTTTTAGCAGTTTTGTCACCTAAGCAGGGTAGCCTAGTGGCGTAGACTGAGGCTACTTTGCGGTTGAACGTCGTGGGATACGGAGGTCCCGCGTTCGAGCCCCAGGTACGGAGTTGTTGATCATTGTCACTACGGACACCCGGTCCGAAGGTCCAACCGTTTACCGGCCCTTGGCATGGGTTGGTTCTCTGGCCGCTCTTGCCGGAGACAGATTGTGAGACTGTGGTTGGTTCCTCCACTAACGTGCTTTAGTAAACTCCGGGAGTCATATAGTATGGTAGCGGGCCCCCACCAAGGGCAGTAGTGGAACGACGCGAATCGGTCCCAGTATGGTTGCCTTGCAACTGAAGAGACTCGAGGAAATCATGCCATTCGCAGTGACCAAGGAAAGACTTTTGCTTCTTAATTTGACGTTTTAATTCATTTATTTACATACTTTATTCATATTACTTTCCAGGCAGTTATGATTTTTATTGGCCAAATGAATGAACGAGACATATTGATACTATTAAATACATCTAGATACTATCAAAACCATAATTCGATTTGTCGGACATATATAAAATAACACTTGAAAACACAACACACATAGCTGCAATATCCGTAGCATTTGGTTCGGTCGGTTCCCACGCTCTATCATTTTGTGCGGTCATCATAAGATAAGGAGGTACGGTTGATTGGACCATGGGCTTTCAACAGAGTCAAGAAATTAGCATGGGTACTTTGAGAAATGAGGTAGCAACAAAAGGAAACACCAGAAATAATCCAGAAATGTCCACACCATTGTTTTCGTTAGATATGGCAAGGCCCCGGAAGAAAAACAGCATTCGTGGGTAGCTTAATTTTTGTACCAATAAGAGCCATGACTTAAACTCAACCAAGAACGGTGAGGCAAAGTTACTATGGGTCCGAATTGAGAATCAATTCAAATCAAAATCAAATTGAGAATCAGATGACCTGCTAAGTCGAGTATTGATTTGCCCCTAAATAGATATTAAAGGGGCGCTGAATAATGAAATTGAAATATTGGGCAAAATAATTGATATTTCGTTTGTGGAATGAAAACTGATGATAGAGATAATATCAGTAGCCAAAAACTATATAAGCAATTTAAACATGGAAATTATGCCAATTTAGAAGTATTATATGAAAAGAAATGTTTGTGAAATGGTTAGAAAATGAAATAACTTCAGAATTAATGGGATCATTGTGGCACACATTGATAAAAATCACACTTGGATTTGGAAAGATTTAAAGTAAAACAAATGAATGCGTTTCTCACTATCTCTATGACAACATATCTCGCTCTCTCTCCATGACAACAATTTTTGGCCCCAGCAGCACAAGATCGAAAATACAGTAATTATCAAGTTCAATAAGAAATGTGAAACTTTATATTTAATAGCACAATTAATTATTTCTACCAATGAAACAATGCAGTATAAATAAATGTTTACTTCATTTAATACAGAATTTACCACGGTTAAATATATTTAAGTACAAGATTTACCATAATCAAACATGAATAACATAATTATGACTTTATCCTCTATGAAATACAGAAATTGATGGTTAACTGGAATTAAGTTTGTTGAGACGACCCCTCAGTCTGAAACGCCTAGCATGAGTTAAAAAATGTCTGGCCGCAACTGAGATGTAAAGATGTTCAAAGATTTTAAATTAAGCTTTATCTGAAAATATGTTTTTGCGCGATAAACTTTTAATTGAATATGAATAAAGAAACAACAGATTAACATCCAGTCTCATATTAAAAAGTTTAAAGTTAAAATATTGTGGAAGTAAATAAAAATGTATTTTTAATTTTCAAGACTTGTCTGTTCAATGCAAAAATCATGTATAATTTGAAACAAGGTATATGATGAAGTAATATATAAACTATCTATTTTATATGCTGATACAGTAGCATTTCTCTTGGCTTTTCAACATAGCACCATATTTGACTTTTCAGGCTCCACTTTTATTATTCTATGCCTATATAATGTTACTGTGCACTGTCATACATGTACATAATCATGTGTCTCCATGAAGTTTTGAAAGAGTATAGAGGTAGATTCAAAGCACCGTTCTTGGAGTTTCAAATGAAAATATTGAAAAACGCGCGACTGCAACTTTTTATGTCTACACTGACAAAAACTTGAAATTCCCGCTGTAAAGATATAGTCCCACGCGGAAGTGCTCGTCATACAACTGATGGGTTAAGGCAATGTGCCGTCTCACTGGCACGGATTTCGGTAAAACGCGCATTGGTAGGCCTTTTTATGGCTGGCCATCTGGACCAATGTATCGTCATACTTTTAACGCCGTAAAAACGATTTTATACGCCGTAAAGAATTACTTTTTACGCCGTTAAAAACGATTTTGTACGCCGTCAAAATTGATTTTTTTACGGCGTCAAAAATAATTATGTACGCGTAAAAAGTCATTTTGAACGGCGTCAAAAATAATTTTTAACGCCGTAAAAACGATTTTATACGCCGTAAAGAATTACTTTTTACGCCGTTAAAAACGATTTTGTACGTATTCATTGAACAAACGAACGTGTATGTTCGACTTACCGACTGATTGATATAAATCCAAAACCTATTTTTCTGTCACTGTACATGTCACATTTATCATTTATATTGGAATTTTTATTTGCCAGACGCATTTGGTTGTATGGAAATCTCGGGAATTTGATAAACATCGAGTTTTCATTGTTTAAACATTTTTTCGCAAATGATTAACAATGTTCTGTACGTTCGCAATTTCGAAAGGCGTAAAAAATCAGTTTTGACGGCGTAAAAAATAATTTTTAACGACGTAAAAAGTAATTTTTAACGGCGTAAAAAGTAATTTTTAACGGCGTAAAAAATAATTTTTAACGGCGTAAAAAAGATTTTTAACGGCGTAAAAAATAATTTCTAACGGCGTAAAAATCGGTTTTGACGGCGTCAAAATCGTTTTTAACGGCGTAAAAAGTAATTCTTTACGGCGTATACAATCGTTTTTACGGCGTTAAATTTTTTTTTGACGCCGTTCAAAATGAATTTTAACGGCGTAAAAAATCGTTTTTAACGGCGTAAAAGTAATTCTTTACGGCGTATAAAATCGTTTTTACGGCGTTAAAAGTAGATTTTACGGCGTTAAAAGTATGACGATACATTGGTCCAGATGGCCAGCCATACCTTTTCGGCACAATGCGCGTCTAATGGGTTTCGGTATAATGCGCTTCAGTATAATGGGTTTCGGTATAATACGCGTCGGTATAATGAGGCGATCCCCATTTTCTCACACTTTGTACAACTGGAAGTGTACTAAGTGATTTTAAGTTATCCTGGCGGCTAATTTGTAAGAACTGGGCTACGCATGCGCTGAGGTTCCCTAAGTGCCACTACATCGCTTCATATCATTATCATATTTACAACAGTCATTGCGAAATGATAGATAGAACCCGGGGAATAGATTATCATAATAAGTATCATATTTCATCCAGACACTTCTTTGTCGATATTTGGACGAGGGCAGAGAAATGTTATTGATATGAAAAATGTACGAAATGAAGGGATACTTTCAACAATTTCAACATATTAGAATGGTAACTCTACATTCAGGTGTGCGAAGAATACTCGAGGAAGGTCGAGGCCATGGTCCTGATACATATTTCTCCATTCATTGGTATTACTGTAAAGGGAGTCGTAAAGGCGTTGCAGGATATGGAGTTGGTACAGTGTATTCAAATGATGAGAGGGAAATACTTGAGGAACGGCGGTAAAAACAGTTTCCTTTTATCTAAATTAAAAACAGATCACTCCTCACGTAATTGTAATGTTCTGAGATGGAAAATCTGAGCTACACGTTTTAGAAAACTTTTGAACGTTTGGAGTTGGTTCTCTTTGGATTAGTTCTACCTTTCGTATTATTTGATTAGCCAATTGAGAATCTATTTCTTATAATTTTTCCAAATACTTTTAGAGTTTTGACATTTTTTCGGCGTTACAATGGGGGAGGATGGAAAATCCAGTATTCATTTGAGCTGAAGGGTGGAGATCCCCATGCAGCAAACATGTAAATGACTACACTACACCAAATAGCTACCTTACCTTAGAAATGAGAGAACACAATATGATGTAAACATCCATTTGGTTATAAAATATATTTTAAAGTATGATTTGAGCTATGAAAATTGATGTGCCATACTTTTCATTTTATGTTATAACGTTGAGATTTATTCGATGTATTCCTCAAGGACCCATTTTGCGACTTTTCGTTTAATCGTATTAAGTGGTATTTGCCATTGGTCTTGCGCTCTTGTGCAGGTTTGCCGGGGCAACCAGAAACCTTCAATACTGCAAGTAAACTGACAATTTAAAATACTAAACATGCTCGATTAATATTGTTTTTGAAATTTTTGGAAAATCACCTATCTGATCAAAATAAAATTTGCTTATCTGTTAGGTGGTATACGCTTCTAGAGCTTAATAGCATCTAGGTTCCCATCATAAATTGGGCTTCGAGAGTTACCTCTAAAGGAAAAATATTTCAGTCAATGGCTTTGAAAGCTCCTGATTGCAGAACGCTCTTCCATTCAACGTATTCATTTCGTGGGCAATACCTTGCAAATATTCAGAAATACTGAATTCTTCAAATACACACTCACATTACCTAATTCATCGTCAAATATATGTTCACTGAAAATCAAGATCTCCAAAATGAGCTGAATAAAGAACGAGGGAAGTTAGTGCAACAGATTTTTGACAGTTGATAATTTTTTGGCGAGTAGTTTCTGGCTGTAAAAAATAAATGCATATGAAACACGCCTAACCATCGCGTAGGTAGGCGTCACCGTACAGCGTCAAAAAATAGCGGAGTACAGTTTTCTGTACGGTGACGCAAATTAACTGCTTTGAAGCAAAAACTATGACAAGGGTTTAAAAAAAATTAATTTGATGAAAACTAATACGATTTCATGTGAAATAAAAACAGCATTCTCTTAGGAATGGTTTTAACTTTGTAATTATGATAAATGTTTTACGAGCACTGTTCGGATTTTTTCTGAGTGAATCGGCCCACATAATCGACCAGAATGAAAAAAGGTTGTTTTTTCACATTTTGTTTGGTAATTATTTTCCCTGCCGTCTGAGAGTATGGATTATTTTTATGAGAATATGTATTTGTCGACTACACATTTTAGAACGGGCGAAGATTCAACAAACAACCATTCATTATGTATATTTAAAAAATATCAAATTTGTACGGTGACGCATCAGCTGTACGTTGACGATTCATTATAATTTGTGAGAAGTAATATAAAGAATTCATTATTTATTACTTCAAATCGCATAAGTTTTGGTGTGGAAGTTCAAATGTTGATCCAATCAAGTATCCCTCGTAAACATGTTGTCAAAATGATCAGTGAAAGTTACTGCAGTCACTTTTGCATATAAGATGGCGGACAGGAAGTGTCGATCTCGATATTTTTAGTTTTCATCGAATTCTTTATAGTTGGCGTTATGCTTTGATGAACTAAATGAGACTAGGCTTATATGAAATGGAAATTCTGGAGTATGATCATTTGTTCGTATATAGTGCATGGGCACTACAATTCAACGATATCTTCCATCGCTTAATGGAAGGTTACTGGAAATGTGTGATACGGTAGGGATCATGAAACCAAAAACTCAGTATATTTGTTGCTATGTTATTATTGTTTTGAAACAAGGGATGTCACAAGTAAATCTCATCTTGCACGTGTGATTTTTAGGATGAAAGATGCAATATCTTGCATGGGGTAAAGATGGCTATGTAGGCTATCTTTGTTAGTTATATGAGAAAAGCCTGGTCTGTATTTCAAATGATATCAAAGCATTGCGTCAACTTTCAAATAGTTAATTCCATGAAAACTAAAAATATCGAAATTAATACTTCCTGTCCGCCATCTTAAATGCTAAGGTGACGGCTGTAACCTTCGCTTGATACTTACCAGTGATAATGTAGATCTGACGCTTTTTTACCTCTTGTTCGAACAGTAAGCTTAGAGTTGAATGTGTTTCAGTATTTAATCCTTCTTATCAGACATAAGAATTGATCTTTTCAATGTTGAATGGGATACAACATTTGAATTTCCACACAAAAACTTATGGAATCTTAAGTTAATACTGAGGTCATATATTACACTTCATGAAATCTAAGGAATCGTCACCGTACAGCAGATGCGTCACCGTACAGATCTGATCTTTTTTAAATAAATACACTGAATGATTATTTGCCGAATATTCATCTGTTCTAAAATGTGTAAATAACAAATACATATTCTCATAAAAATAATCCATACTCTCAGACGACAGGGAAAATAATAACCAAAAGAAAAGTGAAAAAACAACATTTTTCTCTCGAGTCGATTGTGTGGGCCGATCCAGTCAGAAAAAATCCGAGCAGTGCTCGAAAAACTTTTATCATAATTAGAAAGTTAAAACCATTCCTAAGAGAATGCTGTTTTTATTACACTCGAAATCGTATTTATTTTCATCTAATTAGTTTTTTTTAAAAACCCCATTATAGTTTTTGCTTCAACTCAGTTAATTTTCGTCACCGTACAGAAAACTGTACTACTGTATTTTTTGACGCTGTACGGTGACGCCTGCTTACGCGATGGTTAGGCGTGATGAAAGAGCAATGTATAATCTTCAAGAAAAGTTCAAAGAAAGGTTCCAAGATCAATTGGATTATCTCATAACTCGTGTTTAATCCACCCACTAACAGCCTTTTTTCAAAATAAAATCGTTATTTTCACCATCATCCATCAATTTTGTTATAATTTTTTATTCAAAATTACATTGTACTTGAACACATGTTTCATCACACAAAATATGTAAATCATTCCATAAATGATTTATATTTGTTTTTTTTAGTTTTTTTCGAAAAAAACAATTTTTAAAAATGCACGTTTACAGAGATAATTTAGAAGTTATGCAAAAGATGGCAATGTCTTTCAATAACATAAATGGTTTGGTGATTTACTCATGTGTGCTGTTTTTTAATCTCTGCATTCATTGACTGAGTTAGCCTATTGAAAAACCATAGAGATTAATAATACAAACACAGTAATACTGTAAACACTTTGTACTCCAAGCTAATATACACACTGCTATAGCATGACGGTTACAGGGGCATCAAAAGGATTTGCCGAGGGAGGGGTGACTTTTGGGTATGGATAGGTCATGCGTAAAGCGCGCTGCACGTAAAACGCAATTTAGGGGGATCAGGGGGCATGCCCCCAGAAATTTTTTTAAACTTAAACCCCCTCTAGTTCATTCTGAACATATCTCAGCACAACATTTCCAATAATAAAAACAAGAAAAAATGTGTTTTTAGAATCTTAACTTGACTTTGACTAAAAAGAACTTTGATTTTTACTAAAATATACATCAAAGTATTTACATACTGTATGGGTTCCCGAGAAACTATATATGGTATAGAATTAAATATAATATGAGGAATGAGATCTTCTATGCCTGATGAAGACTATGTACTAACATAGTGTCATTTCTGTCAATATTACACTTTGACTTTAATTAGCTCTAGAGCTTTTAATTCTAGGCTCAGTTTCAAATCTAAAAAAATCAGCGAAAGGGGGAGGGGGGGTGTCGCCCTGACGACAATGCGGTTATGCCACCTTTGAAAACGATGTTGGACTGCTTCGTTCACTGATTTATCCAATAAAATGGCCACGATGGAACAGAAAATTAAGCTTTGTGCATTACTTTCTACTACTCTGACGGGATACCAACTATACAGGACGTATCGAAACCACTACATCCTGCAAAACCGTTATTTTGAATTTTAAACCTACCAGGTGTTTAAAAATCAAGGATTGTGAGTCCCATACTGCACCGTTTTTATTCAAACTTATGCCATTAAAAGCAAAAATTGCCTCTCTGTCTGTTTCTTAGTGTATAAAGTTCCTCGTTCCAGCTGTGAGATTAAGCAAATTTTCATAGCTTTCAACTGCAAGTCTAGTTATCTCGCGAGTCTTTAATTCATTTTCGCCCATAATTTCAGAATTGACCCTCATTTCAACCCTCCATCGCTACGTCTACGTCACCCGCACATCTGTTCAAATTAACCAATATGTTCTGTCGTCTTCCACATCGACTTTGTAGTCATAAACTCGACGGGGCATAGTGGAAGACGACGGGACGTTATATTATAATAATGTGGAAAGAGGCTATCAGATCTAGCAACCTTGACCTGACAGGTGTACAGGTTTACTTACAGTTAATATTTTGAGTGGCTCTGAGGCACATATACTGAGAGAATGGACTAAAAATTATGAAGATGGATATCTCAGTTTGTATTCTGCTTCTTGTAGACCACCTGGCAGATTTGACCCATTCTTTATAACCATCCATATACACGTCACCGAATGGAACTAGTTTAAAAGGAAATCTTATCTGTGAATCTTGCCTACAGGCCAGAAAGAAGACATGCTGTCTTTCTCATCCGCCATTATTTGTTATCGATTTTGTTATATACTGCAAGATTTTGCAAATCACACTGACGTAACTGTCATGCTATAACAGCGTGACATAGGATTTTTAGGGTCCAGTGTTGAAATTCTAGATCACTGTATATATGCTTGCATTTGATATGTAAGGAATCAAGAGAAATTATTGTACCAACAGTAAAATTATAAACCATCATCCCAACATCACTTTAAAAAGTAAAATGGTGAAAAACTGCAGAATGTTGATGGAAAATGTGACTAGGGGATAGGGGTGTCTCTCAACCCCCCCACGGACTAGTAAATGGGGTATGCCAAAGTCCAATTCAGTTGCTACAGGTTTTGCAATTTTGTTTGCCTTTTTAGCTCACATGGTGAGCTATTGCAATCAACCACTTGTTCGTCTGTCTGTTAACAATAGTGGCATGTTTTAAAACCTTTGTCGATAAGATCAATACAGAAAACTCCCCTATGACTTCTGGTTCAGAAGCTCGCCCATTTTCAAAATGGCTGGCATTTTTGTCTCGCAAAATTCACTTTTGGACCATTCGGTAGCTTTATAAATAAATTCAGGTGTCTTCCATTGTAAAAACACTTGTTAATGTAAAGAGTAATAGTATGTAATAATTTTGTTACAAAAAGTTGCCAAAAAATTATATCTGTTTTTTTTCAGCTATTTTAGTTAACGTTGATTTGTCCATCTGTCTCTCAGTTAGTCCACAATAGTGGCACGTTCTAAAACATCTGTCCATGGGATTCCCCTTTTAAGTTATTTCTCTTGAACATCAATACAGAAAGCTCCCATATGACTCTTGGTTCAGACCTCGACTATTTTCAAAATGGCTGACATTTTTGTCGAACAAAATACACTTCAATCAGTCAATCCAAAATAGTGGCATGTTTTAAGACCTTAGTCGATAGGATTCCCATTTTATTTTTTGTCTGCCATTCACTTTTTGAGCAACACCATGTGAGCTCAGTACCCATGGTACTATTCATTATTATTAGAGGTCATGTTTTGTTAGTATTGGACTTAAAACATTAGAGAGGTTACACATATTCGAGAGAACTAGAATTAGGACCCCAGAATTGTTGTCCACCTCTCAACTGGTTTAACGTTGGACCTTATTATTAAAGATATCTTCCCTCACACCTTCATTCTCAATCAGGCAAATGAAGTGATGTGAAAAATAGCTGATAGGGGACCATAAGTTTAAACGTTTCAAGAACAAGTTAATTAAAACAGTGCGATCTTAACCTCCCTAATAAATGTAATTGTTGACTCAACAACTGGTCCGATAGAATCATTTTTTGTTTGTGTATATTTTTTTACAATAATTTGGAAGAAAACCGGATATTTCATTATTTCATATTATAAACCTTAGATATGATGATTGTGATTTATACGAAGATAGTATACACCACACACCCAATGGAATTAAGGTGCCACGGAAGTAAAACAGGAAATGACGAAACAGGAAGTGACAAATTTTTTTGCATTTTTGGACATTTTTTGAACAAAGATAACATACTTCTGGTTTGACCTCCAGTCAATTTAACTATTTCCACATATCATTTACATGACCAGGATCACAATGTGCATGGTCAGAATGACCCTAAACATGATGAAATAACCTTTTTAGCCCTTTGAAAGTGTGACTGAAAAAAAGCTAAAAGTAGGAGCGTAGGGGAGGTCACTGAACAGAATCTTTTGAATTTTTTAGAAAATGTGCCCAATATAATGCTCTAACTGATACAATGTTTGAAATTTTAGAAAATTGTCTTAAACAAAAATGGCGGTCATAAATAGGAAAATAGATCGCTTTTCAAATCAGTTTTTTCATTTTTTTTCTTTTTCTATGAATGGTATCAAATTTTCAAAGATTGTATCATTTAGAGCAATATATTGGGCACATTTTCTGAAAAATTCAAAAGATTCTGTTTAGTGACCTTCCCTACGCTCCTACTTTTAGCTATTTTTCAGACACATTTTCAAAGGGCTAAAAAGGTTATTTCATCATGTTTAGGGTCATTCTGACCATGAACATTGTGATGCTGGTCCTGTAAATGGTATTTGGAACTAGTTAAATTGACTGGAGGTCAAACCAGAACTCTGTTATCTTTGTTCAAAAAATCTCTAAAAATGCAAACAAATTTGTCACTTCCTGTTTTGTCATTTCCTGTTAACTTCCATAGCACCCCAATTGTGGTGTTTAGACATTCTCAATGTTTAGTATTTAAGCTAGTAGTTCAACGTCGTTAAACTTAAAAACGGCGTTCTTTACTATAAGGAATTTTCTTGGGGCCGTTATTGAGTTTAACCTCTTTGCTATTCTTTCCTTTGATGCAAGTTCTGGATCCATCGAAACCATTTTGCCGCGATAACGTGCAATTGATACTTGACAATAATATAAAAACACATAACATCAAGCGATTTAACACAATATTATTGCGTTAAATGTTCATTTATACTAGTAAAATGAGGCTACACTTACCGATCTCTAAAATGACATTTCCGCATGTCCGTCATTGTGTCTGTTCGTCCGAGTGTCCCGGATCGTAAAATTAAACTACTAGCGAAACGAAATTGTTGTCAAATAGATTGATAATTATTATCGCGATAAATCGCATTAAAAGATAAATTTTGAGGATAGCAGGTATCTTCGATTGATTTATATAGCGCGTGTATACACGCAAAATTGTTATTAATTGCAAACCTACTGTTTGTAAATGCAGTGCCGCGATGACGGTTAATTTCTGATACGATTTGCAATTTCGATGTTACCCTACTATCACACCAAACTAGTTCTCACTACGTTCTCAAAAACGGGCTTCAACTGTGTACGAACGGACTGGACCTACTAAGAACCGTTTGGGATCTATTAACAAACTTCATCGAACGTACTCGAACGGGTAGGTCCTCTAGAACTTAGACAATGCTCAAAATGTTCTCGTGGTCGTCACGTTCTACAATTAGAACGAGTGACAACGTACTAACGACGAGCTGGACGTACTACGAACGGAACCGTCGTACTTCAATCCTACTAGGGACGTTTTAACAACGAGTTGAATTGTCTGAGGACGTGTTGAGAACGAGGTAGAACTAATTGCAAACGGATTTAAACTGATTGAGAACGTATTTAACACTGCTTATGAACGAGTTAGCAAAAATGTAGCTATCACACCAAACAAGTTGCCACTGCATTCTTCAAAACTGTGTGCGAACGGAATGAACGTAGCTGCAACTTTCTAAGGTCTATTTACGAACTTTATGATCGTTCTCAGACGGGAATATGATTTTAGAATTTTGAATCGATTCAAAATTCGATGGCGACCATAACGTTCTGTAATCAGGTCATGTTGACCTTCTAGACTAAGGGACGCGTTCTACTACGTTGCACACCGACGTGGTGCGACCTGAACGAACTGCGAACGAGAAGGACGTATTGAAAACTGTTTAAGAACGAAGAAGCTAATTATTTCAGACATATTTCCCGACCACAGCCAGATTGAGCCCGTTTTACGACGTTTTCGTAGGACTGGCAAGAACGGGTAAGAACGAGTTTGGTGTGATAGGGGGGTTACCGAAACTGACCGACATTTTCGTTATATTCCAAACGCTGTCTCCAATATTTCCGTAATTATGCATCAATAGGGTCTAAAGGGAATACGGGATGGTGTGTATGTATTCATAAGGTATGTATGCATGCTTGAATCACATTCTTTGTGTAATATGACCATGGTTTCAGGGTTTAATTAGTTCCGCTTGTCGAAACCTGCTGAACGATTAAATTAACGCATCAAGGGCAAAATGATCATGGAGGTTAGACCTAGCCGGAGCCATAAGACATGTCAGATAAGAAACGAGGCCCAGGCTAGGTCTAATGTTGTTGGACTATTAAGCTAGGTGTGTATGTTTGAAATATTAATGACATCTTATCTGGGTGTGCTGTACTAGAAGCATAGTCCCATTGGACCCCATTATATTAGATTATCATAATCCTAATCATCAAGGAATGATTAAAATATTTTAAGTGATGAAACATACGTTATGGTATAATGTAACTTTACATGAAAAATTGTAAAAAATTTGATGGATGATGGTGAAAATAATGAATGCATTTTAAAAAAATGCTTGTTAATGGGTGGATTAAGCACAGATTATGAAATAATCCATGGTCCATGATCTTGGAACCATTCTTTGAACTTTTCTTAAAGATGACACATTGGACTTTCATATGCATTTATTTTTTACAGCCAGAAACTACTCGCAAAAAATTATCAACTGTCAAAAATCTGTTGCACTAACTTCCCTCGTTCTTTTGTGTTATCATGTTTGTAAATTAGTTTGATTTCGATCGACACTTTTTTTTTATTTAAATGTTGTTTACATGTTTCAGCTAGCATCACGATCAATAGAATAAACATACACCGGATTATGTTTTAATATATTACAAATAATTTATTTCATACTATTATCTACATAAAAATATTCCAATATAATATCATAATAAATAAAATAAATTACTAACTAAAATATTTCATGCCATACAAAATGTACTTTGTACATGTAATACTATAATACCATCACTATGTACTTAAAATATGATAAATATCTTACGCCCTACAATATTGACATGGAAAGATATAAATGCATAATTGAGATCAATCCACCACTTTGTATCAATAGCACCAAAAAGATGTGAATGTTGCCCCAAGGGGAATCCTAAATGTCTCCTTTAGCTATCCTGCTTAGTACTGTGATGATATATGCGCGATCAACACTAGATATACACATTATACACTATAATATATGCTCACTTAACTTAGTAATTAATAATGCGTACACATTTTAGACTATGTAATATATCTTTAATCAACAGTGTGAAACATAAGTAAATTTAAATATAAAATGAGTGATATACGCAAATCAGACAGTACAATATTCACGTATTTAGCAAAGTACCAACGTAATGAACACTGCATATTGATAAATGTGTTTTATGAGGACTTTAATGGTGGTATCAGATCTGTAAAACGAGTAATAGTAGAAGTAGTAGTAGTGACATTGATTGTTTAAATATCAGAATATTTTGGGCTCATATCAGTCCTAGTCATGTCTATTTTCTAAAAATCCCCAAAGTGTGTACACTTTATTTGAGGAAACTGAACATTTTTACAACGTTTACAATAATACATTCATTTTTTAATAATTGTGGTTACAAATTTATCATTTTGGAGAATTTAAACTTTTCCGCCCATTTTTGTTCTTTAAACCCTTAATAACTTCACCAATTCATGTTATACCCCGGATCGTTTTTGAGATATTATATTTGAAATAGCAAGGAATATATTGGTAGGTCAACTCTACATGTTGTTCACATTTTGTCACCCCTGTAGATCTGATTCTCCCTTTAAGATCACTAAATATTGAATATCACGTTATGATATGGTTCCTGGCATTGGTTATATACATCCTAATAAATGTTTCACTGTGTTTGGGTAAACTGGTATCACTCTTTCATCTTGCTCATCGTACGTGGTATACCTGAAGAAAATAAGAAGGTCAAAATATTAAAAATCACCTTGTTTAGGATAAGATATTAAACGGTATTTCTATTTCACAAAATTACTTTTCCATACCATTTTATATTTTAATAAACGATTAACCTGCACATAAGTTTGTTATTGCAAAATGCATCGGAACGTTTTAAGGATTGTGTTTTGGTGCAGAGTTTTTACATAATTTTGGATATGATCCACCCCTTAGGATCTTAAAGCCTTACGTTTCTTCAGTAAAGAAATACAAATATCGTCCATTGTATCTCATCGCTGCTCTCACATCCTTTATTGCTGGTAATCCCTGCCATTGCTCTGTAAGCAGCACCGAGTTCGAATCCACGTGGAACGTCCGTTCATTCAATTTGTAGACTCTGTTATTCTGCAACGAACATAGTCAAGTAAATTTCTCAATAAGCTTGAACAATAAAAACTGATAAAAATTTAGAATGAGCACCTTATTTTTCATATTTTAATTGTGGAATACCAGTTACTAGTATTACAAGCAGTTTTTATATAAATATATACTAGTGAGTGAAGTTAGATTTTAGAGATTGTTTTGAGAATTAATGGATATAACTAACGATAATTGAAAAATAATGATATTAATTGTAAAAAATGAAATATTCTTCATCCTTATAATCTGAATATATACACTGTGTGTTTGAGGATGGAGGCAACATTGCCTGTTTACCTGTATATTTACAGGTACATGCATTTGAAGACCCACATTGCCCTAAATATTACATCTAAGATATTTGATAAATATATATTTCTCGATAAAAAATAATCTGACAACACCAACCTTAATAAGTAAAATATTTCCATTTCTATCTGTTAGTGCAGCATCTGGTTTTGTCATATCACCTGTTAGTCGCCTTGGAAACCCACTTTCCATAGTGTTCCCGCTGTAGCGCCATACACGATTATCTAAAATAGATGTCGCTCCAAATAAAAAATGGCCTGTTGAGATACACGTAAGTCCAGAGGACATTTAACTTTTTTATTATTGCCTTTCACGTGCAATGACGCAACATGAGTCATAAAATACTTACATATTTCTATAAAAGTTATAAAATACATTTCCGATGAAGCCTTCATTCCAATTTAGTACTACAGCGAAGGCTTGGAAATATCGACTATAATCGTGATCCCATAGTTTGTACGCGCCATGTTTAAAAAACTTTTTTATTCTTCTTTTGTTGGGAAACAGCTATTTGCAATCTATACTACTACACGTCAAGCAGACACTCTTAAGTTACTGAGTTTTCATGACTAAAATATACCAGGATTGATTTATATCAGACCTGATGTATTAGTCCAATGTGCGCTATTGATGTTCAAAATCTATTTAGCATATAAGTTATTTACCTTTGAAGAAGTATGTTCTCCTAGTTTTCGAAGAGAAAACCGCCGATCGGGGACTGTTTGGTGGTCGATTAAATAATTTCCTAGTGAGCTTTGGATAGCTTCTTTTCACCCCTTTGTTTGACAATCTCCACACCCACTTATCGTTAAAAACGTATGTCTTGTTATCCCCAGAAAATAGAATGGTATCGAACGATGTGGAACAGATATCTGGCTTGTGTCTTCCCTGTGTTTCTTCTGTCGACTCTTCTTCGTGAATCTTTTCTCCTGAAATGTAAGTGATATACATGGTATTAGTTATTGAAGTTACTAATTGAAGTTACTTATTTCTTTATGCAGTTTACAAATAACAGGCGAAATGCTCACTACAGAATATCTTTTAAATTGTATTTATTTCCAAATCGCATATTTTCCTTCAGTTAAATAGATACAGCTAACGGAGTCTGGAAAGCGGAAGTTTCCCTCATATGTTTACGTATGTTTATGTTGGAATAGTATTTTTGTCTTCATATTACGCTAGTTGGGATCAAAAACAATAATGTATAGTTATAATTTTGTTGCTAAACATGAACAGACTTTACGCCAATTTACGCAGAGAGGTCCAAACGGGGACCCCGTTTGTTTGAATAACATTTGAAGGGATGTAGCTTTGGAGTTAACTTCGGTTGGTATAATGCAAATATTTCCATTTCCACCCACACATAAGCCAACCCAACCAACAAACACAATCAAATTTAGAAAGATCGAATGTGATCAAGATTCCTCCATTGCTGCAAACATGTAGTTGATATGCATTGTTTAAATATAGAAAATACAAACATCAGATACTGTATATGTTTTAAGTTCATTGTATATTTTGTTACGTACCGTATATTGCCTGGATGTCCTGAACATCATCGATTGAGAGTTCAAAATTGTTTTTATATCCCTGGTAATATGGCGTCATAACGGAATCTTTCTTGTCAGAGTGCTGCAAACCTGGTATTAAAAAGATCTTGATTATTCTATGACTCACTTTTAAAATATCTGATAAATCATGGGTTCTAACCAGACCCTAACATAGCGTGAGCATCCGAAGATCAACGTTGAACATATAACCTCGTGCCTCAGCCATGGTATCGCTTAGCAAGCTCACGTCATCACTTTGTTCTGGTTGGTACCCGTGTAAATGGTAAATGTTTACTCTGAATTGTTCTCAAAAGTTACGACTATAAACAAGACAAATTAAAACGTAAACACATTGGTACATTATAAAGATGTTTGTAAAGTATTACCTAGCGCATGGCCAAGTTCGTGAGTAGCAATAATCTTTAGATTGGTCCCTTCTCTCGAGTTCTCCGTCCAAAGCTCGTCATCATCGAAATGGACGCCACCATTCTCAGGCAGAAACGCATGGGCAAGTGTACCACCTAAAACATATGCAGACATTATCGCTTTAATTTTATATTACAGGTTATGCAATCTCAGTCTGAAATAGTTGATTAGTGTTTACGCCACTCATGAAATGACGTCATATAAAGGTGTTGGTGAATTCGAAAGTCCAATATTCCTCATATAGATGATGAATTGAATGTTATGTAATTGAGGCATGCGAGGCAAAATTACCGTATAAAGATTTTACAGATAAATTTATTCGGACGTGATTCCAGCTAAGTCGGTTGTTTCAAGCCCAAATATACAAATAAACCTCACTAAGGCTATCTTTATCTCGAACATTTACATTTGACTTGTCTCGTTATTTTTGACTCTGATGACTCTGTATTGCTTGTTTTAAATGACAAAATGTTTAACTACCGTTTCCATCGAATGCATTATTGCTTCCATCCCCATGGTTATATTTGCCGAACAATATCTCGATGTCAGCTTTTCCCGATGACGTTTCTTCAAAATCTAGCTCAGTGACGTCACTCCAATATTTAAACGCTTGCGTGAATGTATTTCTAAAATGAACGTACAGTATGTTATAATCACGAAGTGTTCAGTAATTAATTAGAAACATTGTAATTTTATCATTGTTACCATAATTGAGACATATTTCTATATTTTGTTTAAAGCTTATTTAAATTGCTTAATTGACACTTACGTTTGTTGCTCTGGTGTCAGATCTGAGCTGAAGTTAATTGTTCGCCATGAGAGATTCTTCTTCTCCCAGAAAAATGGAGTGCCTGAAATGCGAACGTAAAAATAAGGTACCGTACATAAAATACCGCGCACTTATCTGCACAACCAATGCAGAAAGCTATGCGAGGATAAAACACTATCGATTGAATACACTAATTATAACTAACTAATTATATACCGTTTTTGATAGTCTATATTACCTGGAGCTAAGCTCCTCATGCCCCTAATTGACCTTGACGATGACGTAACATCCGGCAAACCACACCGAGGCTGGTGCATTTTCCACCGTGTTTCATCGTCAAGCTTTCCAGTGACTGGTAGATGGTTAAACTTTTGGTATTTCCTGTAGTAAGATATATTAATTATATGCATTACAAGAACATGAAGTGGTATATAAAATTACTGTAGAACTACTCAACTCAACATCCTACCGAATGCATGTGCAATTTACGCAGTGCAAAGAGAAATCGTACAAGAAGTAGGGAAAGATGCATTAATGTTGATTGGAAGAAATGAATATGAAGAAATTTTATTGCGAAAAACGAGATAGTAGAAATGACAGTGCAATATTCACCACGTATTTGTACGTGATAGTATTTTACATACAGTTTTCACTATACCTAATTGCGTGTGTTCTTGCTAATTCACTATGGTGTGCTGGGCCAAAATGGGTCTGTCTTAGGTAACCAAAACTCTCAAGGTAAGCCTGTAAAAAATCGGACACACTTATTAAACAAGTGGAGGATAAACACACACTACTCTAGTCCCAATCATACGATACATGTAACCACAAAACCCAAAAGGGGAAAGACCGGAGAGCATTATAACATGACACAATACGAAACAAAATACAGGAGCGTGCCCAGTCATAATAAAACTAAATCCCAAATATCCCAAATTATGATCTACGTACAAAAAACGTTGGATGTCACCTTCTGATATGAAGAGGAAGATGTATAACATATGATCGCACAATACAATGATTAGCCATACATCAAAAGTATTTATGAGTACAAAACTTTCATGAGTACAAATGTCATGAGGAAATAGGTGACAAATAACCATCAACCCAAACAATGATATAACGTATAAAGAAACTGTGAATTGACACACCTTACTACCACTATTCAGAAACTATTAGAACAATCATAAACCACAAGACCATAGAAAAGTTCATTCTTGCCGAGGTCATTGCAACATTTGTTGAAAAACGATTATAGAAAAGAAAAGAAGACCATGTACCAATAATCTAACATAAAAAATAGTTGTGGATAAAATAACAAATGAACTTTTGGAACTACATATTTTAATTTGAGGTTGGTTTTGATTTCTTGTGGTATTAGTGTCAGCCTTATGTATCAATATTAAACCTCAGAATCTTTGGAATTCAGTTAAAGTATACAATCGTGAAGTGAAAGTGTACAATGAACATAGAGATCTGTCATAGTATAGCAAATATGTTGCATAGTTTTGAACCACAAAAACATAAAAAATTAACCTAGATTAAAATGACACGTCCAATCTCACACCTAATGGATTAGACAGATGATATTGGTTACTAAACTTTACAAACATAGACTTTATATGTCGGATGTCTGCAGAGAAAAATTCAAAAAATTAATTTATAGCACATAAAGCACTTCAATTTGCGCATAAATTTTTCCATTTAGATTCTATTTCTTGTAACTTTTCCAAATGAAGCATAATCACATTAATCTAAGTAAGAATTATCGAAACCATTGAAGTAAAATCGTTAACAGACTGGCGTGTGCCAATTAAACTTACCGACGCATGTCAAATAAACATACTGACGCGTGCCAGTATAAATTGAATGCAATGTATTTTACGAGGCCTCTGACAAATTAGCAAGGGTTAACTAAGTAAAACCAAAATGCATTCCATTCAACATGTTGAGAAATTCAAGCTCAGCTTTAGTATTTTAGAATAATGAAATTCACTTACGTCAAGTTTTGCGACATTACTTGAAATACCCGGATGTTGTATCCGTCTGCTTAGTCTCCGTATGGTGTTGTGTAATATGCTCTGCCTACTGTCTGCTAAACCTTCTCTTATTCTATGTTTTCTAGGTGCACAATTGATGCAGAATATTAACAATTGTGTTATAACAAAAAACTTTAAACAAGTGGCTCTCATCTCTTTGTTTTCACTTAATAGCTTTATGTTTGAAATATTACTCGGTTCTAAATCACGTCAAGTGTTTAGGAGTAATACGTTTTTTGTAAACTTTTGAAGCGAACAATCGTATAAATTCCTTTTACAAATACTGTTCAAACGCTTAAGGTGTGCGTGGTAATGATACGGACGCTATGAAATAATCTTTTTATATAGCCCATTATGCAGCGCTTTAAACACTTCCTTGTATACAAAACTGGTATTTTTAAAATGTCATTTCTTTTGAAATATGCCATTTTGACTTCCTTTGACTTGGATAATTATTCGATAGTGTTAAAAGTTTGAATAGTGATGATGGCTTGTAAATGAGTAAAACAATTGAGGTAAAATACCACTTCCAGAATTTACATTTCCTGCTTCCGATTCTAATCCCTGTGTTTGAAATGTCTGTGTTTATTCCGCTGAACTATTTCATAAAACTATAGAATATAATTGAGTTTCCTACATTTTTTGAATTCTGTACATTTCAAATTTGTATATAAGAATATATTTACTAAATATCTCTTTTATCTACACATTTTTACTATATGTTCACTATCTTTAAATTTTCTTGGGATTTGTTCACAATGACCTTCTCCACTTCAAATTGTTGAAATCACGATTCGCCAAATTATTAAGTGATTGCCAACTGGTTTTATTCAAACAAACACAGGAGCTACTTAGAAGAACATCCGTCAATATCAAAAGGTCAATACACATGCTCTGAGATAAGACTCCTTTGATGAAACATAATGACAAAACAATTTATTCAAGTGGTGACATCATTTTGATTTAAATTTGAGAGCAGCGTCATTAGCCTACTACAGTTGTGTATTAAACTAGAATTTCATTTGTAAATATTGGTATAAACTAAAAACTTAAAAGGAATGTACAAGTAAATATAGTAATGCATCTGTAATGTGGAATTTGCATTCTAAAATGATGACATTACCCTTCAGAAGCGTGCCAGTGTTCGTGCTGAGAAATCATTTCTTACCCATGCCTCATTGGACTCAATTCAAATACTGTAAAATCCCAAATTGTCAAGGTTCTCTAATTTTCACTTTTTCGCTGACGTGACTAGACCGTGAAATTAAATGCACAGTGAAAATTTGATTTAACATTGAATTTAATAGGATATTTCTTCAAACAGTGGAATTTAATGCACATGAACTTTTTCAGATTGACAAAACAGTTTTTTGTCAGCGAAATTTGGGCTTTTACAGTATCGTATATGCCTTTGGAATAAAATGCTATATGATTCCTTCTATACTGATCTAGCATACAAAGTATGTGTAGGTGGATATTACCTCAGACTGGAATAACAAACAACACAGTTGTCCGCTAGCATGACGCTAGTACTTATCTTACACTTATAGTTTATGATTACAAAACACAATCACAACTCAGAAATTCGCTTATATTATTCTAAATGCACAGTCTCAAGGCTACATACAAGTGATTAAAATAATATGTACTTATAGTTTATAATTACAAAACAAAACCACAACTCAGAAATTCGCTTATATTATTCTAAATGCACAGTCTCAAAGCTACTTATTAATTAAAATAATATGTACAACAAATCAACAAATTCAATCAACTACTTCCAGATATGTAAGATAATCTATAGCTTAGAATTAATTAAACTAGGTTAAACAATACATACAGGTATATATAATAATTTTACCTTTGTCTAATCTATAAAAAGTGTTCCAAAAGCTCAAAATACATCTAACATTTAGATACATTATATATACAAATTAATGTTTGTTTTACTATAATCAATCGAAATTTAACTTTGTTATTGTAATTGTATCATTGTACATCTGATGCTGTTTAACCTGAAATAAAAACTATTAAAAGAACATAACAAAACTTTATTTCTGAAAATATCTGATATTTATAAGGGAAGATAGAAAAAAAGACTTGTGTTATTAAAAGTTAATAATTTCTTAAAATTAGATTTAGCTGTAGCGATACCCGTATTACAAATTAAGTAAAAATTTAAACTTGTAAAAATCCGAAAACGTCAAAGCAAGCATAACGTTATTTTAATGAAAACTACATTTCAGATCGACCCGTCGTTAATTATAAATTCGATATATAGTGCGGTATAGTATAAATTGGATATATAGTGCAATGTAGTGCATACCATTATACAGGGTGTCTCAAAAAGGGAAACCGGGATTTAATTGCTCATTTCTCAAATATGAATAATAATAGGATAATTTTACAGCTATCATCTTACATGTTATGATGTCCTATTTCTTATGATACCAAGGTTGTCTATTTTCCTTCACAGATGACTGAGTTCTAAGGGATTTAAGCGACCATATCAGAAATGGGTTTGTGCCACTTTTTTTCTTTCATGAATTACAATGGGGAATTAAAATGGCTACGCCAGGATGGTTTTGTACCCTGTGGCTTCTTCCTCTATGGTTATCTCAAGGATAAAGTCTACACAACAATACTATGAGGCATTGGTAATCTAAGGGCCAGAATTGTTGCAGCAGGATCTAAGGGGACAGAGAGACATCATTGGGATGCAGTTCTGTGCGATGAGATCTAGGGCAGACATCTGTCTTGAAAGGAATGGAGGTCATGTTGAAGGACACTGGGGTTAAAACATCTTTGATTAGTAATTGGGATTGAAAAGGGATGTTAAATATGATATGTGTAACTTTAATTGGAATAAATGCGTAAAAAAGTAATATCCTGATATTTGTTATGATAGTGAATTGACTTGGCTGAAAGTGGCACAAACCCATTTCTGACATGGTCACTTAAATCCCTCATTGGTCAGTCATCTGTGGAGGAAAATAGCACATTTTGGTCACATATAAAAGGGGGCATAATGACGCAAATGACAGTACCTGCGAATTGTCCCTAACATTATTCATCTTTGACAACTTAGCAATTTAATCTCGGTTTCCTTTTTGAGACACCCTGTATATAAATATTTGCACTTCCTAAAAAGATAAATGTAAGTACTAATAATGCACTTTCACCCCTCTCCCTAAACTTCATTAAGTATATGTCTCGAGGTGCCATTGACCTTGTCATTGGGATCTCATTTTCAAAACAGATAAATTAAATTATCAAAATTGAGTGTAGATAGATAACATATATCCAAGCTTATATGGATGTGAGATAGATAGTAGTTCACCTTCACATTAGACTCTTATCGCTGATTAGCTAATTAATAATATTATACAATTAATCAAATACTGGTAGACACCAGTATTGAACAGGTTTCTGCAACTGATTTAAAATATTTAGAATTCTTGTTGTTTGCTTTTTTTGACTTAATTATATGTTCTTCGTGTTATCTTATTACTAGTATTGGTGTTTTGAGAGATAATTAAATAATAGTTACCAATGTGTCTTTACATGTATCCTCTGATACTGCTTACAGTCAAAATAAAGGAAATGTTTTACCTCAGTCAATGATTTTATCTTTGCTCATATATACGGTATATTTATACAGTCACCAATTTCCAGACCGCAAACTCTAAACAGAGACATTATGTTTTTAATTTATATTTTATACTATCACATGTACATGAGTAAATATGAACACTATCTATATCTTAATGCATATTGATAAACCATTTAAAACGCACATGTTGAGCACGTTGACAGTGCCTGGTTGATAACTGGTCGTCGTCCTTTATAGTTGAATGTGATCCATATAGATTATTATATCCAAAAAATTCGGACCCCACTTTATTAAACTTTTTTTGATTTATGTTCCATAGTTCAAGTTATAATCGTTAGGTACTTGAAAATCTCCCAGTCCAACCCTAGAGTATAATTACAACATTTTAAGGATTCGTTACCGAAAGGAAAATTGTATAAAACGTGGATTTAACAAGAAGTACGGTACTGTGAAAAATATGTTGATACTCTACAACTCATTATAACCGAAAACGGTTATACGCTTTATTTTCTAAGATATCGTTTGGAATACGGACGAATATTTTCATATTTTAAGGATAGCTGGACCCTATGTGTGTTTTAGCATCTCACTAGTGATATAGGTTTCATAAATGATGCAATGAGATTATATCGCTGGTCACAGTTCTTGGATAATTTCTAAGGCATCAAAGATAACAAGAAGAAGAAATACTCAAAAGCTCAATATTTCAAAATTAGATCACTCACATTTGCGCAAACATAAACATGGCAAATACAAATGCTCTCAAGGATGGTTTCATCCGGAAAACTGACCACATATTTTTCAAACTTGGCATGGCATCTCTATCGTTCTTTGCAATAGTTGCATATTCATCTCACGAAGCCTATACGAGGATAAATAAACCAATAGACGCTGATTTCGAAACGAAATTTTCAGTTGCGGATTTCCCGGAAACTCTTCATTTACGTCATAGGCGAAGTGTTTTTTATTCAACAAACGCCACCCAGCAGAATAAAACAGAGGAAGAGGTAAGTGTAATCAAAATATACTGATACATAACTTATTTTGACTGACCACTCTTATTTTACCGCGGAGACATTTGGGTTCTATAGCCAAACTGTCCGAAAATGCTTTTGATATATCAGTCAAAATATAACAATACTGTTCGAGTAATCTCAAAATTAGTAAAAAATATTAAATAGCGAATAGCTGTTTTAGACTTAGACATAAATACTTCCTGTTATTATTGAAGCTTCAAGTAGACAGTGAATAATTGATTAAGCTGAAGTACATTATGAGGTTTTTTAAAAGTTGGATTGGAAATTATCATACTTCTTACAAGGTGAAGGTTACTAATCTTTGATACTTTAGGGGATCAGATTTGTGCCTAAAGGCCCCCTCACATATGAGCGAATTCACCGAACGCACCCTGGCTCATGAGGAAAATTTGTCAATTCTGACGAATCTTGAGCGAAAATGTTACAAAATCGGTTACATAATTTCAAAACAAAACGAATGGTAATGTAAGATAACTATTTGTTGCGAATGTTTTACGAAGTGTGACGAATGGCTACTTTTGTTCGCCAAAATGCGTTGGTCTCAATATATAGGGTAACCAAGGACATGCATTAAATCTATATCCCTAAGAAGTTATGAGTCTGAAGAAATTGTACTTCTAATTTCAAACATATATCTATCGGATAGCATTTTTCACTACGTACTACTAAGTTAATAAATTTATTTCAATAAATTTATGAGTTTTATTTAATACATTTATGGTACAGCATTTGTCACTACGTATTACTATTCAACCGATCATGTTGAGCAATGAAGAAGTGCAGTAATATGCTTTCGTACGAACTGTAAGTCAGTGAGCAAGATACAAATATATTCAGATAGATTAGATTCAGCTAAAAATGCTGTTTTCCAGATTTCAACATCTTATTAGCATGCATTTTCATTGAAAACTGTAAATTGTAAATACAAGTACTACAATGAGGGATACCTTTGATGTCACTGGTATTTGGGTAGTTCATGTATGATCTGTACTTGATTAATTAATGGCAATATATCTTTTAATGAAAGAATATATTCACCAGTGAATATCGCGTACTCATGACGAAACAAACATTGTGATACAAACAAATGTGAATACAAGTCAAATGTGAATTAAAACGAGGATAATGAGTTAATTAATTATGACTACATAAAATGTATTATCTCAAATAATAAACTTAGGACCCATTTTGATTGATTAATTACAACTCAACAAGTTGATGATCCACCCATTTTAATGATAATCGGACAAGGTTATTTCGGACAAATTCCTTTTGATAGATCAGTATCACGTTTAACAACTACGTAAAAATACAGTATTTTCATTATCAATAATATTATGACAACTAAAAATTGTCATCAGTAATAATAATAGAGAGAATTAGCAACTTACTTATAGTAGCATGTTTATTATTCCCGTTTAGTTTATAACTTATGTAGCGTTTGCTTACGTCATTATTAATTGTGCAGGCTATGCGTCCACATGTGTGATATTCTTACGTATATGCGACGATTTATAAGAATATGACAATTATGGACGGAAGAAGTACCAAATGAAAAATTAACATTGTTTTGAGCCACTTTTGACATTATAGAGAAAAGTTATAGTTCAAATTAGTTAAGCTATATTGCTTACCACCTTCGTTTGTTACACAATTTCCCCCATTTTGATTTTTGAATTAGGCTACGCACGTCAATATGAAATTTTAATCGATATAAACATATGCCTTGCTTACACTTTTCTTTATCTTGACGTGAAATAACAAGTTATAATATGATGCGCCAGAAATTAACATACAATATTAACATTAACATCTAAAACTCTCTATTATCAAAAAGGGAAACATAGTTCTGCTCATTTTGAAGTTATCACGTTTATAGTTCACAGAGTACACCCTTCTCTTGAAAGTCAATGCCAGGATGTGATATATATTTTCAATGTCAAGGTTCATTTTGACTAACAATTAGATTACAGACAATGAAGAAGGTTTAATGTCAATGTTCATTTTGACTCGATGATGGGCTATGTATATTCAATGTCAATGTTCATTTCGACTCGATGACGGGCTATATATAACCAATGTCAGTGTTCATTTGAACTTAAAGAGTCGATGATGGGCTGTATATGTCAATGTTCATTTCGACTCGATGACGGGCTATATATAACCAATGTCAGTGTTCATTTCAACTTACACAGTCGATGACGGGCTATATATGTCAATGTTCATTTTGACTCGACGACGGGCTATATATAACCAATGTCAGTGTTCATTTGAACTTACACAGTCGATCGCGGGCTATATATGTCAATGTTCATTTTAACTCTATGACGGGCTATATGTAGTCAATGTCAGTTTCATTGGACTAACAGAATGGATGCACGTCATCTATATTTGCACCTTACGACATTCCCCATCGCCTTTCGTAATTCCTTTAGTCGTGTGGCATAAATCCAGGGATTCATCGCGCTATTCGACACTACCAATATAGTCGTGTAATAACGGAATGACTCGTACCAAACTGGTTCTTCTTTCAATCGAATAAACGAAGTTATTGTCCATGGTAGCCAGCACAACAGAAACACCCCGACCATTAAGGTCATTGTTTTGGCAATTTTGTTTTCATTGCGGTGCGCAACGGCCATGTTATTACTGAAGCGCACCAACTCTGCATTGATTGCTGCCCTGTGCTTCTGAGCAAGAACTGCTACTACTGTATGTGAAATAACAGTTAGAAGCATTACGATGAAGATATTGACTTTAATTACGGCGAACATACCAACCGAAGCAACGCGTTTTATACTACAAGTGTCCCCAGATCCAATTCTATTACTGAAGAAATATAACATGCAAACAGATAGCATGTATATCCACACACATATGATATAAGCCGAAACGTTTCGACGGGTTAGCAAAGTCCCATAACGTAAAGGATGCATGACTGCAAAATATCGATCTAAAGCAACTCCAGCCATACTAAACAAAGATGCACCAAGGGAAACACTCTTTAAATACAGTCCAATTGCGCATAGCCACCTATCCTGCGTGTGTTCACCATACAAAAGTGGTACCAAGTACCGTCTGTGGATAGTTAGGGGACATACAATGCCACCCATTAAGAGATCCGCTACAGCTAAACTCATGAGAAAAATATTGTTAATTGTGCGCAAGTTCCTAAATGCCAATAGAGTGGTCAGTACTATGACATTCCCTCCAATTATAAGAAGTGCAACTATAGATTCAAACACTGCATGAGCTATCAAGTCATACGTCGCTGCTGTAGGCTCCAGTCCGATTGCCGTTGTATTGATACTCTCTTCTTGAATGTTGGCAGCCATTCTTAATATATTGTCAATCTCTTTTTAATATAGTTTATTATTTAACTGAAATGCTGTGAACCAAAATGCCCAACCACCACTGTGTTTAATAGTAGCTTAATACTATTTTCGGTTTGCTATGAGGCCTACTTTATCCTATGTTGTTTGAGAAAAAATCATTTTTTCAATTCCTCGACTTACGTATAATGTTCTTTCATCTACAAAAGTTAGTAGATATTAAAATAAATTATAATGAGTAAGTAACGAACTATAGTTACCTTATTACCCAATCAATGTTCACTTCCAAATCGGGAGATGTATTGAGATGTGTTGCCAGAGGAGTAGCTAAACTGTTATACAAGTATGCACAAGATTCACAATCACAATCATGAAGATGTTGTTTTTGTTTTCGAGTACCTCCTCCTTACCGCTTCTGTCTAAACCTTTTAGTTTGAATTTGTTTTACTGAAAATACACCTGAGGTTAATTCAGCAAGGACCTTCCTTAGGGTCATCATAGAAATATAGCAAATATAGAAATAATACGATAGCAACAAACAACATAGTAAGAGCTTCCAGATATTAATTGCCTAATGCATGTTCGATGTAGACCAAATGTGACACTGCGTTATTTTTATATGCGTTCTTGACAATTTTAAAGAATCATAAAAATACAAAGAGTTAGATCCTAAAATCTAGAGTTGGGGGGGGGGGGAAGCATTAGTTTTGCCCAATATTTCCTTGGGATATAGGAATAATTTTGTGCAAAAATTATATATGAGTACCCTGTACTTTATCTCATTGTCATTTCATTCATTTACCATTTGCTGAGTTTGTTTGAGGATTTAAATAGGTATTGATTATGAAAAAGTATACAATTTCAGCAATAATTAAAAAATCATAATCATATTCACAACAGATTATCAATGCTCACTTATTAGAAATATATAACTTAATTCATTAGAGAATAGATCTATTCCTATACATTAAGAATTAATCAATTTATAATTTGCATTATATTATTTTTCTCTTAAACTGGAAAAATAAAAATTAGCACATGAACATCGTTGAGTATCTATATTATTTTTCATATCACTATATACCAGTACTATCTTATTCTAGGAGGACTGCAGAGACATACATAAATATAACAGTTCAATGTGGTGCAGATTTGTACAGAATACAGACGACTGTAAGAACGATGACGGTTTCATCAATTACAACAATTTCATTTACTGTTCACTTGGCACCAACCTTGTTCCTCTCGGAGTATTTATTTGCGTAAGTTTCCACCTGATCTTATCACAATTTCATATACTGTTCACTAGGCACCAACCTTGTTCCTCTCGGAGTATTTATTTGCGTAAGTTTCCACCTGATCTTATCACAATACAATTATACAAATATGCCCTGTGAGTAAAGTGAAATATTTTGACATATAAGTACACGTGCATTTCAAAGACATATTTTCAGTTCAATACCATTATATAAATTGCTTTTCGATAGTCTCAGAACATACTTTTAAGATAATTTGAAATGTGATCTTTAAATCAGATCTACCGTGTGATATTAACACTCATGACATGTGTCTCTAACCGTATGGTATGTGTATGTTGTCTACATATAAGAATGCATGATGTTAAGACTGTTACACGAAACCTTTCTTATGTGATTTTCAGTTTCTCTGGTGGCTCTTTCTTTTCATTGGACTGGCAGTTACGGCAGATGATTTGTAAGTCATGGTTTTTGACATAGGGATGCAATTAATAAATTGAGGTCCTTTTTGTCTCAGTTGTACATAAAAATATATATGTTGCGTTTTACTATTTCCTTAGATGCGGAATTAGAGATTTAGGCGGTGAAAATGTTCCTTACTGTAATTAATAAAAAAGTGGCGACCATATTTTTAGATAGATTAACACATCATTTTGACAAGGAATGGTATGAGACCAAAACATTGTAAGGTTGGGACCCCTTTTTGAGCATCCAGCAAATCACAGTATTGGCAATATAGGTCATAGTATACAATTTATTCGCATTAACCACTTCACACATTGGCGAATACACAGGTTTTACGTTATTCATGTACAGTGGCCTTATAACTTAATCACGCATTTTTTGTCTTTTATTTCTTTTTTCAGCTTCTGCCCCCAACTTGTTGTTATCTCGGATACCCTAAGAATAAGTCCAAATGTGGCAATATCCTTTTCAATTATAGTAAGCTCACAGCACCAAATGATAATATTTCGTTTTTTATATGCAATGTTACTCACAAGGTAATAACACATACATAAAACATATCCTTAGTTATTGCAATTGATTTTAATGGCGCAAAAACTTATTAGTGATCGTATAAAATGATCTTATGAGTGCCTTCAGCTATAAGATATTCTTAATTCTTCGTAGCTTCGACTTCTATATATTTATTTGGGTAGATAATAACAAAATATTTAGTAGTGTTAAGTTTCACTTGTGTACACTACCTTAACTGTAGTAAGGTGTCACATTTCTTGCATTTGGCAATGGCGCCCCAGATGTCTTTTCGTCCATCGCCTCAATTGACAGCATGAAAGATGGCGACATGGGGATGTCAGTAGGAGGTCTCTTAGGTACATACTTATTTATCAAGTAGGATCGGAAAGCAGGATTCCTGCCCGATTCTCATTTGCCTTGCATGGAAAAATTTGGTAATGATATTCCTTTAATTTTCATCTCTAGATAAAGTATTTAGTCAAGAGATGACGATAATGGTACTATTATTACCAAATCGGTCCCTTACCTCGTTTTTCAAGTTGTCAGATGTTCGGCAAGGAATTCTGGGATTCGATCCCCCTTCTTTATTTATGCAAAATGAGTTAAATTGGGTGCTATATCATGTAAAAGTTGGATATATTAAAGCATCAAAAACTAAAATTTCATGTTAACATAGACATTTATAGGGAGTTAGAAGACTTAGATGTGTAAACATGAGAGCACCCCTTTTCATCTTTGCTCATCGAAAATGTTCATTATAAAGCGTTTTAAACATTATACATGGTTTTATCTTAATTTTGCTACTACATGTAGGGTTCAATAAGTCAGAAAATTACAAACTTAATGAATTTATTGAAATCTCCAAACACAAATACCATAAATTTTAACATGTGATCCGATAAAGTACTTCCGGTTGTCAAACTTTACCAGAGTGTACCAAAATTGTATATTTGCACTTCAATGCCATACTATATACTTTCAGGAGCCGGGGTATTCGTGTCTACTGTGGTAGCTGGAGCTATTGCCTTCGTGAGACCGTTTACCTGTATGAAACGGCCACACATTAGAGACATTTTGTTTTATATCACCTCTGTTGGATGGACATTCGCAATCCTTCACAGGAAGCGTGTTTATCTGGGAGAAGCTATTGGTACAGTAATATAGAAATATCAAATTTTTACACGAACACTAGTATAGTAACTATAATATGCGTTAATCAAAGGTCGTTTGATGATAACTCAATTTTTAGGTTTTGGTGGCCAATTTCTCTGTAAATCACCTGGTCAAATATTTAGAGGGAAATGGGGTTGCAATGCAAATTCAAATCTCAAAATAAATTATATATACCATCGCGATGCCCTTAACTTTTAGGCCATATATTAGAGGACCTGGTAAACCAGAAGAACTGTTTAATCAACTTTTTGATTTTTAGGGTTTATGGGGTTTTACGCTGTATACGTCATAGTAGTGGTGGTGTCAAGGAAGGTATTTGAGAAGCGTGAACTTCCGAGAAAACTCTCACGAGCGAGTGAATGTGAGTACGATCGAATAAAAACATGTTTTTCTCATGTACCGGACCGTTGAGGAAAAACGAAGATCTAAATTACCCCTAAAACGTTTTGGATTTGGATCCGGCTGACTTGAAATTTGTTTAATCAACTGCGTCTCTCATGACGATTGCTTTATCGTTGTAGTGGAGAAAAGTGGTGACACACAATCAATTCAGCGTTCTATGTCTGTGTCCTCTGACGTTCCATTCTCAGAAGTGAGCGATAAAAAGACTTATGATATTTCTTTCATCGACGTGACGGAACTGATCGGAGGGAAGGAATCGATCCCAAGCTCAAACGGCCATGTTAATTCCGCTTTCGAAGGTAAACTCCTTGGCTCTCTAGCTGCGGCTACAGATCAGTGTGTGTCTATATTTTGCGCTTTTACTAAGGGTGATTGTAAACATATTGTGAAGGAAGATCTAAATAGTTTTTAGAATACTGTACAACAATGCATGCGTCTTTTATTTCATGTATTGTTTCTTATTTTAGGAGATATGGATCCAGTTATAAAAAAGGGTAAGGCATGTGTTATGTCTTATTAATAAATATAACTTAATGCAAAAACGAATAACTCTCAAAACAATAAAGGACTTACAAATAATGCTTAGAGAATAAATTAATGTTTTTTTATTTTAAATTAGCTAAGTCACAAATTTGTCGCAATTATTTTTAATTAAATCCCACTTGGGTAGCAACACAATAGAATTTGCTGTGGTTTATTTTTAAGAATGTATGGTTTTATCAAAAGGAAAGTGCATTATTTTTCTATTGTTTTTAAAGAATGTACACTTGGCAAGCTATCAAAAACAAGTGAGACATAAATGACCATTGACCGTTTTTGATAGTTTTCATTCCCTAAAAAACAATATACAAAAATACATGTACCCTTCTCTTGTTACTGTGCATTCTTTAGAATAAAACAATTTATCATTTTTTGTTGCTATCTACATCATTGATCTTATCTTACTTACAAATATTCTGCTGTATTCAAATTCAATGTTCTGGACTGGACAGTCACCTGTAGTGCACTGAAGCTAGACTAATTATAGCCCACTCAGTCACTTACATCAACTCACACTCATGAGGTCAATGCAACCAACTCTTTTTGTTGTTACAATTAATTGGCTATATAACAACAAATGTTAACCAATAAGAGCCAGGGTCATTGTGAGCCTGGTTGAAGTTTGCAAAATTCACAGTTTGAATAGTCAATACAAAAGAAATCACATTATTCCGGATTAAAGACCTTTTAACTGTAATATAATAGACCATTTACCTGTAATAAGAATGTGTGTGATTTAAGTAAGATAAAGCATTCGAATTCGATTTGATAAGAAGTAATAACCTCAGGCCTTCGGCCTTCGGTGTATTATTTCTTATAAAATCTCATTCTTATGCTTTATCCAGTACGTAGTTACCTATTCAAATGAGCTTGGATTGCAGTGATCTGCTGCCAGTAAGTGAATGGAATTGTCCAAAAACAAAGACCCTTGAAGAAGATAGGGAAGGGGAGGGGTCTAGAGGCTTAATTCAAGACTATTTCGTTTTCTAATATCCATGATATTGGTTCTCGATTGGAGGGGGAGGGGGATGTTAGACATCGTTTCTTTTCACGTTAGATCATGGTTTTGGGATATATTGGGTCTACTTTCCTTATGACAGATTTACACTTACAGTTTGCTTTTCTTGTTGGGTTTCTTTAAAGTTTTTAGTCACCCTTACTTTGGCATTTCCGCTTATATATCCATGAAAATCCAACATGACGTACAACTATTTATACATTTCAGAACTCGAAGCGGCAAAGGATGCCGAGCCTGGGGCTACGAAAGGAAGCCTGTTGTCGCAGTTTCTCTGGAAAATCTGCCCAATTGATGTTGATGGTTTTGGGGAAATGAACATCATAGTGAAAATCTATGAAATAATAAAGGTATTACTTACCAGAAATGTGTAAATATATCGGTTATCCGAGTATAAATCACTCGGCAATTATATAGATTATACAGAGGGTTGGATGTATGTCATTCATCTATGTACATTATTTTTGTGTGTGACGACTAAATTTTTTTGAAATAAACTCACAACTTTTTCAAACAAAATGTTCTTCAAAATCAGCTTTTTGAAATTAAATTGAAACGTTTACATAGGCGTACAGACAGTAAACCCCTATACATGTTAAGATAACAAAAGTTATAATGTTAGATACTTTTTATAACTTTACTTTTCCCGACGCAAATCAGATTTAAATTGTTAAATATTTTTCTCAAGGCTCCAATCATATTCGCACTGACGATAACTGTCCCAGTCGTGAACTACGAGGAAGATATGAACAACTGGAATAAGATTCTAACCATGATTCACTGCGTAACCGGGCCAGTCTGGTTTGTCATGGCGGGAGAAGGTAAAGTTTTCTGAAGCATCTTGATTCCGTATTTTCGTTACATTTTTCCAATGTTGTTTTATAATCTTTTGACAAAAGTATACTCCTTCAGAATATACAGTTTTCTCATTTCGATTAGCTGAAATATTGTCAAATAAAGTTTTTGTTTTTACACTTTCTTCTGTCAAAAATTGATAATGTTTAATATTTTTTTTGATATCAGAGACCCTAACGCTCATAATCTAATGATTAACTCTTCTCTGAATTACAGTTGGGACTACAATGATTGGTGGACGGTTTCCGGTCTGGGCCCTGATTCTTATCATAGGTGTCGTTGCTGCATGTATAGTATTCTTCACATCAAAATACGATCAACCACCGATATACCACTGGTTATTCGCGTACATTGGATTCCTCATTGCAATCATTTGGATTTATACTATATGTAATGAAATCGTCAATATTTTAGAGGTAGGCTATTGCATCATAGAATGCATGGTTTGTTATTTAGGCCGTTAGTGAAAAACATCCATAGATAACCAAATGTTGTAAGAGTTCATTTAATAACCGACGAGCATAACACTATCTTGGTGAAACAGAGTCGTACCTAACTGGGCATTCTGCAGTCCTGTATTCTGATATACTAATGGAATTGTTCTGGAATGGCAGCGCCATAAGATCATTATCTGCTGTCACTATTAATGTACGTTTTATAGTCTCTGAGACCCTGATAGAAGATTTTTTTGCCATATTAAGATTACGACTCAATCTGTTTACCTGACATTATTTGAAGGGCGCTGTACTTGTACTTGGCCAGTAAAAATACATGAAACAAATTAAAATGATGAAAATTGCCATCTTCTCTGCCCATTATTTTAGACAGAATGGAAATATCAAGTTCATGCTTTTGAGTAGTCTGTTTATTGATCATTTGACTGAATTTACATGACATTATTTTCGACAAAATGTGAACATTGACTGAGTTGATCATGAATTGAAAAACAAATGAAAAAAATCATATGTACTGTAGGCATTTATTAAAAAATGATGATTTCTAAATATTTCAGAGTTATGGGGTGGTGTTCAACATTTCAAAGGCGATCCTTGGACTAACACTACTCGCTTGGGGAAACAGTGTCGGAGGTATTACTCTTAAAATGTTGCACCTTCTTTACAATACGATTGGTAGATTAACATCAACTGTTATGTAATTATCAGGAGTCACACGCTCTAGTCCTTATTTATAGAGGCAGATCTGATTTTGAGAGTAATATTTGTATATGTATCGTCCAAGTGCAAATGATCAAGTAATTCAATGCATTTGTTTTCGTATTTGATGAACAGTTGTTTACCTTATATTATAACATACATAGATGCATATTTTCTTGTTGACAATTCGTGGTTTCAGATTTGATCGCCAATACTGTGATGGCACGTAAAGGAGAGCCTAGAATGGGCTTTGCGGCGTGTTTTGGGGGACCTACATTCAGTATCCTTTTTAGATTATCATATTCATACCTCAATAATATTTAGACTTTGAATTTCGTCTTGGTTTACTTATGTTTACTCTATTATAAGATTAAATAAAGATAAAAATGTCGACGGCAGTTGGGTCGTAACATCTCTTGATTTTAGTTACAATTTTACAAAATATCACTATTATTATTATTGATTAAATATACGTGCTATGCATAAATGGCATTCATAATTGTGACCTAGTTTTGTATTGGGAAATAATTCTATGATATACATGTACATTTAGTATTATATATTTGAGAACAGCAGTCGTCGTCTAGTATGCCTTTCCGATCTGTTACAATTTCCTTAGCTTTTAACTAGATCTATTGTTGGGAGTTGGAATTCCTTTTACGATTAGATTCATTCGAAGGAGGGCAACGGATGAAATCGTAAGTGTCACTGTTTTCAAGCCCCAATGATTATAAAAACGAATGTTAATGTCCAAGAGTGTTGATTGTGTAACATAATGATTATGATAAAAATAGACTGTTTACTAGATATTGTTTACGAAGAATTGAAACTATTAGCCCTTTGAGTAAAGTGAAGGGATCCTAGTTTTTACCAATTTTACCAAAACTCCAAATTAAACTACGTTTGATGTATTTGAACCAGCAAGTCCCAAACCTTGTTTATGTTTAAAATACTCCAATGTATTATGGGATATTTTTCATCGAAAACAATAGCGGCAGTAGACATGCTATAAGCTAGCATCAATAAATTGAAATAAAGTTCATAGGTTCAAAATACGAACCAGAGCATCCAGAATTTGAAAAAAAGTTTTGGCTTACATGCAACTTCTGCTTTAGTTTATATAACTTAATATGTACAATAATGTATTATATATTACTATATGGTTCTTTTTGTCTCTAGGACTACGTGTTCTGTTACAGGTGAAGTTTACCCTCCAACAGACAATACTATGCGCTGGAGTATGGGCATCTATGCTGTTTTCTATCGTCGTAGTTCCGGTCTTGAAGTTCAAAGTTAGCAAAATATACGGAATATGTCTGTTTATTTTATACATATCCTTCTTGACAATTGCACTTCTTGCAGAGACTAAAGTAATACGTCCAGCCCAAGGGATATTCGATGAATAACACCCTGTATCTTCACCTAACACACCTAATTGTGAACAGTATATGTAGTTTACAATCTCTAAATACTGGGTATCCTAGTACAAAATCGAACCTAATGAAACCACCGAGAGATGACATGATAAAATAAAGGATGATTCTAGGTTTTGAGAACAAAGTTCATCACTCCAATTGAGCATTGCCCCTGCTTCGGCCAAATAGATTTAAATGTCTTCTTTTGAATAATCATAATTTAATTTGGGTGATATTTCTAGATTTTTCACACAAAAAATATTAGCGCGGTTCACTGATGAACTTCTTTCCCCAAATCGAGACTTGTATTTCATTAAATCGGTCTAATTGAGTGTTACCCCTGCTTCGGACAAATTTGATATTTTTACCATTGTAGATTTAAATGTCCTCTTTTGAATATTCATATTTTAATTTGGGTGATATTTCTATATTTTTCATGAAAAAAATTATTAGCCTAGGAGACTGTTTTCCGAACCGGGAATCGTCTTTTATTTCTAAATTAGCAGTAAAAAATTCACTTTGTGGATAACTTATTAAGAAATTTGACATGTTATACCACATGCTCAAAATGATCTCCGACCTGATAAAAGCACAGAGCTGAATGCGCTGCTGGAAATTGAAAATACCTGATGGTACAAAAATTAAATGTTCTCTTAGAAGTCAATAAAGTGATCAAGTGCAACTTAATAATGCTCATGATAATTAAAATTGTTTGCTGTCAGATGACTAATGACAATGAATATCCCTTCACCACTGACGAAGTTTCCATTGTCTCGATATAATTTTTGAGACCCTGTATATAGTAATTCTAAAAATATTTTCGATATCTAGCATTCTAGTTCATGATCTGAACAAAAGTACATTACAAAGTTGTTTATAGTTAAAACGTTCGTATAAAATCTATAATATTTATTATTGTATTACTAAATTGTACATATACCTGTAGCTTATTAACAATAGTGTACAGCACCTGTGTTAAACGTCTTCTTTAATTAAAACATACATGTTTATAAGGAAACAGTCGTGGTCCTCGAACCTTCGAATGCAAAACAGTTATCGAATGCGAGAGTAAAAGGCCGAGAGAGAAAAACTGCCTGAAACGATGACGACAATACCCAATCGGTAGTATGTTTTGCAAATCGAATGAGAAATAGGGATATCGGGTTATTCTATAAATATACGTGTGGTTTGAATACACAATCACATATATTATATTGTTATCTCAATATGATCAAGATTATGAAAATAAGTCATAAATAAATAAGGGTTATGTACGAGGAGGTTTTGGATATGGGGTTTATCCAGAGGGATATATGCATATCTACCTGAGAGACAGTAGGGACAAAACTGCATATCTCACGAGGGATAAACCCCATATCAAAACCGACCGTACATAACTGCTTTATCCTATACCAGTAGTGTTTTCTGAAAGAATATTCTAATTTTTCAACATTTTTTCAAATCTTTTTTCTAATTTGTTTTAAATTTCAACGTTTTTTCAATTTTTTCAAATTTCTTTTTAATGCGGGAAGATATACCCTGGAGCGGGAGATATGGAGGTTCTGGATATGGAAACCTCAAAATCAGGATACGGTATATATCTTACCAACTTATCTCCCTAAACTCTACTTGGCATAGGATAAGTCTTGATACTTTTTTGTCAAGAAATATCCATCATACCTTCTCTCGTTATTAACAGATCATTCCCTCTTGTAGTCTATATTTGCTTTTTGTACTCATTAATACTGAAATTCAATATACAGATTAAAATAAAACACTCGATGCAAGTCTAGGATTCAACATAACCTCCTTCAACAAATAAACAGTTTGGCAACTTGTCGTTTTTCACCGTTTTTCACTGTTGTAACTGATGAAAACATTTTCACTACGCACGTTAATACCTTTGGTAAGAAGAAGGTAAGAGGAATACGATGTCACATATTTACTCAATACAAATGCGCCACAACAATCGTCAAACGGGTCACAACTAATAAAGCGACATACGAGATAAGTTGACTGTCTGTTGGACGATTGTCGTTTCTACCTTTTGAAAATATACCATCGAGTGACGACGGCTACATTGTTTAAAACGATTATGTTGGTGAGAAAGAATACGATGTGTTCCTGCTAACAACAATTTATACTGCAGTCGCACAGTTCATGTCTATACAAACGTTCTCATGGGCTTGCTAGCTTTACTTAAACGATACATATGTAAATCATACAGTTGCCAGTCTTTGTGGAATTCTCCGGTATTGGAAATCATTAAAAACACTTTTTTTTCAAAATACAGTGTACCACTGACGCCCACACAATGCCGGCGCTACCGTACTGGAGACACACTTCGTCGTAAAGATGGCGACTGTGTGACACTATTAACGCTACCGGCATGTGAGAGCGACCGGAAGCTTGTGAACGAAAATGTCCTTGACCTCATATCTTCCTCGTGATGTGACAATACTCTTTCTAATCGTCTTGCAGCAACAGGTGACGGAGACCGTGGAATCAAAGTTGCGGACCCCAAATGTTCATCATCCTTCGGGGCCTTCACAAATGTCAAAGCCTGATATATTTCCGACATCGGATGAGCGAATAAAATGTTTATGAAATAGGAAGTCGCATAGGAGAAGAACACATGGCCTATATAGAAGTATGTCTGGAATTTAAAAATAACTTAAAATGAGACGAAGAGCTCTCTCTTACTTTTGTGCCATGTGTGCCTTTATATAACTTGTTTTCTGATAACATTTGGATTTCAAGATTTTATAATACTATAGAATTTATATCATCATTTACAGTCCCAGTCATCAATTCAATATACTTTATGATAGTGTATTTTCTGTTAATGCATGAGCGTAGTATAGTCCGTCATTGTTGCATCGATGTTACATTCATTGTAATAATTATTCGCAATAGTTTTAAATTCTTCAGATAGTAGCACGTGATATTTCGAAAATGTTTCACAAACAATAAACAGCTAGACAATTATAGTAATAGTAATTTGTTATAAAAAATAAGTATTTACCATGGTTGAGTCCGCTATGTATATTGGTTGTAGCCTTGTATAGCAGAATCTATAGATTATTATGGGATGGACAAGATAAGCAACATAGGTGAGACGACACAATGGCGTCCAAACATCCCATGACAGAAATGTGTTGATTATACCTAAATAAACAAGCATATTATCAATTTGAATCCAACACATTCATGGTAATATATATTCGATGAATTAGCCATACAGTGTAGTAAGTATTAAACTGAAATGGAATTCTCATAATTTTAGATTAATTAGAACCTGGTTAAAGGCCAATGCATGTTATAATGAAACGTCCATAACACCGTGCAACATACGTATTATTATAAAGTTTCCATAAATTTATGATAGACGTTAGTTAAGGGTTTACATATACATGAAATGGGTTTCACCAATAGAGCATCATGAGAAATCAGACAGAGATGTTATGAGTATCAGAGTACCAATAAAGTACGATGTGATATGTTTCTTTAATTATCTAGTGAACTGACTATTGCGCCATCTATCACAGGCTTCTATGTTCAAAAGCAAAAAAAATTATAATTTGTTTTTCTTTTTGTAAACTACTCTTATAACGCTAACCTCCATATCCTGCCTCACAAGCAAACACCACCCAGCCAAGCCCAATGGCCCACATATAGCGCTTGGTGGTTTCAAAGAAAACGTACGTCCCGATGTTCCATTTCTCAACGCCCGGTTGATTCTGACTGTACGTTGCAAACACCACAACCAGCATAAAGGTGGCGCTGAGTACCCAGCCCAATACTATGGCGAGCTAATAGCAATATGTATAAAGTGATAAAATTATTGTAAAATTAACATAGGAACAATATGTCAGAAATAAAAGCAAATCTATATTTTGTCATTGGATCAAATAAACTTTTATCACGCTCTTGACGTTTTAGTACACTTCAAACAAAGATAGCGCATACCAAGAAAAAGAATGGACCCGTCTTAGAATTCACTCCTAGTCATTCCAAGTCTTACTAATTTAACAGTACTGTTTTCAATTTTAATCAATGTGCTGAAAAACCTACCTGTTTCCATGGTTTTCTTAATGTGATCTTTCCTTGAGTTTCATAAAGAATAAAGCCTAATATAATTCCTATAATATAAAATAGAAACTATTGTATATCAGTAGATTACAAGAAACTATAAGGAGTAAATTAGCCATATGCTATACTTAGGTACTAATAAAATATGATTTACGGTTAATATTGTAGATCTAAATATACTAGAGGAAAAGCACAGCGCGAACTTTAAAGGCCAATAGCAAAAAATGTTTGAGAAAATGTGTGGCATATAATTTCAAATATGATCCATGCAATACCCTCGTCTTATATTGCAAGATCTAATCAGGTTGTTATATATGTTCATTTCAGATGGAATATTTCTCGAAATCTTTACTCCAGTTAATACTATACGTTTGCTTTATATTATTCTATTACTAAATTCATAATTCATCAACCGTATACGTAGTTCGCTATTCTAACATTCCATTCTACCTTCAGGCAATTGTTAAAAAAACACTAGGAGTAATATAAGTGCATCGTATTACATCCTACCTATAAGATATGGCCCAACTCTGGTCCAGGGTTTAATGAAGATATTATGCCAATATACACTGAAGTCATCCCTTGTATTTGGATCACTATAGCTGAAGAGCAAAAATGAGCAGTAAAAGAAATGAGCAACATATAAAAAAAATAAGCATACAGCATAAGACAACTAATGAGAAGTGAGCAGTATAAGAAATGAGCCACCGTGAGCAATAAAAATATCACAACTATCAATTTGAACATTTTTCTATACGTGCACCTTTGCTGATGTCTGCTTTACCCATGCGACATTGTAAAGTAAGGAAATTTAAATGACCCCTATAAGCAATTCTGAATTTATCGATCTCAAGTCCAGCGTGACCGTTGCCGTTTTTTAGTGCCGGCGGTCTTATATACGTTTCCTAAACACTGAAAATGAGGTCGCAAGTTTCAATGCAATTTTGATACTTACATTCGGTATGCTTCTATACCAGTAGCTGCAGTGTTAGCACCAAATAGTAGAGACAGCAGAACGTAAGCAACGGACGGGTGTCTGAAAAAGATATAGCATTTGTTTATGCAACGGACCATATGACGACATTTTAAAGAAAAATGGCTACGATAGGAAAGTCTACCGAGATTAGGTTTTAAAAATGCGACATAAGGTGTCAGAACGTAAGCAATGGACGGGTGTACCATATGACAAAATTTTGTTCTACAGAATGGATACGGTTTACAAAGTTTGTGTTTTAATGCGATTCAAGACGTTGATACGTACCTGAGAAGTAATAGTAATATCACAATTGAGACGAGGAAGAATTGCATATCAGCCGCTAAATACCACGTATGTGTAAGACACTACAAAAAAGAAATCATAATGGTGAATTGTATTCATTTAAAAATATACACTACTTTACAAGATTCGAGGTTGATTGTGTCTATTGCATTAAAAAAGCAATATGTTCTGTGCACTAATATGCCTAGATATTAAAAAGCATTAGTATAAAATGCAAAAATATTTTGTAAAATAATCAAAGAAATAAATGCAATATTATACATCTTACTTGTGATAATAATATAATGAATTGGTTATAATTTCTTTTCAATATATAGTTGATGTACATATCCCTCCAAATATTTTGCAACCTTAGCCCCCATTGAACTACGTGTTAAAGCCAACTTAATTTTGAGACAATATTTATGTAGTGTCAAAGTACCCAAAACTGTGCTTATGTGTGTGACTTGTGATGTATTGTAAATTGTAAATGAAAAATAATTATAATAAATATATATATTACTAATAAAAAAATGTAGTGTCCACCGGCCCGCATGCACATACGCATGCGCGCACTCCTAGTTTCCTAGCAGCACATGACAACGCCAGTATGGCACTTTGAAAAGTTGGATAAAAAGGTTGACACTACTTACAGGCTGTTTATCATACACCATGTTGTTAATAAAGAGTAGATTCGTCCACCAGTGCACCTTACAGTTCACCCCCTCTGCGAGATCCTCTGGGTAGAGTGGTCCATCTCCAAGGTATGGATACAGCGCAGTGAATAGGAAGATGACGAGCATATACACCGGGACAATTCTAAACAGAGAACGTAAACTATTCAAGAAAGCTGAAGCGCACTCAAAGTATATGGCCGTGGTACATTGGCGTGGTCTTGATTGATAAACTATGGTATTTTTTTTTATTCCTTTTTTATTCATAGAAAACTTTTGAAAGCAGTTACATTAACATATACAATATTCATAATATCATAGAAATCACACAATTTTCCATCATATTCTTTTTCAAGGCATGGTATTTAGGTATTACCAATTAGTTACAAAAATATAAACATACATATAAAGAAACTGATAAAAAAGACAAAAAGAACATTTTTTATATAAAGGAACAATTTTTAACAACTATTTACATGTTACATTCTAATTACAAGCGATATAATGTCACCAAGACAAGAAGTTCGAGTTTCTTATTTTATTTAAAGCGCCCCATTCACTAGGTTAATTCAAAATAACAAGTCTACAAAAATCAATTTCCATTTTACATACACGGGATATTGTGTAGAGCATTGAACATATTGTCTCCTTTACCCGATCTGTCTAGAGTATTAGAAATTATACTAGAGTATTAGAAATTATCAACCTATTTCTATACTTACCTCCATATTCGATGAAAAATAAACTTCAGCATCATGACGATAGATGGCATACCGTCAACGTGGGCCAGGTGAGATAAAAACAGATGGACGACACTGACACCTCTGGAAGAAATAAACACATTGGAAATTCAATAACGGCCAGTCGGTGTTTTCATTTTGACGTTTCCACTGAAATACACACTAGGTAGACATTCACAATTTAATTGTGTCCATTTTCCTTTAAATGATGCACATTTATCTACAATTTGTTTTTGGACCTTTTTTCTTTTCCACTTGAGTAAGCATTATTGGACGAGTGTTAATTTGAAATACTCGTAATGTGTTCTATAATTCCATCAAATCAAATCATTGAGTAACGATGAGATATAATGCGATTCACGTTGCAAATATTGACGATTTACGTTCATTGAACATGATTAATTAATCACAGGTTTTGATTAAAAGGAGGTTAAGTTATTGTACGTGAACGTGTTAAATAATAACCCAAGGGATTACTGTCTCACTCTAAAATGATTTTTCCAGAAACCTCATGACAATTATTTTCCTTTAATCTTATTACTAAATTAGGCAAGCTAATGCGCCGTGAGAACTAGTAATCCCTAGATATCCAAAATGCCATACGTTCAAGTACAGGTTCTCTTAGATACATGTATCCCCACTATTATTTTGCAATAGGAATGTTGCCTTTGTGATTTTATGCATTTCCTAGAAAGGACAATGGTGTGTTCTGAAAATGGCATTTGCTAATCAAATATCTGTCGAGCTGTTTGTGTTATTTATTTTGTCAAGGGACTGTTTTATCTATTTTTACCCAAGTAATTTCGAAAACTGAAGGAAATTACAGTCAGACTGTTGGGTCTCGTTATAAAAAAGTATTCAATGGAACACTTCAATTCTCAAGAGAATATTAAAAAACGTCATTTGAGACAAAAAGGCAATTTCGGATTTTTCGTTTTTCGTTTAACGTCGACATTATCCCCCAAAATATCATATTCACAAAATTATTATTGCAGTTATGAGGGCTTTTATCTATTCTTGCTTAAGGCGGCACGTGTTTTAATATACAACAAAAAAACATCATAATACTCCAAATATGTAAGCATAAGTGCCACCAAAGGGAAAGAGCCAAAAATTGTACAGGACACGGCAAGAAAAGGAACCGTTTAAATGTACACCAGTAATAAGGAAGCAAACCCTCTCCCAAACCATAACTAATGTGAAAAGAAACAATGTCTAATGTCCCTAGCCACACCATACAATTTCATTGATACAGAAGTTATTACAGTATATGTTGAAGAGTAGTTATAAATTGATAACCAACACTCATAACATTAGAAATATTTTGTAGGTTATATGGTTGCTGGTTGGTAACCTTGGGGACACAGTTTTTTCTCATCTGACTTACCCGACTAAGAAGAAGGTATCGACTGCTGTGAATGCATTGAGAACTATTTGATGAGGAAGTGTCTCGGACAGACGCTCTTTCTCGGTCATTGCGTTCACTGAAAATAACATAAAATGGCACTTGTTATACACTACTGCTGGCTGCTTCTCATTTCACAGGCATCATTTGGGGAAGACTGCACACCTCAAACGTCACGTTCTCATTGAACAAGATCCCTATTTGTTGGCATTCGAATAATGTTTAAATTGAAGCTCATAACAATTAATCATTTATGTAATTTTAACATTGACTTTCTTACATGGAATGAAAATGAATGAAATAAAAATATTTGGTACAAAATAAAGTGCACATTTCGATAGTTTATTAATCTTTCTCTACACTCCAAATTCTCTATCAAATTGTTTGGTCATCTGAAGTAGATCTTTCTAAAACAAGAATGACGAATGTTTTTAACACATCATGTAAGTAAATGTAGCCTCGTTATTAATAGTCGAAAAGCAAAAGGTCAGGAAGACCCTAGGATTGGGCCTATATCAGTAGTTATAGAGCAATGGAACCATCAATTTCAATGTTATTTGTATCGTTTTTTAATTCGAGTTTCCGTTTCATGATGTCCCTTGAGGCATCTTGTTACTAAAGATAAGCAGAAAGAAAATTGAATCCAGTCGACTATCTACAATCCAGTGCACTGCATACAAATTTCATACTAGTGAATCTAATATCAGCATTGAAAGGTGAGATAGAGACTTACGGGAATTCCCTATAATCCCCTAATTCCGTTTTATATTCCTTACCTGCAGTGGCTACTTGTGTTTTACTTATACCAAGGTTGAATGTGTTTCCAAGTATAATCCAGCAAAGACTGAATAACCTCAATGCATTCAGCGATCGTATCTTTTCCGGAGGATGCCCGGTGTCCAAAATTTTCGACGAATTGTTGTAAGCGGAAAATGCCAGCAGTATCCGTTTCCATAGTGCTAAAATTCAATGATACATATGATACAAACCTAATCCCGTAATCACATAACAAAACATAAATAATGCATTATCTATGATATGCATAAGAAAAGAGTAGCTATAGGTGTGAACGTTTCTGAGAGATGACACCCTCCAAAATATCGTGAATTTTACCACAATCTTTGAAGGAAATAAAAGTGTGATGGCCGGGGCCAGTAGTCGTTTTGACAAAAATTGTTTCAATTTTAGAATTTATTTCGCCTTGATCATATCATTCATTGTCATATTTATTTTCTTAATATCCCATACTATATGATATACTATATTTGAGAAGAACTAAGAATTATACAAAAGTGGCAACCATATTTATTATTTGGGAGAATTTAATCCCAATTTTGCACTTTGAAACTTAAAGAACAAATTGATAACTTATCGTTGGTCTTTTGGGAGATAGTGTAATTCATTGATGCAAGTGAACTGTAAAAAAATCAAGTTGCTTGCAATTTTGCCATTCACTTAAGACTTGATTCTCCCTTTAATGTATACTCACCAAGTTTCTCTTGACGAATGTGCCATACAGCAGACACTGTAGATACAACTGATCTTTGGCTCACAAATCGTTCCAGTCGTTTCCTTTGTGTCTCGCTATTGTGCATTGTTGAAAGTGGTATGCCTTCCTCCTCCGAATTTGAAGAGGTTTTATTTACAGGCTCTATTTCAGTCTTTGTTTCTTTTGCTGTATCCACCTCTGGTTGTCGTTTTAATCCTATAAGCTTTTTAGGTTTTTGGATTTTCTTGGCACTTTTTGGTTTTTGGTTAATACCAATGTGAGCGACACCAGTGTTGAGTGATACCAGGGTATCTAATGAGGAATGAACTTGGTCATTGTATTGTAATCTATTTTCCCTGGCTAAAGGGCTATCGCTTAGTCGTTGTTTCACCGATGGACCAAAAACGTGTTTATTTTTTAGTTCCATCTCTATGTGTTCGTTTTCAGCAGAAGTATGTGCACGCGCATCATCTTCCTTAAGTGATGATTTAACTGATGAATCCCAGGGTTTTTTATTTGAAGATCGTGGGGGTTTCTTTGGAGCTTTTTGTATGAGGTTTGGTGATTCACTTGCGAGTGTCTCATCGTTTTCTTTCAACATTTCATCAATTTCAGTCTCTAGATGTTCGTGATTGCCATCTAAATCATCGTGGTCCTGTTTATTTTTCTTAGATTTAAACGGAGAAAAAAATTTCCAATGGATTCTAGTTTTTGTTGTTGTCTCTTTTGTATCTTTCTTTTGAGCCTTTGCCTTTGATGTCAGTACACGAAATGGATTACAGCTAGATTTTTTAGGGGATTGAGTTTCAGTATTATCATTAAGAGGTTTTTCGTCATTCTCATTAATTTCTTGTATCTGGGTCATGCTCATTCCAGAGTTAGTATGCGTTCGTTTTCTACGACGTTTATCTCGCTTTGCCTTTAGGAAAACGTCATCTTCTAATCTTGCATCTGTTTTCTTTATGTAGAATGTTTCAAAAATGCTCGAAATAATCACTAAAATTGTAAGGACGATAAGAGTAGCCCTGGAATTGACAAAAGTAAACATTTTAGAACCAACTTGCGACAAAAGAGCTGCGATGAAAGTTGGTTTTGGGTTGGGTATATCCCATAATCAAAGGGACTGTACCAAATTAAGTGTGACAGTTGAACTTGCGGGGAAAGGTACAACACGAGGGTGGTGAAATGAGCAAATCGATGTTTTCATCGTTTCAGAGAGATCTGGTCTAATTTCTCGATGTTTTTATATGTAAATGTGTGTAAGAACATCCTATAAGGCGTTAATTACTTTTTCATCGGATACTCCTTACTACAATATCAGGTAAACATTACAACAATAACTGGTACTCAGTACTCTGTCTAGACCTGGTACTCATTACTGCTATATCGGGTGCCCATCATCACTAATATATGAGGTACTCAATACTACGTTACCAGGTCTTCATTATAACTATATCAGTATTCATTACTACTCACATGGCAACAATGGCAAGGGGATCCGCCATTAAATCTCTATGGTGACCGCAATGTGTGTGAAGAACGACTAGATCCAGTGAAAACAATAACTCAGACAACAAACCTACAACAATTAAAAACAAAATTGTTAGGGGATTTTTTGCTAAAATTTGATATCTTGATCCACATATCTCGACGTGACATTCAATATTTATCCTTGCAAATGTGTATACCTCAAGTCTCGGTCAACAATACCTTCAAAGTTTACAGTTTCGGTATACAATTTGCCAGTTGACCTTAAGGGAGGTCTAAAATTGTATACAGTAAAGGATCCAATGGTTTTGGTTTGTAATATTTATTCCTGGAAGGTTGGGAATTAGACACATTTTGCATAACATCATCTTTTGGGATATTTGGGTTTTGCTTTTTCCACATGATAGCGTTCGGGCTTTTGACGTTTTTCGCTTTATTGCTGTGTTTTGTCATGTTATGTAGTCTTTTCCTATTTGGCACATATGACCACATATTCCTAGAGCGTCTAGCTGCTCTGCCTGATTTTTGAGATTTCTTAACAACTTAGAGTACTGTAACTTATATGATTCTGTGATCAGACTAAATGGTATTTAACACAGTTACCATACAGGTAACCATTTCAAAAGCACACTGGAAAATACAACACAGCATTTGGAAAATCTTAAGAGAATCTTTGTTATATTTTAAATTATTACCTATATTTTTTAAATTCAAATGTATAGGAAAGTACTGAGCATAGCATTTTTACATCAACAATCAAATATTAGGCTAATAGTGCCCACAGTAAGATTAGTATAGGATAACTTTTTAAAATTACTTTTGTATATTTCCTTACCCTCTTCAAACAGATGTGGCGTGTCGTTGGTAATACATGTATCGGGTAAACATAACCCTACATAGACGTATCCCATCTCTTTATGAAGGCGCCCTTTCTGAAAATCAAACTTGTAATATTTGGTGCTTGAGAAAAATTAAGAAATTATTACCAAAAAGTGAACATGTGAAAGTCTGGGGCGACATCTCTTTCAATAATCTATCTACAAAAAATCTACATTAAAAACTTTCGAGAGAGGTGTAACGCATTTCTAATTTTAAATGGGTTTGGTTTCTCTTTTAGTCTAGTTACCTTTTTCATCCCAATCTTAGCAGTACAGTATTTGCCGCCAAAAACATGGTTATTTATTTTATCGGATTTACCCCCTCCTTGCAAAGTCCCACAATGTGATGGAGATCCCATCCATTGGACGTTTCCTTCTAAAACACCAGAGGGAAGATGCCCACTTGAATCATAAACTGAAAATAAAAGAAAAATGAACACGAGAGTTGCTTGAAAAGGGAAAATAGAGCAACAACGGCAAGTAATTAATAATATACAATTCCTACAATTTAAAACAGAAGATTGCACATGAACGCAAATACACACGAGTAGACATAATGTACGTTTGTAAGTGTGTTTCTGTGTTTCTTATGACATTATACAAGTCATCTAAAAACAATCAAGCACTGAGGCCAATTAATGGGAATCGATGCTGGGTTTGACAGCTCGTTTTTCCGCTGAATGGCTTTGCCTTGTCGCATGTTGAATAACACTAGGAAGATATGAACTGATATAGAGCAATGCAGGACATCGTGTTCCAGGAACAAGTCAAGCTTTACTTTCAATTACGGAGTTTCCATTTGCAAGAGCGGTTAGGTGGTTTCGCCTGTCGTTCACAAGAGCGGTTCTGAAGAAATGTCAATGACCCTGTGCGCAGAGTCTAGTTATAAACTACGAAGACGAAGCTCTCTTTTAAGAAGTGAAGTCGAACGAAATCAAAGGGTAGTTAAGGAGGAGTTTGGTGCAATTTTCTACGACAAAATTAAAAATATATGTTCTAAAAGAAGGCATATTTTGAAAATGAGGCTGAAAATAAGTTCCTATCGTAGGCAAAAATTAAGAATATGTGATTAGTACTTAAATATGGACTGCTCAAGGTCGAGGTGGTTTCGCCTGCCGTTTGTCATTTTTTCTCATTTTGGGGATTGGGCCATTACCTAGCTTCAATGTGTAGACTTTCAAATATCCACTTCAGAAGCCTGGTTAAGATAATTGTCTCTTGATGAAAAATATTTCCTGGTGATAATAATGAGGAAATATGTTCATGAGGAAATAGCTGCACTGAAGCCAAGTATACACATCGAAAAAACAGTAGATATAGTCCATTCTCAAATTACAACACTGTGCAATAATTGCATCACGTACTATCCCCCTTGCAAATAATGAAATCACACAGTACTGTCTTATCGAACTAATTGTCAAACTAACAAACCACCGAACAAGACCAATGGAGTACCAAATATTGACATCGTTCGAAGTCTTGTAATCCTGCCTGCATGATATGAATTTTGAATTAATTTTGAACGGTGCTTTGGTATCTCAGGGGTCTATCTGAGTTGCTCAATATATAATCTTTATTTTTTACGATACAAATTTTACCCGGTCGCTAAAAAGAGGGATTGGTTACATGGCTTTAATTACTTACACTGTTTAGCCCACGTGGGTCCAAACTCGATACCATCATCCATATTCCTAAAACCTTGGACCAACGTCTTGAGTAACAGAAGGCTGTCGTTATAGCACGTGCTTTGATACGTCATATACGTATCACGTCCCGTGATGTTATACTCTTCGACCATCTCTCTCAGTTCAGCCTCCTTTTCCATAATCTTAAGTTTAATCGCAAAGGCTAACTCGTATTTTGGTTTTGGTGTCGTTGCCGGGGTTGTTCTAACTGTCGTTTGTTCGGTGTCATCAGCGATCGTGTACGCAGCACCCGCTGCTTGGGATTCAACACCGTGGAGAAACACAGCTACGAATATGAGGAGTATCATGGCTGCCTTAGTTGTGCTTGTGTCGCAGATGTTCTTCATTTTAACCCTGAAAATATCAAATTCAACTCAACTCAAATGATTTATATAATGTGTTGTCTCCAAAGGTTATGAGAACAATCATGAACGTATTTGGTCTGCGCAGCTGATGGCCTCCATTTTAGCACCGCTGGTATCAAACTCAGAAATGCCTGTGGTCGGGAAATATGTCTGAAATAATTAGCTTCTTCGTCCTTAAACAGTCTTCAATACGTCCATCTCGTTCGCAGTTCGTTCAGGTCGCACCACGTCGGTGTGCAACGTCGTAGAACGCGTCGCTTAGTCTAGAAGGTCAACATGACCTGATTACAGAACGGCATGGTCGCCATCGAACTTTGAATCGATTCAAAATTCTAAAATCACATTCCCGTCTGAGAACGTTCATAAAGTTCGTAAATAGACCTTAGAAAGTTGCAGCTACGTTCATTCCATTCGCACACAGTTTCAAACCAGTTTTGAAGAACGCAGTGGCAACTTGTTTGGTGTGATAGCTATATTTTTGCTAACTCGTTCTTAAGCAGTGTTAAATACGTTCTTAATCAGTTTAAACCCGTTTGCAATTAGTTCTACCTCGTTCTCAACACGTCCTCGGACAGTTCAACTCGTTGTTAAAACGTCCCTAGTAAGATTGAAGTACGACGGTTCCGTTCGTAGTACGTCCAGCTCGTCGTTAGTACGTTGTCACTCGTTCTAATTGTAGAACGTGACGACCCCGAGTACATTTTGAGCGTTGTCTAAGTTCTAGAGGACCTACCCGTTCGAGTACGTTCGATGAAGTTTCTAAATAGATCCCAAACGGTTCTTAGTACGTCCAGTCCGTTCGTACACAGTTGAAGCCCGTTTTCGAGAACGTAGTGAGAACTATTTTGGTGTGATAGTAGGGTTATACAAGGTGATCATCCTTAAACGTTTATAAAAATCATGAATGTATTTTGCCCGTATTTGTGCATTATATACATATAAAGAGATTTACGCCTACATCCTCTTGAAGAGAGGAATCGCGAGTGGCTGTTTGCCGTTTGCAATGTGCTATCGATGGTTCTCTTTTAGTCATGAATGTATCGAATTCAGAATGAAAATCCTATATGCGCTTATCCTCAAGTCATCAAAATTATGAATGATTCAAGCCTAATGACACAACTCTTCATCTTACCACTGAAAATATCAAATTCAATACACAAATTAATGACTTCTATATTCGTTTCTCCTCAAAAACTGAAATCATGTTCATTGCAGTATACACTTACAGTATAAATCTATATACCTATGTACATAGAAAAATTATATAGAAGCTTTTGTGAATCAAATGTTTGTACATTTTCTTATCAGGCTTAAATGTAATAATCAGATATTTGAAAAAACTGTGTCCCGGTGCATATTTTTGCGTAATTCATAACTCATCAGTTGACGTTAACAGGAGGAAATAGTGAGTTCAAGCTTGCAATGTGTTTCACAATCTAAACGTGAACGGAAATATTTAAGCGATGCATTTGTATGGGCGATTGGTCATACGTAAAGGTTGGCGTTTCGATTTGATACACAAGCTTAAACTCCCTAATGTTTGAATCGGGAACGCACACGGATATTAACTACACTCCCCTCTATAAATTTGGCAACTGGTTTACAGTAGATAGTAGAACGCTTTCCATACCCCGATAGTATAGCTACAAGCCCTTGTGACCCACCACTTTAACAAGCTGCTGTGTGAGAAGGTGTGTTGTCATTCGCCATACATCAACAATCTTTGATAGAAGTGGTCTGAAAGGGGACTTTAGATTTCTGAACTGACGTGTTGAATTAATATCGTAAAATGGGGAATGTCTTGAAACTGCCTACCTTTTACTCTGCTTTATAAGCTTACGTTCACCTTCACCAGAATGTTAGATCATTTTAATTATGTATTATTATCCAATATTTATGGAGTATGCCACAACATTAAACGATATCGAGGCAAAGCAAAACTTATACTACGATAACACACAGTGATAAAAGGTTGATCCAAGCTTTAAGTTCAATCGAATCGAACTTTTAGGATGACAGTAGCGATTCAAACCAAAGCGAGTACGGTATAATGCCTCGCTTTTCTATCTATTCATTATTTTATCTTCGACAGCTGGTGTAAAGAAACACTATTGCGTTTACTTTTGTAAAAAATGTGAATAAATAAACCAAGAGTAGAGGTCGCAACGGTACTGAAAACCAGTACCGGTAACCGTCACGCTAATAACCGTACCGTTACCGAAATACCGGTAAAGATATGTAAGATAAAATGCCAATGCGCTGCCACCCCCACTTTGTTCCTAACTCTCTCCGTAGGTTCTCAAGTATATATGCATACATGGTGCGAGACCGATTTGAACCCATACTGATGAACTTCACGAAATAGTATGTAACTATCTTACGAATCTAGATGTATATTTAGTTTTAAATTAAATGTATTACACATTTCAAACCATTTCTCAACTGTATCAATAGCAAGCGACGTGCAGTATACATGGCGGTGGGGTAGGTAAAATAGATTCAGTGCAGCTGGCAACACCACCACTTCCAAACGGGCACCTGAGGTTGTCAATGCCTTGTTGTTTGTAAAGGAGTGGTATCGATATGGAAAACTGAATTCAACAATGTTTTTCTCTTAAACCAATCATTGAAAACATTCTGTAAAAACACGGCATTTTATCTAATGTTGACTGATTGACTTCAATTTAATGCGAAAATTATTTAGAAATATTTTATATAACTGTTTTTGTTAACATTTTTTGTTTTTTTTAGTGCAGTTTTTTTGCTCCTTTCTATCAATTCTTGAGAATGAAATAAAATGTCTTTCCGAACCTTGTTGGAACAAAATAGCATATACGACATGTTTTTAGACCTCTCAATATTATATTTATACAAAGGAATTTTTAAAGTATTCAAAAAATTAAAACAAAATCCCCCCAAAATAGATAAAAATCAAGATAAATTATTTTATTCATCAACAAGATACTTTTTTGAAATCAACAAAAATTTCCTTCGTACAATTACAATATTGAGAGACCTAAACATGTTATGTTTATGTCGTTTTGTTCCAATGAGGTTAGGAAATATGTTTCATTTCACTCTGGAAACATGATACCAAGAACAAAACAAATGTTTGATGTGTTTTCTAAAATAATATAGATGTAAGTATATATATATATTTCAAATTATTTTGTTACCATTCAAAAGATGACCATTAAATTGACGATGTGTTAAATTTTTAGATTTTTCTTATGACTGGTTTAAGAGAAACGTGTGTTCAAAAAGTTCTCCATATCAATACCACTCCTTTGTTCGTAAAAACATTTTGTTGTTCGTAAATGACTATTACAAACATAATTCAATTTCTGGATCTGACGTTGACACTACAACTACACCGGAATTGCCAAACAACTACAACCAAATCTGAGCCTGAGCATGAAGCTACTACACCCGAACTGCCAAACATGGACATCACACCTGAACTGCCAAACATGGAAATCACACCTGAACTGCCAAACATGGACATCTAAATGTCTATGTAAATGTACGCATCGTGAAAGTGGAAATTAAACGAAATAATTAAAAAAACGACGTGTCTTTTATTTCCCCGGGGATTATCGTCGGTTAACCGGTTAATAATTTCAATACCGGTAAATGCTCAATTCCGTACCGAAACCGTATAACCGATATTACCGTCAGCCTCTAACCAAGAGTCTATCTTTAATTACGACATGAATGAGCACTGTACACGGGCAAAAAGCTCTTTTTAAATGTGTCTGATTCGCAGTTGATCTCTAAAAAGTAACTTCTTTTTCCTGCATTAAGGTGTGTTTATGAGTATGACGTTATGTTTTATTACTTTATTCTTTGCTATTTTTCACTATTTTTACATTATTTTCGATATTTATAATATGACAACCCTATCATTTTTCTCAAGGGTAAAGGCTGTGCCACAATGTCACGGTGACATTATGTGTACTCCGAGTGACATTTCGTCATAAATAGTGTAACCGTTGTATGTAATTGTATACAAGTTACACAGTTTATGTCCTTATTATTAACAGTGTTAGTTTAACACCTATTCCTTGAGGGAGACGATTTTTTCATTAGGCCTGAGATAAATCTATTTCTATAGATGTACAATATATTAATGTAATCCCATCAATTGCTTTATTTTATAAAGGGAGGCGATCGGTTTGCTTCACCTTTTCCTCTTTATTTTTTTCTTGAGAGTATACACGTATATAGCTAGTCTATTTAGAGCTGTTATATGTTAAGTTAAATATTTGTATCGTTTTTAAACAAATCAGCTTATTATCACATCACGTTTGGGGAATTTCAACTTCAAAATGAACACCGAGATGATTTATATCATCCTTCTAATCAAGAGAATTTAGCCGTAAGCTTAAATATCAGAAATGTACAATTAGTAAATGAATATGAGAACATGATAATGTAAACATATCAAAGCATGTCTTCATTGTACCCGCTATCAGATAGTTCCTATCTAAACAATAACTGATAGATCATACAATTTGAATATCAGGATGTCGTCTATATAAGGTAACAAAAAGGTATTCAGAAAAAATATCAATCAAAATAGTTTTAAGCATTTACATCACAAGATACATCATACGCAAATTGACGTGAATTATTCTTATACACACCGCCAGCGATAGTATACAAAAAAGGCGCAATTTATGAGAAACGTGTTCTTTTTTTGAAGATTCTCAAATGTTTACTTTAAGTTAGGCCTTTGAGATACGGCACATTTGTACACTTTTTATTGACTTTATTTTTTTGGATTCACGAGGTCACCGTGACCTGTGTACTTGATTTGTGCATGTACAGTGCTGTATTGCGAATACAGCTGTAATATGAATATTTATTGAGTACATTCACACCCCTGAGGGTCAGGTACAAGAAAGTGCAGTACACAAAAAGAATATATATGATTTAACACTAGACTACTATATACTACATATAATATATGCTTAATACTGTAAAATGTAAAATATGTATTACTACAAAATGCTTTTATACCGTATTTCGTATCCCAAAAGACTTCCTTCTATGAGCATCGTGACTTAGCCTTTTAAATAAATGATTTTTTTACCAGAGCTTAGCTTTAAGGAAATGCTTAAGGGTTACTCGTGTCAGAGCCACATGCTTAACATAATGGCCGCTGTGATCGAGTTTAATAAAAAACACAATGTATCATTTTATAGGTTATTTTATTGTTATTTGTTCGCCTGCTATATACCCGTGACTAAGAATTCTCTCTAGATATGCTTTACAAGCTTTTCTTTCAAAGGATCAGAATGTTTTATGCCTGACATTAACGGAGCGTTATGACAAAAAAATCACACGCTCGTTTATTTTCTACACTCTTGCGGTTATTCTAATAGTTTGCCCTTTTATTAATTGCGTTAATAACTTAATACATCGTGAACAGTTTAATTTCAAAATGGGTACTTACAGGGGCGTATCTAGGATCTTAATTTAGCGAGGAGAAAATAATAGGAAAGGCAAGTTCAGACTGAGGGAAGAATTTTCCCACCAGATTTTTTCTAGATGAAAAACACGTCTCAATAAGTGAGTTTATCTGTACAATTTTGATCGGTCCCATGCCTTTCTTCATGTTTATGCTCAATATCGATCATTTTATAACTGTATTCATTTTGGACTGTGTATAATATCACGCAGTAGCTGGAACTAATCATTGTTGAATCATGATCATTTGTATTCATTGAGCATTACCAATATCACTAGAGCGTTAACATAGATCATTACATACAACCTTTAACCCCCACCTCCCTTACATAGATCATTACATACAACCTTAAACCATACCTCTCTCACTCACCTCTCTTATTTCTAAAATTCACTCTTTCAGGGTAGTTTAGAGAATACAACACCAAGAAAATGCATGCTGGTGGCTCCCAGAGGGTATACACATTTTTCACCAAGTGCTTTTTTCATCTCCAATCAAATTGCAGGATTCGATCACGTGAACAATCATGGGCACATGCTCTCTCAGTGCTGCGCATGCGCAGAGTTAAATTTGAAATCGTGGGAATAATGGCGTTTACATCAGTTCAACATCGTCATTTCAAACCTACGGTAATACTATTGAAGTTACTCGATCCATACTTGTAAAGAATACTCATAAAACTACAGTGAAAATTTGGAGATCCATTTCAACGGCAAATTGAGGCCTGTTTATAAAATTTGTTTTCGAACGTGCTAATATGATAGGGCATCTTTGGGGAATCTCCCCCCTGGCCAACACGGTAAAATACCGAATGGCGAAAAAAGCGAACGCATTCCGTTCGGTCTTTGCACGCGATTGCCGTTTATGTCACTCATTTGTTTCGAAAATATTCACATCTACTATATATATTTTGCAAGTGGATCCAAGAGACCAAGTGGGCAAGTCAATTATTTTGCAGGGGTGGCATGATACACAGATTTCAATTTTGTATATAGTGAATTCCCAGTGATTGATTTCAGTACAGTAAAACTGTCATAGTGAACACCTCTTTAGTGAAGATCTGTGCCCAGTGACATGCCTCTACTCTATTGAACACCTGTGTATATTATAGTGAACACCGATTCCGTCCCAGCCAGTGAGTTCAGTACAGTAAAAATATCCTAATGAACACCTCTTTAGTGAAGATCTGTGCCCAGTGAAAACATGCGTCAACTCTATTGAACACCTGTGTATAGTGAACACCAATTCCCAGTACAGTAAAACTGTCATAATGAACATCTCTTTAGTGAAATACTGTGCCCAGCGAACATATGAGTATACTCTATTGAACACCTGTGTGTAAGCGAACACCAATTCCCAGCCAGTGATTACAGTAACTTTTAGAGGGGATTCAGGCCTGTCAACTGTCCCGCAATTTGCGTATTTGTCACGCATTTGCTGAAGAATTTGAAGTCACGCCAGTTATTTTTGCGTGACAGAAAATGTCACGCAAATACGCATTTTACCTGGTAATTGTCAAGCAAAGATATTTCTGTAGAAAAATTTCTAAAAAATATCGTCTACACAGCAAAAATACGAACGCCGGAAAAAAACGTACGCATTTCGTTCGGACTTTTCACGCGAATTACGTATATGTCACGCATTCCTTTCGAAATTTTCTGTACCTAACCCCCCCCCCCTTGTCGAGTCTTTGATCACGCACTTTTAATAGTAGGCGATCACTGTACATACAGTGAGGTGACACACTGTTATGGGAACTGGTCATATCAGATGTTCCCACGCTTTTCGTCCAGAAGAGGTCATTTCCCAGGATTATAGATGAACCCTTGGCCAATCAATGATATAGTTTACATAAGAGAAGTATGACTGTATGAATTCTGGGATATTCCTGTTTTGTTGAGACAGGTGAGAATAAAATTAACCCTTTGCAAATTTGATCAATACTGCCTCCGATCATCCAATACTTGGCTCAGATAAAATAGTTGATTTATATTTGAATTCGATAATAACATTTAAAAATTAAATGTGTAGTAGTAATACTTTAGTACCTCTTATTAATTAATGTATAATATTACAACATACATAATGATGTAGGCAATTTGTTTCATAAAAATCTAAAAGTAAAATTCATAATTTAAATTTACCCTCTGGGAGCCCCAAAATTTTAGAAAATGCATTTTCTTGGTGATGTATTTTCTAAACTACCCTTTTTCAGCGAACAATCCCTAAAGCAGTCCAGTCCACTAACTCCATAAATGACAAATGATTATATTACGTAATATTGCCATACGATCGTAATGAATTAAATCTCACACATGTACATGGTAAAATGATGATTCTCCAAAAGTGAGTACGAAAATTATGCCAAAGATGAACCTTTGGGAAATGAATCATCAATATCGAGGGCAATATATTACAGTTACTTAAAAAACAAAAAGGACGTGTATTTTTCAGTCAACAACAACATGTGTGCACTATGTTAATGTCAAAAAGTGCATCAATTACCCCCCCCCCCCCTTCCTTACTACACATCTCCCATATTAAAGGGGGGGGGGGGGTGTACGTGAATGTAGAAGTTTATGATTAGAGGACACCCAACTAGAATCTAAAGTTAAAACTTTAACTTATATAGCATCTTCAACCTCCTGGATCCAAATAAATACTTCCAATATTTATCTATTTTATTTACAATATTTTACTTACTTCCTAATTGTGATATCTAAAGCCACATGAAAACTATGTTTAATTTAATCAAAGCAATCTACAATGCCACATGGCGATTGGTATGCTTTTATATGTAATTGTTTATATTGTTTAGAGGAGCAGTAGGAATATAGCAGCTCCTGTTCAGTCAAATCAGTTTACAACGAGGCCGGGGATAGTCCATAATAGTGAGTTTAACCTTACATGTAAAATCGAAACGCCAACCTATACGTATGGCCAATCGCCCATACAAATGCATCGCTTAAATATTTTCTGTTCACGTTTAGGTTGTGAAAAATATTGCAAGCTTAAATTCTCTATTATGCCTCAGGTACATGTAGCATAATATATGAAGGATAATTGAATTTAAGCTTAGATGTTATTATTTCAGAGGGGGTGGGGAGGGGGGGGGTTAAGAGGCTTGGACTCGTATCAAAAATTAGGGTACCATATAGCCCTCTTGGTCTAATTTATGTTATCCAACACAACATTCATAGACCCATTTCAATGACCTTTTTATGTTTTAAACTTTATAGAGGCAACCAGACTTGGCAGACTATACAAACAAAAAGAGTTATTGATGGCAAAAGACACATATATACGCCACTTACCCAGTGCTTTATAACTTGTGTTTATTTAGGCCATGTGTCAATATAGAAGTCTACTGCATAATCACTTCAGCAAACTATACTATATTCTTCATGTACTCTCCTCCGAGTGTAATATCCACCAAAATTCCACTTCCTACAAATGTACAATCTTGCGACTCAACGATCCTCCAAGTGTACTATCCTCTAACTGTACAATCCTCCAAGTGTTCTATCCTCTAACTGTACAATCATCCAAGTGTACTATCCTCTAACTGTACAATCCTTCAAGTGTTCTATCCTCTAACTGTACAATTCTCCAAGTGTACTATCCTCTAACTGTACAATCCTCCAAGTGTTCTACCCTCTAACTGTGCAATAATTCATGTATACAATCCTCTTACTGTACTATCCTTCAAATAGTATCCTCTTACTGTCGTTTCATCAACAGTACTGCTCTCTGTCTCAAAAATACTCAATTGGGCCTTTCTCCATCAATTGTTTATGTCAACCTATTCGTTTTTCTCACAATATTATTATGAAATCATAATAAACTACTTGATATGTCTTTAATTGGAGGTCCTTATGCTTACTATAACATTCCTATGTCTGGATATATGTTTTGTGAGACTCTAAATGAATTACAGCTACCGTTTATCACGACCGTGTTTTGTGTTACATGTCTTGGTACAACTTAAACTTGTGAAAGTTTCAAGTGTTCCGGGTTTCTTGTAGACTACCTGAATCTAGAATTAGATCAATTTTCAGACTCCCCATGGAGGCGATACTTCTCGGCATACCACGGTACTACTACAGTCGATGCAGCAATACATTCGGATTTTGTCTGTATACTCCGAGTCTCAATAAAATTATGGTACTATAGTGTCGTAAAATAAAGAAAAATGAAGAATACAAATTATTTGTATTTTGACACTTGATTCATATTTAATCGAAGGCATCAGTATTATGCAATTAATAAAATGAGGTAAACAATCGATTCGGCGGCCACAGTGGTATGTTGAGACCTACGACTGCCAGCTCGGGAGATTGAGCTACATGATGTTTCGTTTATCATATCTCTAGCTAGCAGGTCGCTGAATACTTGTCTATCAAACGTCGCGGCATCCAGCTAGGATCCAGGTTTTTTCGATGTATGCAATGATGAGTTGAAGAGTTGAAGTATCTTCTCCTGCACGTCAGTGTTGCATTCAGACTTTGTTGTTATAATCGCTTGTCGGTATCAATGTTTTTATCACAGTAAAGTATCAAGTGTTGCTTATAGAGGTTTACAGTTGACCCGATCACCTATACGTATAATAACACGGTCTCGTTCCCTTTCTTTAACATTCTATGTAATTTTTATGCTTGCTATTCGTCTGGTGACCTCTTCTTCGTGACCCTAAACATGTCAGGAGCTGTTAACTAAGGACGGTTTGCACAGCTAACCTTTAAAAGGAGACTGGTTGTAAAGGAAATAATGAGCTTTTTAATAGGAAGGCATTGTGTTCATTTTTAGCGTTAGTTGTTGAAAAAATCGTTCTTTTAGTCACTCGAAGCAGAGGCGGTTTATTGTGGCGTCTAGGATGTGGTTTTAAATACGTTTTTTAATGTATGCCCAGGCTCAATTAACGTGGTCACATGTCTGTACTATTGAACATGTGTGTTTAAGTGCATTTAATAATAAACTGTATATTTGATGAGACCCCCTTCAAAGTGACTGCAACCTTTTAAAACTATCTAGCTGTTAAGGACATTTACTTTATGTGTCAATTTGTTCATTTCACGTAATTCAATCATAGTAGAAGTGTATTGTACAAAACTACTACGCATATATCTGGTGAATACGCTACGGAAAAATTGTGCGAAACCTCTCTATTGTCAAAGTCCACGTCTTGATGCCATTCCGAGAATGCCATCTTTTTTATTGTATGATAGTTAAATCAGGACATCTTATGAAACACTTTAAAGAGAGGTAGAACATTTTAAATGCTTAACATATCTTATATATACTAGTTTAGCTCGCGTTATATTTGAAAACTGAGCTATATTGTATATTGAATGCTAAACATATCTTATTTAGTCTACGAGGATGTTTTTTTCTTTGATTTTTTCATTCTTAAAATGTACAATTTAAGTATTTTGATGTTAACTGACATTGCCATCTCGTGGCTCACATCTTGTACCAAGGGGTTACACTAAAAGCAGCATCCTTTCGATTTCCTTCTCTCTCAAAACCCTTGATGTTTGATTCATAACAAATATATACTTAAAGGCCCCATGTAAAGTTTAAACCACTTTGGCTTATATTGTAGTCTTACCCATCTTATCAAAGTGTGATATGTGAAACTTTTTTTTTAAATTTCAAAAAGTGGTTTTTGATAGACTTTTTGTTTCAAAATTTGTGAATTTATTTAAAACCAACTTTTAGAGGTCACTCATATCTTCTAATTAGCCACAATTCATATCAATGCATAGCATTCATCCTCCCATGTTTTTTGCCGAAAAAATTAAGAAAATCGGTTGGTAAACAAGCAAGAAATGAACTTATCAGTGCATGAAAATGGTTCTGAGAAAAAGGCATTTCAAAATTTTAGTTCTCATAGAAACCAATGGTACAATGATATCTAAAACATAATTTATTCTTCCTTTTAACCTGGTTAGACAATCAACATTGGTTTTTTATGAAAGTCTAGCATATTTGGAAAAGATTGACATCGAAAAAAAAAATTCAATTTTTTTCAAAAAGTTTTTGTTACCTTAGTGACATCACTAATGTTTCAAAATATTTTTGATAAGCTAAAACATTGAAGTGGCCCATTAAATATGACATTTTTTATTGAAATAGTGTGTCTTTTGTTCAATCTTTGCATTAGTGTTAAAAAGATAATCTTTTTTGAAATGCATTAAGAAATATTTGATGATTAAGAAATTTCAACTTTTTTTGAAAAATGGCGGGAAATTTGAATATTTGAGAAATGAAATGCTCACAACTTTTTTTTCAAAAATTTTTTTTTGTTCAAAAATCTCTAAAATCACTTTTTAAGTCCTGACAAATAGTAAATGAATGATAAAAAAATATTTTCAAACTTTAGACGGGGACTTTAACATTTTAAAGGCATGCCAAAATATATTGGTGATTATACATCCTTAGTATACGTAGCGAAAATAATGACCGGCCGGGATCAATAGCGTGACAATTCGATTCGTTTCTGATATATGATATCCTATGTATTTTTCAAGAACTATTTTTCCAAAAGTCACATTTTTCAAGAAAAAACGTCTTAAATGGTCTTCAAGTCATGGAAAGTAATATATGAATGATCAAACCATTATTTCAAACTTAACACGAGGCCTTTAAATTAAAAGGAATTTATTTAAACTACGATGTAGACAGTGCTTTTAACATCATATTCTAAATGCTTAAGGTTCATCCGGGACTTCACAGCAGCAATCATCCTTGCTAAAGACTAGTTGTACTTCACTCATATCATCGACAGGGCAGCAGTTGACCCTATCAGAGCCGGAGTCTCTGTATGTTATGTCGTCAATGACGTCATACACAATACCAGCAATACAACATTGGTCTGAAATCAAATAGTAGCGTTGCAAATTTTATTTATTGGTATAAAAACTACAAGAGGGGGATTGCAATATAGCTAGAGTTACTGAAATGAATCCAAAATGGGTGAAGTCCTTTTGATTTGGACAGGTATAACATTCAAAATATGTGAATTACGATTGTCTAAAATCATCAGAAAATAATACATTCCAATGTAATTCTTAGGTAAAACATCTAATGGGGTAGACAAAGAAGCTTGCCAAGCTTTGAATCGAAGGGCAGTGTGCAAGTAATTGTCACCCATCGATATCATGGAAAAAACTAAAAATGTCAGATTATATTTCATAGAAAATGACACGATACTTAACTTTATTTAACGATCTTTTGACCTTCAAAGTTATTAAAGAGGTCAACTTTTATACGCGTTCGAGAGTACTTCAACGTAAACATGTAATATAATGGCCCCTGGTAGTTGTTGTTCATCTTTCAAATGGTCTAAATGAGTGTCCTCGTGTTCTCCCCGTCAGTCATTTTTGAATATGCGCTCAGTTTGTCAGGGTTTCAAACTGCGTGCAGGTTTCCACGCAGTTTGGATACCGCACCGTGCAGAACAGTGCTAAATTAACGCCCTTGTTATCTTCGATTTCAAACCCAACATATGTAATGCAAACATGGACTGGGTTGAAACATATGCGTTTCGATGCACAACTTTTTCCAAAATGTATGCAAGTAAGTAATTGTTAGAAGTCTGATTAAAATCGTCTTACCTTCTCCTAATGTGGGTGGGCAAGGGAGATCAGTCACCTCATCTAAAACATTAATAATTTTCAGTTTAATAACAAAAAGACTCGACTATTACGTTTGCGTTTTGTGAAGCCCAAATACAGCGATGGGTTATTTTATCAGTCGAACGGTGATACAGGTTGGCAGTTAATTGATTTTACAATTACAATACAATAACTTTGGCAAGTGAAAAACGATTTTATGAACACCCTATATGCGTGTCCTGACATTTTGGGACAGACACCTTTATCGAGAGTTTTATATACTTGTATCACAGGGGCTTGTCTCGAGGCGTCGGGCAAGCCCTCCGATGAGTCTACTGCTTATTAAGAGTAAAAAGGGGGTTCGATTTTGATGCTACCTGAAATTTGTAGAAAATGATTGTTAGATATATCCAGTAAAAACATAAGGAATCCTTTCAATAATCAACATGCTGATTCAAACAACACTACAGAGCAAAGTTACCTAAAATGGTAGCAATCCATCCACTAATTGCTGAGAAATCTGAAGAATATGTAAAGAAGTGATTAAAATGCAAAAGCCCACAATTTTCGCATCTTAATTATTACCTCCGGAGTCGATTTCTTCCTCAAGACACGTCCACTGTTAAAAATTGGTAGTTCCTAGGGTTCTGTGTTTCCTTAGATTCATTCCCGTATATTATTGTTAACGAAGGACAGCCTATAACGACTGCTATACGCAAAAAGATGCATGAAATTAGAAGTTTCGAAACTGAACGTTGAAAAATGGCGACTTCCTGTGTTCTATGCGCATGCGCAAAAATGAAAGTACTTAATTCCCACGATTCACAAGGATTCGAATTACTTTTCGGCGGTTGGTTCGGTTTTACTTAGATACCAAATGAAAGATTATTGCCAAGGAATGGAAAACGTATTTCGAAGATGAGAGTTATTTGTTTTATCACTAAAATCAGGAAAATATTTCCGCAATTTAAGGTGCATCATGGGAAGGGACTGCTGTGAAATAATGAACGCAAGTGACATCTATCTAAGAATATATGTAGTTATTGCGCATGCGTTCGCCATTTTTCAACTTTCAGTTTCGAAACTTCTAATTTCATGCATCTTTTTGCGTATAGCAGTCGTTATAGGCTGTCCTTCGTTAAAAATGATATACGGGAATGAACCTAAGGAAACAAAGAACTCTAGGAACTACCAATTTTTAACAGTGGACGTGTCTTGAGGAAGAAATCGACTCTGGAGGTAATAATTAGGATGCGAAAATTGTGGGCTTTTGCATTTTAATCACTTCTTTACATATTCTTCAGATTTCTCAGCAATTAGTGGATGGATTGCTACCATTTTAGGTAACTTTGCTCTAGTGTTGTTTGAATCAGCATGTTGATTATTGAAAGGATTCCTTATGTTTTACTGGATATATCTAACAATCATTTTCTACAAATTTCAGGTAGCATCAAAATCGAGCTACCTTAAACTCTTTATAACAGTAGACTATCATCGGAGGGCTTGCCCGACGCCTCGAGACAAGCCCCTGTGACTTGTATACATATTTAATTGGAGGATAGCAAGATCCAAAGAGAACGCTAAAAAAACGGAAACCATTCCAACCTTGCAATAGCGAACATGTGAACCTGCTGTAAACAATACAAAGCCTTATCTAATGCGATTTGTACTCAGACGCCAACCCCAAAAAATCAGAAAATATGCCTAGAAATACGGATGGTTCTGATTCGATATCATGCTGGCCACCTCAAAGTCGTTATTAACTGACAGGGGGATTTTTGTCGTATTAAAATACATCGATTGTTGACAGTTTGTGAAATCTGCCAAAATTTAGACGCTTAAAATGTTGATTCTTACCTCCGCAATACGCGTTCATGCAATCCATGACGTTGGTTGCAAGGTCACATGTCTTGTTGACGTCATTCCATACGGAGGGTGGCCTGCATTCTATAGCAACCGTTCCTGTCCTAATAATAGACAAAAACTTTGGTTTATTCAAGACAATTTCTTCAACTTAAATCTCCAAGACAAGCCTCCTCTATTCGAGAATGTATTCTGCAGATTATAATTTATCCAGATATTCTTGATCTGTTTATGCATATGGAAGTTCTATTATCTGGTCATTTACTAATACATTGGTTGGTATGTTTTGCGTCTTCGTCACAAGCATACACTGTATGAAAGTAACTGTGTATATGTCGTAATTATTTTGCATTTACATATTCGTTTTTTGACATCTGATCATGTGCTTGATAAGCGTGTTGTTGTACACATATTCAATATATTTTTTGTTGAAGTAATTCTCACTTATTAGCAAAGCATTGGAGGAATCCACAACACTCGTTATCAGGATCGGCAATGTACAGCTCAGTTTCACAACGAGGATCAACAACATCTGGAAGGAGAAATCCCCACGTGACCATAACTAACCAATCACATTTTAAATAGTCACAAGTCAAGAACCAGCCAATCATATTAGGTAGGCACCGGGAATGAAACATGACCATAACTATCCAATCATTTTTTGAGATATGATCATTTGTCAATTACGTGTAATTCGTGGTACTGAAACACAGGGTGTCCATGAAAATCTGGGACAAACTAGGCTTTTTACTTCCACATTTGTATTTCAGAAATAATGCTCAGGATTCTAGTAATCTGCCTTTGAAGTTTGGTATACTTTTGTTGGACAGCATGTATTAGTGAAGTTTCAGCTCAAAAGTTACAAAAGTCATGAAAATATCAAATGACTAAACATAGCTTGAGATGAATACACATATAGTTATGCTTAAGCGTAGCGCTCAACTGGATAAATACTATATGTCTAATAAATATGACGGCTCAGTCACATTTAATCTACGGCAGTCGTACGGCTGCCGTAGCTTTATAGAATCGATATACAAAATCGATATCGTAGTGTTTATGACTATATTTTATATGTATTCCGATTTTGGGAAGCTATGGCCGCCATACGGTTGCTGTATATCTTGTGACTGCATAAGAGTATTAAACATATCAACATGCTAAATAAATCCATTTACATTCAAATTCGCAGCAGCAGTCTGACGTACTGAACACTTGTCCCAGGGGGCAGAATTGTGGTTTGCCATCGGACAGTGAGTAACTGTTATCACTTAGGACTGTGTAAACTGGTTCTCGCCCTCCGACACAGCAAGTTCCTTAAAGGGAAATGATTTTGGAAAATACTGTAAATAGATAACAGAAGTTTTTAAAATGAAGTCTGCCATCCCTTCATCACATTTTATGAGCCATGGTCACAATAGAAAAACGCAAGATCTTGAAACGTTTTAAGCTCGGCACTGACTGTAGTAATTACAAGTATAAGGTCATTAGTTCGAAATCAAGTGATTTTGGGTTCAGTCTAAATATGAGCTTTGCACCTCAATTTTAATATCATAGAATGTGTCTTTTACTTTAAAATCTCCCCTCGTATACATACCGTCTTCCAAGTCTCCACACAAAGCCGTCGTCCTTACAGGAACTATAACAATCAATATACAAGTCAACTACATTGTTTTACTGATGACAAAAAATATACAGTGTAGGTTTCGCATCACACGGGATTCTATATGATCGACGGCGTTCATGCGTCAGTTTGATAACACTCGTGGTGCAAATCAAAAGTGATTATCGTATCAACTCGTATCTACCGTTTATTCTATATTTCTCTCCATAGCATATTTTACCAGTCATTGATATCTCCATGCTATCATGCTAAATGACTGAATTGTTAACTTTTGTTTGGGTTATCTTTTTGACCCACCCTGTAACACAGAGCAATTCATTGATTTTGAATTAGCTATTGAAAATGAGACTCACCAGTGCAGTCAGCAGGGTCACAACTTGGAAAATATTTTGGATCATCGCAAACTGAAAGATCTGTATTCCATACGGTGCCTCCCATGCATTTACCGAGGAAGCCCGTTTTGTTCAAATGAGGAGCACTACACACGATGAATGAACAGCAGTCTGCTTCGGGGTCGTCCGTAAAATCACTGCTTAAATAGCCTTGGGTTGTTATACATGCAGCTGGAATAAACGAATCATTGAGTTATGAAAGAGAGTTTATTATTTCATGATCGTGTACTCGTATCTTAACTTGTATTCGCGATGGCAACTAACGCCTGTCGGTTACCGGATTAACCAACTATTTTATGACCAACTCATTTCAATATGAATGGAATAGTGGCAGGTACTATTCATATTTAAATGAGTTGCCCATAAAAAGCAAATTAATCCGGCAGCCGGCAGGTGTTAGTTGCATTTGCAATGTGAAAAGGACTATTTTAACTTGAATTTTGATATCAGATTCAGAAATTTCTAAAGATATCTCGAGATCGAGACAGATAAAGTGAACCTGCATTTTGATAATGTAGGAGGGTATTTCTAAATTGAAAAGGGTCATTTCAATACATTGTAGATGCATGAAACGTAAACCGATTTCCCCTGCAATGTATGTACACGATGACATTATCAAATATGAGATTGCTATTCCAAAGATTAGAGACTTACTTTTTGCGTCACCCTATAGCTTACTGTTTTTAAAATATTTTTGACAATGATTTACCTTGTGCAGCAGCATCCAATACGAGTTCTGAAAGAAAAAAGCTATCCGATTAAAAAGATATACCCCACTGTTGCTCAAATTTGAAGGCTGTGGTCGTGGTGCGTGACTAAGTGTGACCATTTCCGTCACTGTGTCCTTCTTATTGACACATATCTTGGGCAAAAATAAAAATACAAACTAATTTAAAACATGAAACAAGAATAATGAGTTTGACAACTTGCATATTACTGTATGTATATAACTGCTGTTTCATTTCGATTGTTGGTCAAAATGGAAAGAATTTAACTGTAAGTTTAAGGAAGACAAAATCTCCAAAAACTGTCAGATAAATTACTAAAGAATATTTGTCCGAGTTACTTACTTTTCCCACTCCTGGTGTCAATGGCAACAGCCATGCTCATTAACAATGCCAGGATAATCATGTTGCTGAAAATACATAACAAGTACTAGCTCAATGTTTAAAAATTGGTATCATCATGTTGCTAAATATACAAATAACTGATTAAAACTCTTGGTTGAAAAAATGTTTGTCATCAATTGCTATCATTCAGTTCATGTTCACTTACTGTAAAGTATTAAATTATAACATGCGCTTTGGTTATGTTTTTAAACATAAATATTATCCCACAAAGCATCACTATTAGCTTTGGATTGGACAACGATTTGAGCGACAAGCCTAATGGATGTGATTTGCCTTATAAGGTTTAATGAGCAACTGGGTGGTTCAGAAGTCTGTCTTTAAATAAAACTTTGAAATAGTAAAAACCAATATATTTGAAATTATGAATTTTTTCAATTAATCCACACAATTTTGTCGAATCTGCCTGGCCAATATTTGAAAAAATAAACGAAATAAAACAAGCACATTTATGTAATTACATACTTAACCAATGGAAATAAGATTGAAAAAATTAATTTTGACAAAATGATAATCCAATTTACATTAACGTCTAGGGTATTATAAAATATGTAAAAATTCAAATGAAAATATTTAAGTTTTTGACCCCTTGTAATTAGAGGCATATTTCAACCCTCCTAAAGCCCGAAAGTTTTTCAGCAAACAGCATTTTAAAGGCATTTCAAACCTAATCTACACAATTAACCACAGGAAGCCAACGTATTTCGAAACAATTGCCAATATTCACAAGTAACAATGAAGATGAATTATAAACAAAAGCTTACCCAGTGATGTGTCGAGTACTCCTAAGTTAGTTTGACCACCGACTTTACGTTTGTTGTTGGTTCACTTGTCGAAAGTGATGGATTGCTACAGCATGCCTTTAACTAGAAGTACACTAATAAATATGTCGGAAAAGCGGTGATTGATTCTTGTCCATATCTGAATATCGTTGAAATACAAAGTGTGTAAGGGATCAAGGCTCTCAACTAATTTATCTACAGTATGTACGTTAATCTCGATTACTACACAGTCTTAAGGGCGATAGAAATATTTTTCAAATTCAAAATTAATCAATCAGGCGCCATTTTTTCACTTCACTATTTGAATCGCGAGTTTCGGATTGTTACAGAACATTTCAAAAATTAATAGGATTGAAAGAATTCTAATAACGATGCCATCTTTATAACGGCCGAACACCTGTGATTATTATACATTATCCCAATTTGCGTAACTTTTTTACAACATGAATGAGAAATGGGCTCGAACAGTCTCCCTACGCCATTTAAATCCTCCGATTGAATATTTATTTATTTTAATATTACCATTGAACCTTAATTGGTGCACGAACATTTTACGACGTGTCAATTCTGATGAGATTTCGTTAAAAACATGCCATGTCCAGAATCATGCTTTTAACACGTTTAATGTCCTGTTAAAGAAAAACTTTATTTCATGAAAATCCATGGATATTATTTTTCTTAATCAAACATCACTTTTGGGAGTTTAACACCCTCCCGAACCTGTCTTCATCCATATAGGGGGAATGGCATCTCCAAAAATTCGAGGACTGGTCAGGCTTGATCAGCTGAAAAAGTTACTGTCTTGTCTTTTATTCGTCAATACTCTCAAGAGTTATCAAAAACAACTTTAACTAAGAAGTTGAAAGCTTCCATTTTCTGTCTTGGCAACGTCTGCTTTGTTGACAATGAATACTATCTTCTCAACAAACGCGGCGACAACTACATGACTTTGTGTAGACCTATATATGCTGTTTCACAAGCCAGGAATGGGGGATGCATGTTTCAACTAAAGACTCAACAAAATATTAATAAGGACTAGATCGACGTCTACAATGAGTGCAGCCTGCAATACTGAAGTAACAGGAGCAATCCTCCCAAACAGCCATCCAAGTATTGGTTAGTTCTTATTCGTGAATTAAGCAGTTGGCTTGGGGAAGGGGTATGACAAATTGGCATTCAAAATTGATGTTTGAAAGACGTTTCGATTTGAAGGGATTCCCTGCCCCGTCTGTACATTATGATTGTTTAAAACATCATAGATGCTCTAACAGTGCTGGCTACTGATATGCTTCATCAGCAGTCTCACTCCCCCTGCTTTCGGGGACTAAACTGAAGCAGATATAATGAGTTACCCCAAGCAGAGTTGATCAGGCTCCACCAGCAATTGGTACAATGTAGCCGCACAATATGGTAGATTAATTGGGTGAAAACCACATTGTATGGGTTTCAACAGATGTCATCCGGATGGTTTCTGTAGCAACACTGTGTCCATATATACCCCTCTGCTATCACTTTAGTTTACAGCGTGGAACATTAAGGCAATGTTGGGTTAATTCTGGGCGTAAATTTTCCTCCGTCTAACATGGATTTTAATACATTGCGTGCTGAAAATCTAGTAGAAATCTTCCATACGGATACCTCCTTTTCTAAAGTTTTTCCACAGTAAGAGTTCAAACATTGATGATAAATTTGATGAATTTTTGAAAATCGACATTCCCATGTTAACCAATGGGAAATGGTAGGTTTGCCGCAAGTCATATAACAGAATATCCATCCATTCGAATCCTTGCAAAAGATAAAGTTAGGTAAACAATTGTATTTGCCAACTTTATTTAACAAAAATGGATATGTTTTTTCAGGTTCAACAAAGTTATAGGTCTTTAAAGTCAAAATTGTTTTTCAAAAAACCTCTTCCATTGAAATAACAAAGGAGGCGAAAATGATTTTCAAAAATGACTTTGAAGCTCTGTAACTTTAGTATTCATCAAGTAAACTAAAAACTTAGTGAACAAAAAAGTTAGACAAATCGATTTTCTATATAATTTTTTTGCCGAATCTTTTTCTGAATAGATATCCTGATTTCTGATTTGCTCCACCATTTCCCATTGGTTTATATGGGAATGACAATTGTCAAAAATTCATCAAATTTATCATCAATGTTCGACCTATTATAATTGAGGAAAAATTGAGAAAATCTGAAGGTATTGGAAATAAAGTCAAGTTGCGTTTCCATCAATATTATAAGTTATTTCATCGCAGGTTAAGTAAATAAAAATTCAAACTCAGAGAACCTTTAACACGTAGTTCAATAGGGGAGCTAAGTTGCCAATGGAGGGGAGTGTACATGATCAAATCGACAAACTGTTTAAAAGTAGTCTAAACTGATTCATAAAAATTGTCTTTCTATTAAACGCAATCTTGTATAATATCATTTGATTCAGTTTTTTCATCCATGAAAGTTTCAATCAATGTGGGATGACTTCGACTTCCAAAAATATGTTATGTAAAAAAAGGTTGGGAATTCCATTTCCGATAAAGTTATTCGAAAGAAAACTGTTACAAAACTGTTTCTTACATTTTTTTTTGTTTATCTCGTGTGTATATAATTTCATAAAAGGTATGACGGTTGTCTTGAGTTTGAATTTCTGGTTAGGTAACTGGAATCTTAGTTTTTTCATAATTGATCCTAAGACTTCCATGCTTTTCAATTGAATTGTTTGGGGCCATGCATTTAATAGTTGAGTTACCCCTTAACGCTAAAACCATGTACATGTATTATATGAAAGCAAGTCTGCTGGAACCTTTTTTGTTTTCAGAGACACGTTGGCCACGTTTATGACAGCAGAACATCATAATCATTGTTGAATTTTCAGGGCTCGTAAAACTCAAATTGTAAGGGGACGTCTCTGCAAAAGTTGATTTCCAAGTTGGATGTCAACACATCGGGCGATGAGTCCCACTGTTAGTATATACGATTCGCACAAATCGACGTTTCGTTAACTACAAGGGCTCCAATTGGCCCAAGCAACACTTTTAAAGGACTTCTTTCGGATTAAATTAAAATTAAAATCACACAGAACGAATTCCCATTATGATAAACCACAACATCTCATTTTTTCTCAGCCTTAAGATGTCATGATATAGTGAGTTGGATTTGATGATCCAAGAAATGAGGATTTTTGAGATCTTTCCTCTCGGTTTCGATGTCCTCCAATCAAAGTGAGCCTAGATCACAGAATATGCCTTATAATATTGGAGCATGTTAAAACATGGTAAAACAGAACGATGCTAACCCTATATTATCACACAAACTAGTTCCCACTACGTTCTCGAAAACGGGCTTCAACTGTGTACGAACGGACTGGACGTACTTATAAATTAGAACCGTTTGGGGTCTATTTACAAACTTCATCGAACGTACTCGAACGGGTAGGTCCTAGTGAGTTCTCGTAGTGAGAACTAGTTTGGTGTGATAGTAGGGTAATTTTATGTATGTAATTTGTGGTAAAAAATCGATGTGTAACATTTTTTCAAGTCTCTAAAAGCAACTCTTATTTTCATAATATTTGAAAAATAAAGAAATCGGTTATTGTTTTGTAAATTTCGCCATGACAATATTGCGCAGTTAATTTCTTTTTGAAATCAGACCTAAACTAGAAGGCCAAATAAAAGTAAACTTATCGTTTGTCATAAGTACTATCAATTTCAAAGTTGTTACCATATTCTGAAACCGGTGTGAAAGAAATTATGGTCCCCTTTGTGAAAGTTCCTTACTGGCCCTGACTGTGTATAAATAATAAGGAAAATAATTGTGATTATGTCACCATATAAATCAATAGAGAGTAGGACCAAAATTTGATAGGACCACCTACCCTTTTACACCAGAGCTACACATGTGCCAAATATTGGAAGGATAAAATGAACCTTTCTTCGTTTCTAGTTCCTCACCAGTGCTTAGCCATGACTTCCCCGCGTCTCTCTATAAAGGGTGTCACATAATGTGGCTATTGGTAAAAATCTCCGAATGTATAGTTCAAATGCCATTTGTTACTTTTAAACTGTATTTAGTGTCACATGTCTCTCTCAAATGTCTTGGTGTAAAATAAAATACTAGGTTCCTAAATGATTATATATATATAATGGGTCTGTTTTATCTCAAATTGATTTTTTGAGATGGACATTATGAAATTCACTGTAAAGATACTGGAGAGAGAGAGTTTGTTATGCAGCAAATGCAAATGGCTTGCTTCGTGCAATGATTAGTTGATCAAAAAAATGTTAACAAAAACAGTTATATGAAATATATATAAATAATTTTCGCATTAAATGGTTGTCAATCAGTCAAAATAACACAGATTGTTTAAGAAAAAACATTGTTGAATTCAGTTCATCATATCGATACCAATCCTTTTATCAGTTTACCATCATCGTGTATATGCCCCTTTTTATATCTCAACTAAAACGTTCATAAGAACTATTCATTCGTTCGTGTGAATGAACCGCGTTAAAGGGTCTTGTTTGTAAGAACACCACACCACAAAAGCTAGATATCGAGTTGATGATGTACAGCAGATATAACATTTGTGATCACTAATTGATGAATATGCTTTACATCACGGCAACTATTTTTGTCAACTGGGAACAATTCATGAAAATCAATTCCAAATTGATTTTAGTGTGACATAACCCTTTAAAGTACAAGTTTACATATGCGTTTTCAAAACAACCTTCATCGAAAGCTCTCTATTGTTAATTGAGCGCCTATATTGAAAATTCCCATTCGATGAGAGGCTCAATGGCTTAAACGGCATTCACTTTTAAAAAGTTATATCAAATGCATGTTTTGATTTTTTTATTATTGGGTGGGGGTGGTCGGGTTAAGGTGCATGGTTTAAAGAGAACCTTCACAGGAATGTGAAATTGACCTAGTAAAACACAAATAACACAAACGCTTTTTGATTTGTTCTTTAATAATATCAAATGTATTTATCTATGAAGTTGACATTTCTAAGGTGCCTCACAGCAACAATCTTCCTTGTTGAAAACAAGTTGTACATCAGTCATACCATCGACTGGGCAACAATTTGTCTTCTCGACATCGTCACCAGCTATCTTGTATGTTGTATCATCAATGACGTCATATGTAATCCCAGCAATACAACATTGATCTACAATTGATTGAAAACGCAATTAAATCGGATTAAATTTACTTTTAGCGCATATGAAAATAATTCCCGGACAACATTTTTTTTTAAAAATTCAGGAAATACTAACGCTTATTCTTTCGTTGTTAAAACTAGTATGTCTTATCTCTCAGAGAGTACTGTGTGGTATTGTGTTAATTGTATTACATTATATGCATGTCGATAGTTAAGTCTACACTCACCGTCTCCTACAGAGGGTGGACAAGGAGGGTCGGTCATTTCGACTGAAATGTAAAACAATTTTGCAATGTTGAGATTTTTAATATTTCATTATATCAGTACTTTATATTTCATTATATTCTGTTCAATATGCAAGATTAATAAAGCTCAACGCGCACACATGTGTCACGTGGCATGTTTCTGAAATACAACATATCACTACAATTTTTAGATTCGTGTTTTATAAACAAATAAAATATGTTTATTTATAGAATACGGTTGGTGAGTCGAATATTGCCACTTCGGCAAATTAAGTGTTCGTATTAAGTACCACGTATACAGTAATTCATGTTTTATGTTATAGAGAATCGAAAGCATGAGTGAGAGTTGATTCTTTGAAAATAACGGCGAGGCGTTAGCCGAACCGTTAATTTCAAAGAATTAACTCTCACGAATGTTTTCTCTGACTTAAAACCCATACACTGTCACCTATGCAAGCTAAACGGTAATCTTTAGAAACCTACACGCTCTAGTAATCGCCAATTTTCAATGAACTATAGTAATCGTAGTGAGTGCACTGGTCCGTGATCATTTGAATGGTCAATGGTGGTTTGTATTGGATTTGTATGTATTGCATGTACGGTATGTACGTGGTGTCAACGCTATGTTCAGTACAGTTAGTTTAACATTCGAGAAGAAGCATGGAATACGAAAGGATGGATACCTTGACTCAGGATACCTTCAAGGAATTGACAGATCTCGACACGGATGAAGATCTTTCTTGGGGAACTTATAGGAGGAGTAAATAAATATGAAATAGATAGTAGTGAAATTGGCACATTTGATTTACGGTACAGTGTCGAAACATCCGACCTATCAGCCCCTGAATATTCCTCCGATTCTAACACTAGATTTGGAAAACCTGTATATGGATGTATATGGATATCGACAAGAAAAGCAGAAAAAGGTATGAATATAACTGTTTTCTTTGACTGTAGCTCGAAGAATCAAGAGTGCACATTCTGAAAGTAAAATTGCCAGATGGATTTTTTTGCTAAATATGTATTCTTTGTTTTAGCTATGCAAGGTCAACTGAAAATAAAATCAACTGAAAATTGGATATTACTAAAGCGTGTAGGTTACTAAAGATTACCGTTTAGCTTGCATAGGTGACAGTGTAAGGGTTTTAAGTTAGAGAAAACATATTTGCCCCTTTCAGCATACAGTTGTTGGCGACTTGGCGTAAAGTCCACTGTGATTGCACTCACTAAACAAAAGATTTGCTTTTGTTTCCTGATTGCAATCCTCGCAGACCCCCAGTAGCTGTAGATTCGTGAAAAAATAATCAACTGTTTGGTCTATTGTGTACTACCTTCAGCGGGTTTTAAAAACAGTTAAAATATATTTATTCATACCTCCACACATCTCGTTCATGCATTCCATGACGTTAACTGCAATGTCACAGGTCTTGTTGACGTCATTCCACACGGATGGGGGCATACATTGTACGACAACATATCCAGTCCTTAAATATTGGATATCCATTTTAATGTTGGTAAAATATGATACTCTTGTTGTTATCCATGAATCAAAATAAATATGTTATAAGATACTGACGATGCGCATCCGTCTGACTTTGAAATTGCTTCAGGCGTAGTTAATTGACGTATCTGACTTAAAAGAGCATATTATTGGAGCCTATTCATATGAAATGCCGATTTCAGGTAAGTGGGTCTAGAATGTCTGATGTTATAACCATGCAGCATATAAATTTTTTGTAAAACTGCATTCTATATTAAGGATCGTCCGATTGATATCACGGGATAGTAGATCACAATTAAGACCGACCACGATGAGGATTTCGAGTATCCCATTTGAAAGGTATGCATCCATTTCTCATCTCTTTTCCACAGGTACATTTTTCTATATTTTACCTTTTTTGGCGTCTTCACTTTTAAAAAAAGAGACAATTTCGCCTAGGTCTGTCCAAAGACAATCATTGAAGTCACATTATAACTGCCCATATAATATCTTACATGCCTAAGATATATCTTGAGAACATATTGAGGGCACAATATTGAGGGCATGATATCACCGACATATTGAGAAAATCAACAGAACAACTAAATGTCGGATAAAACACAATAAGTCCAAATCAACATACAACCGTTTAATCAATATTATGAAACCCTTGAAAGTAATAAATATAACGAAGACCAATTCCTTGTACATCTTTTAGAGCCAAAAATATCAGGGGGTTACTCTGTGCTTTTATCAGACATTGCACCTTAAAGTAACCATTTAAATAATAATTAATATGTTTATTTCAAACTTGATTCGAGCATGGTAACATTTGGTTTTGTAAGGATAAATGACGTGTATTCAAGTAAAAATTTGTATTCTGGGAAAAACAAATCATATTGAAAAAATATGTATGCAAAAAGCATACGAGAGCACGCATGAATATTGAAAACGCTTTAACATACCAACTACTGGAACACAATAAGAAAAAGTAAACATCTAAGAGTAAACAAGTCATAAAGATAACAAACCCCAACTATCCCAATGAATGATCCAATGTGTTAAGAAACAATGTCTAAACCCTCCTTCTCCGCCATTAGATTTATTGAGGTTTAGTTTGCTTACCCATTAGCGAAACATTGAAGGTAGCTACAGCATACATCGTCAGGGTTGGCAGCATATGGTCCATCAACACACTCAGGGACTACCTCGTCTGGAATAACACACGTTTCCATTATCAATTTTGAATTCACGTTGTCATTTCGTATATAAAGAAAACGACGTCCATACTTGAAAATATCCGGTCAAAAATAGCAGGAGTTCTAAAGGTCAGTTGTTACAGAAGATCACCTGACAATATCTCACCAACCATAGCAACAATAGTACTAGCAGGTAATCTTATATTATCTATGTGGCCAGTAAAAGCAAGAATATAATGTCACTTGGCATAACACAACGACGAAATACATTAATTTATTACCGATATTTTTTTTAATTTTGGATGATTTCCTAACCACGAGTCGTTGTTTTTAGGAAAGGCATTAAAACCATATTCCTTGTACTCCCAGGATAAAAACTATGAAGAAATATTTACATTCAAATTCGCAGCAGCAGTCTGATGTGCTGAACACTTGTCCTGCGGGGCAGAATTGTGGTGTGCCATCGGGGAGTGCGTAACTATTTGCACTAAGTGCTGCGTAAACTGGCTCTCTGCCCCCAACACAACAACTTCCTATAATGTGAATAAATCAGTTGCAGTTAAAGACATTTTGATAGATAAACAATCATTCTATTTCAATCTTTCATTTAACTTTCACAAACTTTGCATGCTGCTATTGCGCAATAGAAACTGGCCCTCTATAGTGTATAAGCAAAACTAAACAAACTAAAGTGCTGCCCTCTTTATGACCTTTCCTCTCTAAATCAAAATAACCAGGTTATTTTTCACATCTTTCATTTAACTTTTTAACAATGATTTTGCTCTAACCATGAGCATTATAAGTTGCCTGGACAGCCCACACTCATATTTCAGCAAATTATTATTATCCAATGGCAGCTTAGGACAACGCTTGTTAAGTCATTCAAATTGCCATCATATATTGTTAAATTCTGATTGTGGAATCATATATCTAACATGATATCTTAGAGGCTTTCATTATAACATACTTATTTGATTGATGTAATACCAACTAATTAAAAGGACGTCATGATGAATACATCGTAAGCGAATATTTTTAAAGTATTTTTTATTGAGTTGGATTTTATCATTAATAATTAAATATTGCTCTAAACGGTCCGATTTGATTCTTATCAATTTAGGAATATTTACTGATTTTAATAAAATAATAAATATTATCCAATACGTTCGCACTGGTCTGTTCAATGTATTTGGACGTACCTTCTGGTAAATCAGCTGGGCATTCTGCCGTAGTTCTCTTTGGGACTAAAACAGAATAAATTATTCAAATTAACGAATTACATGATTATGATATTACTTAACCGATTAAAATAACACTTATATGTAATTTAGATATATGTACACTTGATAATAAAATCAGTAACATTGTTTGTCAGATAGTCTGTGTCCATAAATGAAATTGCTCTTCCAAATATATTTGCTGGAATGCTAATGTGGTCGAAATGCTACTCATCGTAATTCTACTTCTTAGCTAGATCATTTTCAAAACGAAAAATGTTGAAATATTAAAAATATTTCCATTCATTCGTGTGAAGGGTAATGTGTAATCGTTATAACCAAAAATAGAAATTATTTTTCTTATGAATTATAGAAAAAGCGTGTACACATCATGTGGAATGATTACAATCTACTACGTTTCAATTCTGGGTATCCGCAAATTATGCTTTTTACACTCCAGATAGGGATAGTGATCTGGTCTCACATACGCCTTCAGGCAAACAGAATACTTATCATAAACTTATTTTCTTATTGTGTCAAGTGTCATAAACGGTTATAATAAATAATATAATGATAAAGTTACCATCGCAGTCTGCTGGGTTACATCCGGGCACATACTTGGGGTCATCGCAAACTTGGAGCTCTGCATTGTACGCAGTTCCTCCCATGCATTTTCCAAGGAAGCCGGTTTTGTTAAGTTCAGCAGCGTTGCAGACAACGAATGAACAGCAATCCCCTTCGTCGAAATCAGCGCCAGACAAGTAACCCTGGCTTGAGATGCAGAGAGCTAAAATGCACGAGTCAAAATTCATTAAATTGTAAGACGGAGGCGAGATCAACACACGCTTTTCTTTCGATCAATTTAGAATTATAAACGTATCTAAAATATGCATTCGTAAATTTAAATTCAGAACAGAGATATTTTCATAAAGAAGCAACCATTTCAACAATCTAAAATGAACTTGTGGGAGTATTTGGCTACTTTAGATTTAAATATGCATAGTAATTTACCTTGTTGGGCCTCGTCTAGATCGTATTCTAAAACAAATAAAATAGAAAGTATAAGACAACGGCTAAACAAATAAATAACCCCTCCCATATTAACAACATGACGACATGCAATAATGAAATATTAATCCTTGGATTGCTTTGGTCGCGTTCAAAGCACAATGTTTGACTCTGTACTCGTTTTTAGTCTTGTATACATATATCAGGAAAAGATCAAGATTTCAAATTTATAATTTGGAAATATTATTTGTACGCCACTCACTTTTCCCACTCCTGGTGTCAAGGGCAACAGCCACACTCACTAACAAAGCTAGGATCATCATGTTTCTAAAAATTCACGAAAAAAGTACCAGCTCAATAATATTCGATGCATTTTATCTTCATCTTAGCTCAATATCATATGATGCGAATTACTTAAATATTGTATGTTGCATATACTTTAGCTCAATATCATATAATATATTACATTAGATCAATATCGTGTGAAGAGAAATTAGTTCAATATCATATGAAGAAAATTACTTTAGCTCAATATCATATGATGCCTTTATTAAGGTTCAATATCATATGATGCATATTACTTATGCTTAAAAACATATGATGCATATTCTTTTAGCTCAATAGCATATGATGTATACTACTTAAGATCAGTATCGTATGAAGCGTATTATTTTAGCTAAATAGCATATGATGCATATTACTTTAGCCTAAAATCATATGATGTATATTACTTTATCTTACTATTATATGATGCATATTTCTCTAGCTCAATATTATATGATGCATTTTACTTTAGCTCAATATCATATGATACGAATTACTTTAGTTACATATTGTATGTTGGATATTACTTTAGCTCAATATCATATGATGTGTATTAGTTTAGATCAATATCATATGATGTATATTACACTACATCAACATCGCACGAACGAACCGTATTGCTTTAGCTTAATATTATATGATGCATATTACTTCAGCTCAATATTACACAATGCATATTATTATAGCTCATTATTATATGATGCATTATAATACTTAGATTATTAAAATGAAAACTGGATTAACATAATTAATTCTGAATTTGGTGTAGAATACTTACTTTGATATGTATTCTAACATAATTAGCATGACATTGCCTGTTTGGTAATTGTTTCGTAGTGGTAACAATATTTTCAAAATAAACATATAATATCAAAAATTACACTGCAAATTCAAGCTTAGGCCATGGCCTGATGGTTAGAAAGTCACACAAAACCTGACCATGACAAATAATTTTTCTTTTTCTTTTTTTCTGAGCCCAATATATTTTCTTTATCTCATTTTATATAGGACAGTGTCCTATATATTACTTTTTGATGATTTATAATATAGGTAAAGTGTCTGTATATGTGGCTTTAACTTGTCCTTTTTCGTTTTACATACAATTTCGTTTTATTGCTACCCTCTTGATATCCAAAACGCATGGGCAATGGGGAAAACCGAATTGAAGAAAGTAAAGCACGAGAAGAGTTCGCTAAAGATAGTAACTGTTAACAATGAAACAAATACATATATTACTATAGTTAGCACAATTTAATAGTACGCAAAGTTTCAATTTCATTGTCAAAAGCACAAGTCGCATGTACAAACATTATATATATGATCATACATCTTGATGCAACATCTGAAATCTGAATTCGAATAAAGAATACTTATTTTAGTGATTTGATTGATTTAAATTTAAAACCGTTCGTTACGTTTTAATTTTATTTTAATTTTGAGAAACATATTGTCAATTGAACAAATTTTTTTGCAAGTAGTGGTATTAATGGATCATTAACTGAATTGATAGTGTCTTCTATTTTGCAAAATACTTCCACATTCAATCCTGTAAAGTCTCAGAATTTTGTTGATCCTCTTTCACTGAATTACTTCATAAAGAAACTCGTTTGAGTGCTATGGGATTTAAAATGGAAAATTTATATATACAAAACCATCACAATACCTTTCTTTGGAGATCTCGAGTGCCTTAGTTGACTACTGTCTTAATCCCTTGTGGAAGGCCTTAATATACCACTTGCCAAATAATAATTTAGTGGCTCGAAAGTAACCTTGACGTACCCCGACATAATAAACATGTCGTCTAAAACACTGATTGATGGATACGTTGTCACGTATTGCTGAAAAGGCAAAATTCAATTGAAAGTTATTACCTCGTATGTCCATAGGGATTAAAACAGTTGATCTTAGGTACTTAATTATTCATTCCGATAGCAACCTCCTAAATAAAAACTATTTTAAAAGAAAAAAGATCATACCATTCGACAGCACGTCATCAGGTCATAAACTTCCTCTGTGTTTAAACATAGACATCTGGTTATGTAACATTATCGTGTCTGTGAAGAAACGCAGAAACAGATCTATATGGTTGACAAAGGACAAGTGTCGGTTTGGAGGAAGACGTTCATCAGTCTACTGCATGTTACGCCTGCTTTGGACAATTTTGATATTTTTTACATATTTTCGATTTAAATGTCCTCTTTTGAATATTAATAATTTGATATTATTTCTATATTTTTCATAAAAATATAAGCGCAGTAGACTTATGAACTTCGTTTTCCAAACTGAACCTTGTCATTCATTGAATAGGTCTACTGCACGTTATGCCTATTTCGGTTAATTTTGATATTTTTACATTATGACTTATGAACTTTGTTCTCTAAACTGAGACTTGTCATTTATTGAATCGGTCTACTGCGACGTGTCGCAAAAAGGTCGCGCACGCACTGTTACACATTTTCGCTTTTTAACACCACAGAATGTGACGTTTTTTGAGAAAAAATGTACACATATGGAAATTCTTTCGTCCTCTACATTTGCCTCTATATCTCACAATATTTAAGGCGTACAACTCTGATATCGTATGTGTATTAACACTGGGATAGGAGCATCATAAAACACGAATCAATTGATATTTTAGGTGAAATAAATATACGTGTTGCTGTGCTTGAAAATAGGCGAATGGCGTAAATTAGCCCTATTTTAATGAATTTTGAAAACCTTTCGTCCTCCACTTTTCCACATACAACAGAAACACATACTTTTGCGAACAAAATCAACTATTTAATAATAAACTAGAGTTTAAGAGCAAAATAATCATTTATGATTTATTAAAAATTGATCTCGTATTTGTTGTTTAATGTACACCTGAAAAGTTGAAGGTAACAAAAAATGAGCAAAAAAGGTCGCTGTCAACAGATTCTATTTTACAAACTCCATGACGTCACAATATGGGACGCTTACTAAAATTCATCCTTTGAAATAAAACGTCTATCTACCTTTATCAAGACGAAAAATAAATATAATAGTCATATATTGTTTGAGTTATGAGCGTTTAAAGACAAAAAATAATTCAAAATGTAACGTGTCAACAGAGGATATTTGCCAGATGTTTTGGTAAAAAACTCTTTTTTAAAAAAGGACGCGTAAGAATCGTGAACGGAGTGTAGTTGATCTAAAAACTTCATCAAAACAGCTTTAAAATGATATATAACTTTAATTAGAATATTATCTTATAATCCGGGGAATCAAAGTTACATTCACGCGATACCCTTAAAAACAAATGCGCCACCTTTTTGCGACACGTCTGCACGTTACGCCTGCTTTTGACAATTTTGATATTTTATACATATTGTAGATTTAAATGTCTTCGTTTAAATATTCATACTTTTATTTGGGTGTTATTTCTATATTTTTCATCAAATAAATTATTAGCGCGATAGACTCTTCTCCAAACAGAGACTTGTCTTTTCCAAGAAACATGTAGAATTCACCTACTAGGCCTAATCTATTCCTTACAATCGTATATACAATATCTCCCAAAAGACCCAATATATTTACAATCATATATTATAAATTGGTGAAGTTATTAAGGATTAAAAGTGCAAAAAATTGGGGAACATGTTTGAATTCTTAAACTGGTACCCTAAAAAGTAGAAAAATCAATGTTTTATTGTAAAAATCTTTAGTTTTCCTGAAGTAAATTCATTTTGCAATTTTGGGAATTTTTAGAAAAAGACATGATAAGGAATAATTTGAGTCCGAAATATTTAAAAGTTACTTTAAAGGTTACTTGCTAGATCTTATTTTCCCCGTAAGTAAGTAAGGTTCCTTCTAAATTGCCATTGTCATTGGATATTATCCTAGATGCGAGTAGAAATAATCTTGATTTACGTCAATAAAAATTCACAATTCTGTCAAACTGGTGTCATATTTGGAATCTACATATAAAATTACATCTAAATATGTGGTTTTGAAAAGAGTTTATCAACTTTGAAAATGTGACTTCTAGGTCGGGGAGATTCCCCATAGACCCCATGTTGTAAAACCATAAAAAGTGAAATATCTTTTCTTGTGTTGGGCAGATAATATTTCCTTTTACTGGACATATTCTAATTTGTATAACTATCAGATACATAAGGGTAATTTGAAAAGTGAACCAGTAAAACTGATGCATATTCAAGTTTAAGGGAATTTTGTAATACCCTGCCATGTTATTTCCCCCGAATCAGCCACCTGGTGGCGAAACTGGTAACTACCTACTCGCATCTGATAGTTTTTCAAACGTCAGATGCTCATTTGATTTGAACATAATTGTTAAGCCTCCTTATCGGAATTTCATTGTTCATTATAAGCAAAATCAACATAGTTTTATACGAGATATATTATTTTGCTTTGAATAACTAACTTTAGCATACATGGAACCAATGTCGACTTCAGATGCATCCACTATTGATATGAGGTGATACAGGTCCTTTCTTAAAATTTTACGTGGTATATTAATTTGACTTTCTACCTTTGTGCCAAGTGAGAATACAAATCAAAAAAGATAATTTAGTTGTGCACAAATAAACCTTCACTATTATACAGTATACAAAATAAATGTTACTACGAACGCAGTCGGTAATCAGGGTTCCTCTTGTATTGTAAGTACTGATAAGTCAGTGTATTGTTATAGTTTGATAACACTGGAGTTTGACCCTAAATGTATTTTTATATTCTTGATAACTCAATTCTAATGCTAGATACTAACTGGTAAGCGATTTAAAATATATTATGAAATCTTGTTAAGTTTGTTTGATTAATTTGTTTAAAAAACATCATTCGGGAAATTTTCGGATTTTGTCTTTAAAATGTTATTGTAAAATTAACAATCATATTTTATTTGTATTGTGTATGTCAAACATGATGTTATCTGTAGTGCAATAAGAAAGCTACTACGCAGAAAATGTATATCCTAAAGATCTGCACCATTCAAAGGTTTGCGTGTGACTTGCGGGAGCGGTATGGAGTTTTGACAAAATGAAGATTGAGCTGTCAAATTTCCTAGCCCGAGGGCAACCCAGTGAGTCAATTTCGTCGGAGAAACTGTAGCCGATCACATAATCAGCATTCATATTATGGGAATATGCATTTCAAAATATCATACTCACGGGAGAAGGAACCATGTGAGAAAGTTCATCCGAAACGATACTGCATGTGAAATATACGACCATCGAGGCTACGTGGGGTTTAATGCTATCTTTGAATGTTGTGATGACAATTTGAAGCGTTATTATTGGCCTGTTAAATTATATATTAAGCCCGGACTACTAAACCATTTTATTAACGTGCATAATTTTATGACAGAAATCAAAGTTATACAGGTGTAAAATGGTAGGATGTCCTATCAATTTATGGTCCTACTCTCCATTGATTTATAAGGTGAACTCTTTCCCTTAAGGGCCAATAAGAAGGGGGACCATAGTCCCCGGGGGACCATAATTTCTTTCACATCGGCTTGATACAAATAAAGATGCAGCATGAATAGTGATATTTCTTCTGTATGTCCCTTACTAGCCCTAATTTATCTAAGGCCGCTAATTACACCACAAGTGTGTATGTGTGTGTGTGTGTGTGGGGGGGGGGGGTGTTGGTCACAGGTTCCGGCCAAATAAGCATTAATATTTACATCCGCATAACCGAATGCTACCTCGAAGAGATAGGTACGAAAATACCTACTTTATTTGTATTGGTTAAGATACAAAAGTGACTCAATTTAAAACACTTGACATTATTATCATATGATAACAGATATACGTATTTTCTCATGCACTGTAAACCTCGTGTGGTTGTCACCTTTGGTATTCATTTTTAATGAGATATAGTAGCTATGTTAAAAAAGTTTGATAAATATATTGTCATAAAATTAGACACAAAGAAGTTGGTATCGTAAGTTTTTACTTTTGTTCACTTTGAAAGATATCTTAGCATAACGAACTAAAACTTTTTTTAGGGGGAGTAATTTAAAATCTCAATAACAGGTATACTAACCCCTTATAAACTTTTATTCATTCTTGGAATATTTTGTAATGTATTAATCTATTCACTACAATTGTTGCACATTGTTCTTTCCTAATCGGAAAGAGCATTATCAAAGATAATTTATAGTGAATATAAACAATATTTGTGAAGTTACGAATGTTTAATACATTATCAATTGCGTGATAATATTTATTGACTTCATCATTGTTTTTGTAGCCCATCTTGATTATTGACGCAAATTAACTTATAATGCATAATGAAAGGTAAGCAACTGTACATTCTCCTCCATAAGTTTGACGACTGGAAACCTCTTTTTGAATCCCGTCTCAAAGCTTATGAACGTTTGATGATATTATCATTTTCGTCATCAATTTTCTATCTATTATAATTAGAGAAAAAGATAAGAAAATAAGTGTACAATTTACAACAAATATATATACAGGGGCACATGTTGCTGATGTAAATCAGCAATATAGCCCAACGCTCTGGAATACATAGGATTCTGGACGGCAAAGGAAATAGTCACAGTCACTATGCCGTGCCCTATATTGAGATACAAATCTCGCACGTTTTTAACCAATTTATGATTTTCTTTTTTTTCAGAATAAACGGACCACGTAGTCAAGATGTCTTCTTTAACAACGCTATTATGTATATTAGCGTTTAGATCTGTACTTTCTCAAGGGCCAATAAAATCTGACCTTTCGAAACATTTCTGTGCGAACTTCGAATTTATCGATATAGGAATGAAGACTATACAATACCACAGGGTGAGAACAATTCAATTTTGCACATGTTTTTCGTGTTGAATTTTTATTCAAAACCTCATAATAATTTGAACGATTTATACATGTTTATTGATTCCATAAATTGACCTCATTTCCGGTCCTTCCTTCAAAATGTCGTACTTTGATGAAATATTTGATTTACTTTTGAAAATCGCAATCTAAATGTTATATGACTACAAAATTATGGGTTTGCTGAGTTTACAACTGCTGTACTCGCTTCGCGAACAAAAAGTTTTTACAAAGTATCAAATTTGAGAACATTTCACCTCAAATGCTTCAATGAGAGGGATTTTTAAAAAATGAATTCGACTTTGAGGGCCTAAAACTTTTTTATATCTGATATAACTTATTAATTTCCTGTCGAATCAATATTGTATATGGAAATCCTTTTTTCTTAAATGATGACATAAATGGATAGCCCGCTATTTAGATTTCAGCAAACACAATTATTCATTGGATAACATGAAGATCACAACTTTCAAAAGTTCTTCAATTTTTGTCATCGATTTCAACCTTTTGTGAATGAGTAAAAATTCAGGAAAAACCGAAGAACTGAAAATAAGATAAATTTCAATGAACAACACTAAAATAACCTTGATCTACAGTTAAAGTAAAAGTTGTAATTTAAGTAAATAAGATGAATTTAAACTTTATTTATTCATTGATTTCATGAAAAATGTGTGTCTTTCTTCCAGGGTTGTTTCGATCAGGCCCGTAAAATAATGAAGTTTGAAAGAACTATCACAGGGAAGGGTCCAGTGACAGAGACATACGATTTCAAACTAGGTGCAGTATGTCAGTTATACAATAATGCAAATCCCATTGTGTACAGCCAATTTTATTCAAATTAAATCCAAAATCAATATTTCAACACGATAACATCTGGGGAACAGACTTAGTCATTTTACTTTGCATAGTCAATAGTACTTTGATTCCACTTTTAAAGAACATTTTTAAATTATTGGTTATAGATCTATATATAATTTAAATGTACTTGGTATGGAATTGGCTGTACTTATACATTAACTTACATCGCTCAAGTATATAACATAAAATGGATTGTATGTTATTACATTTAATGATAGTCTTCTTAACGCTTCTGTATGGTCCCAACCAAATACAAGATGTGTCACATATTTGATATTTCTTAATGTACTATTTTTGTATAGGTATTAAGCATATATACAAGAAACAAACAGGTATGTGTGATTATATCAGTTTCCCTCCTGGACGAATGACGTTGCCCTTAGATGAAAACCATTCCATCGACTTAGACGATCTCTTCCACGTTGATATCACATTTGAAAATATAGGAAATGTAAGATATTTTCATTTTGTATTTTATAGACGTTCGCCTTTTTAGTGCATTTTATCATTAAAACACCTTATCATAATTGGATAGTTTGTCTTTAGAAGGTATCAACAATAACGTTCAAGATATATAACTATGCATCCCCACATATGCAAGTAGCTAGCTTAATATTCGATATAATAATTACATTTCTCTTTTTTAAACAGATGAATGGCTAATTTAGACAAGGAGTGAAACTGATTACTCTCAGCAATCTCTAATTTTCAAGTTGACTGTTCTGTTAACTACCTTGCTAGCATAACTACCTGGGAACTACCTACGCATATTTTTCCATTTTTAAAACTAAATTTGTTGGCACATGCTATTAAATTCAAAGACGCTAGATAGTGCACTTTCGGTTGCAGTTAGACAGATGCATCGAACACAATGTAGATGTTGTTCTTACATAACATTTGTGATTACTTAATATGCACATTCTTTCTAGGACAAAGTGAGAGATGGGGTTGTCCCGGTAACAAAATATAAAAAGAAGCAAAGCCCAGGCGCAACTTTCACCCACACGTGGTTCATGTCGAAGGTACTGATCTAAAGAAAGCCATTTATCAAAAATTAGTGTAATTTAAAAGCATTAGAATACATATTTTCTTCAATATTTAATAAATAAGAGATCCCTTAAAAGCACTGTAGAAACCATCGCCAATTCGTATTAAATTGGATTCATATCGTAAAATTTTCAGTTTTTCAATTTCAGAGTGATTGGGCATTTTATAAGACTCATCTCGAGGAGGAACAATACGAACAACCATTGAAACTTGTTACTGGCGCATTGGATGGAGTGAGTTAATAGTATTTTATGCTTTGGAATATCGTTTTCTATCCAAATGCATGGAAATGGAGGGAAGGGAACAATTGTTTGTAATTTTGGCATTGCATTGTGATTTTTCTGTGACTTTTTATGAGACTATAGCGTAATTCATAAAATAGCCCGTGTGTTCTTCAGGGTTTTTATTGTAATTTCATGAAGAATCAATCCCGTTCTTTGTCGAAATGTCAACTCCGTTCTTGTATTAAAGACCTCCAAAAGTTACTGACGATCTTAACTCACAATATTGATAAATACTGTATACGTGGACGAGGATCGAGGAAAAATATTCAAAAAAGGGAAACATCGATTGTTTAGTTGATTGCGTCATACAACCCTAGCATGGCTGTTGCCGTCACGGGGATGTCTTGATTAAACGAGGATTTAAGTGAGTAAGTCTAGTACACAGACTTACACTTCAACTACTATAACTTATAAATTAGTTAATATGCTTTAGATATATTTAACATGTCTGAATTTTACTTCCAGTCCTGGCAATTGACGAGTATGCTCTGGGACGGGGACATCAACAGGCCATATCTCAAGAAATATGACGTGAAGGATTGTTATATTCCTGGCAAAAACATTCCCAAAACACTTCCAAAGACAGATTTCACGATCTCGTTTAACAGAGGTTAGTACCAAATGTATGGATCTTTCACCATGGATCCCGCACCAACAAGTATTGTTATAAATAGAGTGTTTATTTAAAAAAACATGAAATCATAATCCGTTTTCAAATAACATAACTAAAAACATATATTTGTCCCCTTCTATTGGTTACAGTTCGAATGCGTTCATTTATTCAAAGGCGTCTAACTGACCCATAGGGTATATGTAGATTTATTTTCATTTTATATCATAGGGGATTATACCGTGCAAACTAATGAAGACTATACGTACACATACCTCCCAATAAACATGAAAGGTAGAACTAAGATGGTGATCGAAATTCAAGCATGTAAAGATGCCCATATTGCTCTGTCTAAAGTACTCGACGAGCCAGAGACAGACACGTATGAGATCGTAATAGGAGGCTGGGACAACAGTGCCTCTGCGATAAGAGCAAACCATGATGTGAGTATGGGTGTATTGTAATGTATCTTGGTTACCGCCATATTTAGCGAGCAATACCTCATTAGAATATTCCATATTTTTGGATGTATTTCTATCTTGTTTCTTTATTTCAGTAGTTTGGAATAAAGTTGTAACAATTTTAATGACTTTTCCTAACAAACAATCTAATTGGGGACTTCTGGTAGTATTATTGATGAAGGGGATGGGAAACATCCGTTAGAATGTTTTATTTGAATGCCATGTCTGACAAGAACAATTTTCCGGACATAAGTTAGGAGTAAATCATTTTCAGCTTATGTATACTACCACGTTTACATATTTGTACATATAATCCGTATACCTTTTAGTTTGTATTTCATTTCAACTTTTGATTTTAAGGGAGAAGAGTTGACCAAAACACTAACGCCGGGTATACTGAACTGTAATCTGAAGTTGCCATTCTGGATAAGCTGGGAAAATGGACAGGTGGGAGTGCCATATTTAAAATCATCTTAATTAATGTATATATTTAAAAGTATTTATTTAATGAGTCTGTGTAGCAAAGTAACCATTTGTTATTTATTGTATTGGTCAAATTTTAGAAGAATAAACTGTAAAAAAGGAGATAAATATAATTCCGTGAGGCTAGGTCTTGAATTCTGGGAGTATCTGCAAGTATATTGTCATACATGTTAATAATCTTAATAATTATTAAGTCTCACGCCAATAAAATGCATACATTTATAAATCTATTAAAAATAAAACCATCTGGCTTAGCCGGCGTCGACCTATGAGAGACTTAATTCAGTGTCCACTATTTAAAGGTTAAAATTATCACAGTAAAGTACTTCTTTTTAAAACTAAGCATGTTTTAAGTGTTTTTGATAGTGTCCTTTGTAAAGCTCGATGTTGTCATAATATTGCAAAATTGTTGAATAGAGTTAAGATGGTAAAAGTCAGGAATTTCCTTAATACATTGTAAGAACAGTGTATGCATACTATTATTGCTATCTTGTTTACATCATGGCTGAATGTCCAGGATAGTTCCTCGAGTCTATCATTTTATATTGTGTACATTTATAGTATATTCAACTACGTAAACCTCACAATGCCGTATGAAATTTTGTATATTCTTAGATCGTGTTTCTGACAATGAGAAGCCCATAACAATGAATATGTAATATACATATTTACAATTTACATCACGTTTTCCAGGTTTTAGTTGGACGTGGTAACGACCCGGAAGAGGGTCAATTTATGCGGTATGTAGATGCAACGAGTCCTCTCGAGGTGAATGCATTCGCAGTTGCGACTGAGGGAAATACTGGGTCATGGACATTTAAAAATACCAGAGGTAATATTTGTGCAAAATACTGTACAGCATTCCATTCAATGCCGGTGACAGATGAGAAAACAAAGTAATTTAATGGAATTGAGTTCGGAATAAAATAACTTAAACAAACGCAGAAGTCCTACGTGTATTTCATTTTTTCATGTCATTTCAGACGACACAATGGACATCTCATTTGAACTCCAAATGAACACCCCTGATAAAGTTGACGCTGTAATTGAAAAACTTGCAAACTCTACTGGCCTCCCCATATTAAGGTTCTCGCAGAGTCGGGTGAGTATATGTGAAGTTTGGTAATCTTCCAAATGAGCGCATAAAACATGTATAAAGACGGAGTCATCTTAGAACTTCAATTTCTATAATATGCACATTTACATATTGGAATAAAAAAAATAACGAATGCTTATGCAAGTAGATATGTCAATATTTTATATGCAAAGATAAGCGGTGAACAAGCAGAGCGTTGCAACAACATAGAATAAACAACACAATCATGTGAGTTTAATCAATCAAAAACGAGAATTCGTCAATATAATGTACATGTAATGGTACATTTACATATCTAAAATTAAACGATGCTACATTCCAGCTTGATATCACACCAGAAAAGTTGTACATGACTTCGACATTGTTGCCTAACCCACCAATAATGGGTGAGTATTGCATGTTAACTCGGACTCTAGCCAACTTCGACCTATGTTGTTAAGTAATTTTTAGTGAAAATACTGAACAGAGTGTAGCTGAAATTCCAGGAAAGGTTGTTTTTATAAAAAGCAACGTTTTGAGTTGTCTTAGGTACCATACATATCGTTGTTTTTACCATTCGAAATACTTTGGCATTTCTCAAAAACACCATTTGTAGCTCCTGGAAGTGTCGAATCAGATTGTATTCCTGGTCCTGATTGTGTTGATCTACGTCTTATATCTAACGCTGCGGCCTGGAAGCTTATCGAGAAAGTTGTCAACGATGGGAACTTCAAAGTCACATTCAGCAATGGGGTAAGACCAAGATGACCTCGATGGTGCTTTTATACATGCATTTGTCATAGATAGTAACTATATACTAGTAGACGTGTATATTGTTTCATTAAAAAAAGCTACTGGAAACATGGAAAATGATCAACTTTATACCTATTATGGCACATGTGGGTATACGATATCTAACAAGCAATTATATATATTTTGCTTTTAAAAACAGATCATGATCACTTTAGAAAAATGCGTCCGATTTGTTGAGTTATCATTTCGGTTACATCTTTACATAGGAGGTGTCATTAAGGGTAATGTTGACGTATACTTTTCAGCTGACACTAATTGCTGAAGAAGCGCGGAATAATATTTTGCGATCAGACCTTGGAAATATTGGAAATGGTAAGTATTTTGAGTGTCTAATATACGTAATCGGTGCAATCTCTCTCAATCCCACTTTCAGACATATAGTTTTTTTTTTTATTGTACTAAGTCAAATTTCGTATTTCAAATGTACATACAGTCTTTGTCTTGTATTGCTACAAAATTCAAAGAACGATTGATATAAATGAAGGTCTTTATTAAAGGCAGACGTATATTAATGTCATGATTTATAATTCACATACAGTTGTTTTAAGAACTAAATGCTTTGTAAAATAAAATATAATATGAAAAGTGGACTGTTCCTCTCTTAAACCAAATCGAGACGTCTAGCTTTCAGGAAGAATCGAACAACAATCCACTGATGTTATATTTTACAATCAAAGCATTGAGCAGAGTGCTTAAATCCATTTCGAAAATACAATTATGTTGTTTGAAATACTGTATGATGGGCTGAAATTTAAAAAACACATACACCATTCCTAGCTACACGTGCATGGAATATACTTATCTAGACATCGTTGGTACAAATTCTTACTTGCACTTGAATTCTAACATATATTCTAGATCCATTTTTGTCAAGATTTTCTCAGGATTCGGATCGAAAGATGATCTTTGTTGATCCTGCACTTAAAATACATGGAGTTCCAGTCCAGGTAAAATGCTCAAATTTTATGTTATAAATAGTAAGCAAAAGTATGTAAATTCGAAAGTAACAATGGCTTCTAAATCAATGATTGCATTTAATTGCGTACCGACACCTCTAATGTAATTGTTACCACAAAGAAGTTTGGACATATTGTTATGGCATCTTTTTTGAACGTTTGATGTGGCGATTGGCGATGGTCACACTTTGTTATGCTAATATATTCTTTCATTTCGAATGCCCTATGGCGTTACGAACCAAACTCACGCTCAATTGTATGTAATCTAGGAGTGTGCCCGACAGTGTCTTCTTGCGAGGGACTTCACGTGTGAATCTTTCAGCTTCTGTCCAAATGTTGGAGATTGTCTACTAAGCACATTGCATAGCCCAGAGAACTCTGAAAAAGGCTCATACAAAAATCATTCATTTTGTGATCACTATTCAAGTAAGATCTTAAAGTAATGATTAATTCTTTTAAATTAAAATGTAGGATTATTATTGAATGAATGTGTTTGTTCATAAGATCATAAGACAAACTTATGAACCACAAGAGTAAGATAAGATAAAATCTAAATTCTTAAAACTTTTAAAAATATTTTAATGTCATAAACATATTGATGCGTCGTTTTTTGATGAACTAACACAATTATTATTTCATTTTTGATATCAATGAAACTTGCTAAAAGTTGACCAATAGTGTAAAGCGCTGTTCAATCAATGGAGCATTTTTGTAAAGTTTTGGTTCTGAACTAGCTATGGCACAATAGACATTTGTTAATCAAAAGTAAACATTCATTTTTTTAATCATGTTTTTATTATTTCAATAACTCCTTTTCCAGAATCATACATCAAATCCCATTTCACCCAGATTCCGGGAAAGGTAATCCTAATGAACAATGATAAAAAACTAGAGGATCAGTCTGCAGAGTCATGCGCCAAGGCTTGCTTAGATGAAAAGTCTTTCAAATGTGAATCTTTCGACTATTGCCCTAATATACGAGAATGCCTGATGAGTAAGCTGCATATGGACAATTCTGACTCCAATTTAGTAGAGCACAAAACTTGCAATCATTTCTCGAGTAAGTGAACTTAGACGAGTTGCTTTACATTTATGTATTATGTTTAGGAGCCAGGTAGGCTTTTGTATTCATTTATCAATTGAGCACCCTCAATGGAATATAAAAGCCAAAGGTACTTTGTGAAGCATGGGAAAAACTTTTTATCAAAACGTATGCCAAATTATGTATGGACTAAATCAACGCCAGTTTTGTTGACCTTATGTCACAGTACATGCATTTTTGTTCTAATCAAGTTTCCAGTTTTAAGGTCATGTCATCATGAAAACAAAATCTCCCACATGCTAACTCACCTGTCCTATTTAGGCAATCGTTTCTAATCAAACTGATAGACAGTTCAGTGTCATAAACCTTGCATTTTAGAATCAATACTTGGGCAATTCAACCAGATTAACAACAAAGCTATTTTAAAGAACAACGATATATACATCGCTAACGCAACAGAGGAAGGCTGTGCTAAAGCATGCGTTGGGGAGACATCGTTCGTGTGCAAGGCATTCGATATTTGTACAGATGGAGGGGGTACAGCTTGTGCGCTAAGTAGGGCATCTACAGGTGACGTGAAAGGAAGTGACATTGTAGACAGTGCGACATGTAGCATATTTGAAAGTAAGTTCTGAAGTAATGTGAATTGGATTTTCTTTAGTTAAATGTGATGTTGTGTTTCTGAAAAGTTGAACGACAGACTGAGGGAGTTTTTACGTCGGACTTGACCTAATAGGGCATTGCGAAGCTTTGAATACGTTGTACAGAACATTATGTAAAATTATTGTTATACTTTAAGTATATATACCTAATAATAATAAAACACCATCAATGCATCAAGCAACGATACGAAACAAGCTGTCCTGTCGAAAATGATTTTTGTACGGAAAATGACAGTATAAGATGCAATAGGTACACATAAATAGATTATAGAGGTTTTATTTTATACCTGCGTTTTAGGACAATCGACGGCAACGAGAGTACAAAAGCCAACAGGATTCACATCAGGTAACCATAATTACTTTAATTAGTTGATCTATCGAAACATAAAGGTTTGATATGTTGACAATGTACAATATGTACACTTTGGGAGAAAAACATGTGCGTTGTCAATGGCCAACAAAACCATTCGGTGATTCCATGATTCAGACCAACAATGCTCTGTATCGATGGATCAAGTGTGTGGGTAAAATGGATCTTCTGTCTATCCCGGAGATGTTTAATTATAAGATAAAAAACGTATGTACATTTCAAAAACCGGAGAGCCGTTTTTAAGATTAGCTTACAAGTCTGTGATCTGCGATTACTTAAAAAACCAAGCCCGTTTTTTGCAAAATCAAAATGTGTATTTACATGTACACAAGCATTTCAGCATCATGATTCTGAATTCAAATACAACTATGCTCCCAGAAAAGAAAAACGTAGTTTACATAATAAGCAAACATTAATAGTATTAGTATCATAAAATCAGAACGATAATCCTTTGTAGTATATTGCAATTTTCCATTCACAGGTGCGGCTGCTGGTTTGAGCATCGGAATGACAATCCTCGGGTTTCTGTTGGGAGCTGGGATTATGTATGGAGTGCTGTGGAAGAAAAATCAAGCAAACCCCGATGGATGGGGCAATCAATTATTTAAGACAGGAGACACATCTTCTGCATAAACAATGCAATCTAATTCAAAAACATTGACGGACATTAAAATGGTGTATAAGATACATTATTAAATATTTATGCATGCACTGTACTATTACAAGAAACTAAAAAATGGGTATCGTTTTATGGTAAATAGCTACAATATGAAATATTCGTATTACAATACCAATAGCCACGAACTAAGTCTCAAATATTTGTCAAGGGACTGTTTATATTAAAATGACATTTCGTTTATTGAGTATTTATGTCGTTTGCATCCGCGTTTTTAGAATTTACACTAATCGAACAAATGAATCTAATTAAAGTTAATCATCACGTGGATATTTGGACAATGATGGGTACGGGTATGCGCCTGCTATGCATACATGTATTTATTAACAATTGCAAGAAGTATAATTTTTCTACAAGTCGAAGGTATTTTTTGACATAAAATTTCAATATAAAAGTGAAATACAAGACAGAAGTGCAATATAAAAGTGCAATATGTATGTTCAATTAAATGTGTAATTTATCTGTGTTTTGTGTTATCTAATGTATGTAAGGTGGTTGATTATTACTAACATGCTACTGTTTGTACATACATTAGAATTGTAGTTCCTATTTAGAGAATAAATAACGAAACCATACGTATTTTGGTCCGTGCATTCGGCAATGGTTCCTTGGGATTGATTGATTTGTTTTATACTCAGATCTCTGCTAAAAACGGCTAAAACTCAACATTGTTTGAATGCTGTGATATGTCGTTACTTATATTTTTGTGTCGGCGACTTGAACAGTGGCCTGGTGGGATGATTCCATCGGTCAACAATTACATGCAGCCACACAATGACAACTCCATGAAAACCAAGTCGATCGTTTTTATTACAGTGACATTAATTCGATGACATCTAAACGGGTGGGGTAAACCTTTGCTTGCAATACTATATGTAATACCCTATGCATCCTCCTAAGCAGGTGTCCAGAATCCGTACCTCCTTTTTTCCCCCTGCAATGACCAATTTGGAAGCGCCCGATTAAACTGAATCACGTGATCTAATTATGCGCCGATTACGCATACATGATTGCTGCGACAGCGAATCAAATTGCGAGTTCTTAATCGGGGAAATGCTAACTGCTTACCGCAGGGGGTAAAAAGAAAGGAGTATTCCTGAATTGAAGTCCTGTGATCGGAGGATGAACCCTATGTGTCACTTATTCTTAAGAAGCCAACATTATACGGATGGAATGCATTGTCGATTTGTACACATAAGCTTGCCTTTCATTGGATAAAAACAGTTCTGCCTTAGTTCACAAGGTCCAACGAACTCATAGCCTTCGTGTTGTTTTAGATATACCTATATAAAAACAAGGTCAACATTGCCGTTTATTTTTGAAAAGTCCGTTGAAACAACGATGAGAAATAACCATTTGGTAACAAGTATACGAAATGTACAGGAGAACAATTTCATGTAGTGTGCTTTAGACTTGATACACCGGAGTTGTAGAATATGTTCAGCTTTGTACTGGCATTCCTCTACGTTAATTCAGCTGTCTCTCAAATAGCTGATTGGACGGTAATGACGCTTAGTATTATTTACAAATGCAATTGAAATGCTTTAGTTCATCGTTGATTTTGAAATCTACTTTTTTAATCCGATTGCCAACAGTGCTTGCTTTTCCCTTTACTAAAATGGCGATCGGAAGCGTTTTGTATTTTGATTATATATTTGACTATATTTGAATACAATAATTAACATGCCTTAAATGAAATAATTAATAATATCGATATAAACTATTGTTTTCGACAAAATATAGCCACCATTTTCAATTATATTTGCTGATGCAATTCATACTCTAATCATTTATATACATTTCCAAGTCATTTTCTTTTACCCCAACCAATCATCGATCATTTACATTCCCTCGTCAAATATAAACTTACGATTTTAAACTTCTATTTTTGCTAATCTTCCGATGGCCAACTTTGAATTACCTGTAAACATGTACAGTGGAATGACACTACCGCCCTGGACGCCTATGTTGCGCGCGCAGACCCTGCTTACACATACAGCTTGTTAAGCACACAACGATATGACGCCATAACTGACGGTGTAGAGGACTGCACTGTTCATATTCTCAACATGACGTCACTGAAATGGCAAAATGGTAAGACGTAACGCGTTTTAAGGGTAACTCGGAAAACGTTTCTACCATGATATCATATATAAGATCTCCTAGATATTTTCATGTTTGGAAACTTAGATTATGGACTCGTATATTTATGCTATGCATTTTTTTTACAGTTGGTATAAATCCATAAAATTATCATTCGTTTTCAGACACCATCACTTCGCAAAGCGTCTGGTGGCACCATCTATCGATAGTTATTCCAGATAATGTGAGAATTTGGGATAAGAGCTTCATGTTCATTGGCGGAGGCAGTCAGAGAAATGCGTAAGAAAATATAATCAAAAAGGAAGACAGTGTAGAAATTTTTTGTCTATTTGTAAACAAACCCAAGACATTTTATTTTCGCACCGCTGATGGCTTACCAGCTTTTTATGTTACCAAATTTTTTGTTGACGGTGTTCAGAAGTTGAATTGGTGGTCGTTGTTCGGCTTCTGAGTTAAAGGCAGGCGGTTACATTGTTCATGTTCATGTCAATGTTTGCTGTTTGATCTGACTTTTCTAACATTTTCTGCAGTTTGCTGTTGTCCACTTTTTTGTAAATTTCATGATGTATTAAGGAGGGTGTAACGAAAATGTTTATACATACATATAGCTAAACGATACACATCGTATTTGATAACCATACTCCTATGCTACAGTACGAATCCGTCATTTACAGTCTGTTTAACAAACTTTAAATAGTTGAACACCATATTCATTATTATGAAATAAATAAATAAATTGAATTGAAAAAAAACAAACAAAAAACATTGTTATCTTGTACATTTCCAGACCACCAGATCCAGAGACAGATGTATTCTTGGATGCAGTCGCTGAAGTGGCAGTGAGGCTAGGGAGCGCGGGAGCATTCCTTAAACAGATTCCAAACCAACCAATGTACCTCTATCAGTCAGTATGTATTCAGTTCAAACTCGTTTAAAAACTGCATGGCTAGTGTGGAATTTATGTAAAGTTCGACAACATTCCACTTTTGTGCACATGGACTAATTGACCTTTCAAATTAATCCTGACATATTATAAAAATTCAAGAAAACTAGAGTATGTGCTTATTTTTATTACGTTATGCGCATATCGAACACGTTTATTGAAAGGCCAAAAAGACAGACCATTTGAATGACAGAACCCAAATTTTATCGTATTGGTTATAGAAATTACAAGCACGTTCATGGGTTGCATTCTTTTTGGGCTACCCTGTTTAAAATTACAAATTAGTAAATGCTTCTTCCGTCTTGTAGAAACTGTTATAATGTGAGTGGTGGGTGGCATATATGATTGGTCTATTGTTCACATGTTTTATATTTTTTATACAGCCAACAAGATTACTAAAGCTCTTTATAAAAACAATATTTTTTCTTTCAAGTGAAGTTCCCGTGATAGTAAAATATCTCTGAAAAATTATGGTTTAGGACCCCATCTGGGCACTTTTTCAAAAATGTTAGGCTTATTTACTAAAAAGAGGATATTAGTTTTTCTCGATTTAACCATATCGAAAGTTTCTTCTACACTATATTACCAACTTCTGAAAAGGGGATAAGTATTGAAATGCTAAAAAATCATATATCCCATGTTATTTTTCCGTAGGGAAAACTCGTGCTATCCATTGTTTTCAGCATAATTTTGGTCATCGAAAATTGATATCTTCAAAACTAGACTTTCAATACCATTCTACTTTGAAGAAGTTTTAGACCCCTTTTTGACTAATCTTTTCATGCAATAAAAATCACAAAAGGGAGATCCTCGTTTGAGTGAATAGGTTCAACATTTTTAAAAAATTGTTGACATGGGGTCCCTATTCATTTTTCGAAATGTTCGATTGATATTTTTATCATTATGGGTACTTCACTTGAAACAAAACATATTGTTTTAATAAAAACCACTGTGTTTATGCCCAGAACGTACTCGTGGTGAAAGATATGACTGTCTAAAATCACTTGCCATACTGCACATGGACCTTTCTAACACGAAGTAGTGTCATCTGTCAACAGACTGTAGTTTGATCATGTCTAAGCTCCTTCAAAATATTCAACCCCAGTTGTGATACACTTCGTATGAGAGGTTGTAAACGATGTTGATACATTTCCAGAACCACAAATCAGCAGACATGTGAAATATAATGCTTACAGCATTGATTCGAAACATAAAATATAAAAAAATTGTGTTCATATCCATTCAATTAATTACTCATTTAGGCGGAACCAGAGAGACGCCGAAGTGAAGATGCTTTGATAGCTTGGACGTGGCGACATTATATCGAAACTAACAGATCAGACCCGGAAATGATTTTACAATTCCCAATGGTCAAGGTACTGCGTTGAATGTACAGGGCGTTCAGTAAGTAAAGCTAATTTTGCTCTCAAACTTTTATTTATTGTCTATCATCGTTCAAATTTTCAGTGGAGAAGCATCAGACACTTTTTTAACTATCCTGAAAAAATGATCAAGATATAATGAATAACAGCAAAATGGTGGTTGTCATAGTAACGCGAATACGGGTTCTGCGGAGCAATTTTATAAGTTCACAGCATAGTAGATTTTGTTAACGTTAGTTTCTGTCCTGTCTATATTTCAACCATAGTTCTGTGGCTACTCCACATTTCTACTTTCAAGTTAGCATTCTATTTCATGTTCAAAGTAGTTCCCTTTAGCTTTCACACACAGCTGATGTCGTTCTATCCACTTCTGATATATCCTGTGGAAGCCATCTGGAAAGTTCTTTGTCAGCGAACGTTGAACGGCATTCTGAAGCTCATGGATATTTGTGTGGATCTTACCACGCAGATCATTTTTCAAACATGAAAATACCCCAAAATCGCACGGTGCCTTGTCAGGAGAATACGCTAACTGGCCTTGAACCTCCATATGCTTTTTGGATATCCCTAATGGTATCCTGCTTGGATTTCCTTAGCAACACATTGTATCTGATGCTACTTCTCGATTGTTGTTTCATTTCATTGTTCATTGTGCTTCTATTGGCAATCCTGGCAGCCATGATTTTGATGATGTCATGGAGCAGTGTCTGATGGATCATTCTGGATCATTCCATCTGTTGTATCATCTGTCTGTGATGTCATAGACTACTGTTGCAATGGTATCATATTTGTGTATGTTGTTGTTATGTTTGTCGTGACTTTCAGCCATAGCAAATAAAGACATATGCAGCATTAATCTTAATCAATTTCATTGCATTATAACATTTTTATTAAAGTAAGAAATTGCTCCGCAGAACCCGTATTCACGTTACTATGACAACCATTGTTTTGCTATTATTCATCATATCTTATTTAATTTTTCAGGGTAGTTAGAAAAATGTCAAATGCTTCTTCACTGAAAATTTGAAAGATAAATGACAAAAAATAAAAGTTTGAGAGCAAAATTAGCTTTACTTACTGAACGCCCTGTATATGTATAGAATGACAATGGAAATAAAAATTCCAAGTCACATTTGATTAGTTAAATATCTGACGCAGTCATTTCGTTTTCTTTAGTTCCTTTGACTTCCTGAATAAAGTGACTTGATTGCAAGTGTATTTTCAGGCTGCTAAAATGGCATTTGACACCATCCATTCATACACAAGACAGAACGTCAGCAGCCAATTTAACATCGATAAGTTCTTCCCAGCGGGAGGCTCAAAACGAGGCTGGATCACGTGGTTGCTTGGTTGTGTTGACAGGAGAGTGATGGCAATGAGTCCAATGGTGCTTTCTATTTTAAATTTAGTAGAGGTACGTATGGTTGTGTATCAATTTCAACAGAGATCAAAATGTTCACCAGGAATATTAAAAAATTTCTAGCTTAATAATTACCGCTCCAAACACAGGATATATAGAGGTAGTTACTAATGAAATATGTTACGTTGTTGGACCCATCCTGTTTCCGTCTCAGTGATATATATTCAAGTGTCTATATAACTCACCTTATGATCCCCTGATCATTTGGTGGATTGCACCAATTTGACTTAATCCGCGATCTTGACCCTGATGTCACACTATTTTAGACACTGGGCCATCATTATCGTGCTTACGGAGGCTGGTCGTTTGCATTCAATGATTACTGGAGTGAAAATATCACTCAGCATCTGTATCATCCTACCACACAGGCCCTGGCTAATCTTATTGACCCATTCAGTGAGTAAACTCCTGGCCATTGGATGAACATTGAGCAATCGAATACCGTAACGGCAGGAGAACACAGACATAGTCTAGCTATTCTTGTAGACTCATTGGCACAAAGCCTGATTAATCTTAAAAATAAGCCAAATCAACCATACTTAGAGCGAGTTCTAATTTCATTTCATTTTCCCTTCAGGTTATCGTCAACGTATGACCATGCCAAAGATTGTCGTTCAAGCGACAGCAGATGAATTCTTCCGGCCTGATGAACCAAACTTTTGGTTCGATCAACTTATTGGACCAAAATATGTCAAGTTGGTGAATTTTTTGTTTTAACAATTATATGAGGTGTAAATATGAGTGTAAATAGTTGTGAAATCATGAGGACGCCATTTATCAATTAAAGGAATACTTTATTTTTACAGGTTAATGAGAAATGCTCAGCATGCACTTGTCGGTAGCTATGACAACATCATTGACTCAATCGTTGCTATGTTTAGATCTATGGATGAGGTAAACATCAATTTAACGTTTCATTGACAGCATTACCACAATCGGGGTACGGTTAACGAATTAGTTATACATAATTGTGCAATATTCTATAATAAATATCTGTACTTATAAAATATAGTCACGCTTTTAATACACAACCTATGACTGGAAGTCTGAAACCATGAAATTCAAGCGCTATATTGAAGGTATATGGTTAGTTATTAGGAATACTGTAGAATGTGATTAACGAACATAGCATATTCACTCAATTTCTTACATTTTAGAACCAGCCCTTACCTCAATTCAGATGGGAGCTCACTCAGGTATGATCTTGTTAATCCACTCATTAGAGACCTTAAAATCTAACCAAAAAAACAAAGTTTATACGCGAAGGGGATTTGTTTAAATGTATACTATCTTCCGTGTAGGGTATGTGTTGTTTTACAATGTGATCAACTGGCCAACCTGTAACTACACTCATGATCAAAATTACAGGTTCAATGCTGTGTATAGAGATTGACGGTTATGACATGAACATGTATATCACTGGTCAGAATCAAGCGAAGGTAACGGCCATGACCTTCGCATCTAAGATGGCGGACAGTAAGTGTCGATTTCGATATTTTTAGTTTCTATCAAATTAAACTACTTTATAGCTGATGTAATGCTTTGATATTTGAACTATATTAGGCGTATATGACATCGAAGCTATTAGATGTTCAGTAACAGTGTATTGAAAACTAACACGACCGTTACCGTATCATACATTTCCAGTTATCTCCACTTAAGCGGTTTGAGATATCATTGAACTGGAGCGCCCATGCACAATATATGAACAAATTTTCATACTTCAGAGTTCCCATTTCATGTAAGTCTGATTTGGTTCAAATTTTAAAGCATAACATCAACCATGAAGTAGTAAAACTAAAAATGTCGAAATCGAAAATTACCGCCCGCCATCTTGGATGTGAAGATTACGTCCGTTACCTTCGCTTGATACTCACCAGAGTATATGCCACATATCATTAAATGTGAGTCGTGAAATGTGAGTCGTAACTTAAATTGGACCAAATGGCATAAATTTTGAACTTGTGGACTGCGATCTGAAAAGGTGTTTAAAACCAAATACCCTAAGCTGCTTTTCATTAGGCTGCATGTTGTTTATGGCTTCGATACGATTGATGTTTTACCCTTTTTCCCATAAGGGTGTCAGTACCGGACGGACGACCGTTTACACCACCACGCCTCCTGCAGAAGTCAGAGCATGGTTTGCTAGATCCGCCGATGGTGAATTGTAAGACTGATTTACATTATATACTTTTTCTGTCATATGTTCCCATAAGATACACGAACGTATATCGACCTGGCAAATCAGATATATTGAAGGAGCTAGTAATGGGTAGAGTAAATTGTTGAAAAATGTCACGATATGACAACAAATTGTTTGCATCTTTCCATGTCATCCCCTTTTCAAAAGTTCAACAGTTCTGGCATTTATGATTAGTCTTCAGATTTCCAAACTTATCATTCAAAAATGAAAATATCGCTACCGACATATTACCTTCTTTATCAAGTCTTGTTTATATATTCCTTTGAAATAGAATTAACGATGGACAACTAGTAATCTGGGTGTTATCTCCCACGTCAATCTCTGAATATTTGAACCAAGGTTTTACATGCAGGTCCGACATTATTAAGAGAAAAGTTAAATAAGTAATAATGGGAATAAAAATAAATAAACTTATGTTGATATATATCGCCAGTGGACATCAAAGACGAGACTTTCGTTGGTTTATTCGGAGCATCGAGGAACCCGAAGAGGTTGATCTAAACCTAGTAGTATGGGAGGACGCCAGTGCAGATGTTGTCACAGTGACGGTAATTCCACATTCATATTCAACATATTTGAAACAAAAAGCTAATTTGAATGGGAGGCCGTCATATTAAAATACATAGAGGATATCCTATGACTTATGAGTGATATGATTTTTATCCACGAATGGATATGATATCTGCACGAGCGAGCGTAGCGAGGGAGTGCAGATATCAATATCCATGAGTGGATTAAAATCATATCACGAGTAAATCATAGGATGTTCTTTTTATTCCATAATTAAAGTCATCGTCAGAATCGTCGGACATTAAGTGATTAAATTCGAATTTTCCAAACGATCCGGCGATGTTGACACTTAGCCTCGTTTTGAGTCTGAAGTAGCAAAAATCCATAAACCATCGCATACGACGTCGTATGTCATGGCTAAAAAACCGTATGCTATGGTTAAGTGAAAATTTGTCAAAAATATCATATTTTACCACTGATTACAAAAATACCGTTTTTATTTTCACATGTTATCCTATGAATATCATGCTAACTATGGAATAAAAGGTATTATGTCATAAAAGGGTTATTTTTATATTGGGCTGGTATTCTGAATCGTCAATCATTTTCGAAAAATATGTTATTTGTAGTGAAACGTTTATCGTAATTGAATTTCATACATTTTAAATTAAATCGCACCTTTGTTATTTATAGGAGGACGAGGAATACTATGTAGAGTTCGATAGGCCAGCAGAGGGATGGCTTGGCTTCTTTATAGAGGTATTAATCCTTTTTCCATTCATCAGAAGGAGATAATGTTTGCCATAAACATAATAAACAATGCAAAATAAATAACGTATTATTTCAAATGTTGAAAACAACCTATTTGAAGTGTAGAGGGGTTCCAAAAAATACAGAAAGGCCATGTTGTGTTTATTTCTTATTTTGTGTTTTATATTATTTATTTTATAATGAAAACAATAATCAATAGCTATCAATTGTAAGATCACTTTCATATTGGAACACGTTCTGAAATAGACAGTATTATTTACAAGTAGTTACTTACAATGGAGCAATTATGAGGAAATGCTTGTAATTACATAATCCAATGTGTTCTATTTCTTAAAGTACATATTTTCATTCAAAAACATTATTTTATAGGTGGATTTTATTCTCAATGATTCGGAGGCCAGTGTGTTCGAAGGGACAACTGAACTTAACGTAGTGCCAAATACATGGCCGTTCCCATTCTGCAGTAACCCTCTTGAGTGCACTGGATCTTTAGTGTAAACGTAATTGAGGAGTGTATTTGTCATGTACATAATACAATGGAAATAAATATTTTCTTTCCAAATGTTCGCTATTTTTATGTTGATCGTACAGTAAATTCTGATAAACAGACCCTTTCTTAATTCAAAATTTCTCACATGGATGAGATATTGTAATTGCTGGAAAATTGCCTTTCCTAAATTAATTACTATCATTACCACCTTGTCGGGCCTGTTCTAGGGGTATGAGTGCCAGTTGAGAAGGCTTTTATTTACTATATCGACCTGAACAATGTATGACGTTATGGTGTCGGTCCAATAACCCCCAGGAATTTAGATAGCGTTAAGTGCGTATAATTTTCGTTCAGTACAGTCCGTTCATGCTATTTCAGCCCTTGGCATAAACGGTGGTAATAATACTAATAACGTAATATCTGCGGGCAAAAAATAGAATTATTGAACCTTGGCCCTTCGGCTCTTGGTCCAATATTACACTATATTGCCTTTTGAAATGACGCTATTGTACTATTCTTGTTATGCGGTAAACACGAGTGTCTGACATACTCCGTGGTTGATGCTCAGAAATATTGGATTGAGAAATCGTACAGTGATCGGATCGATCAGTGATAACATTGTCTGTACCTCCAACTGTATGACGCTCTCAACTGACGTGTATGCTGTATTCATTGACCAATGAGAATGTGACCGAAGTAATGAAAAGCGAAATGGCCAGTCCTTAAGTAAAATGAAAAATACATTGGGTACTGGGCTCACATGGCATTGCTCATTAAAAGAAAAGAAAATGATGGCTACAATGGCAGACAATAAAAATGAGCTAAAAACAGATATAAATTTTTGCCAATTCTTTTACAATGCAGGACAACTGAAATCAGTTATAAAGCTACTAAATTGATTGGATTTTCCGCAACTAAATTATTTCATACAAGTTCTCTTTACAGTGATATGGCTTTTACAATACCGGACACCTGCAATTATTTATAAAGCTAGCAAATGGTCCACATGTGCATTTCGCGAGACAAAAATGGCGGCCATTTTTCTGTATTGATTTTGAACAAAAATAATTTAAAACGGGAATCCCATCGACAGAGGTTTTAAAACAAATGCTCCATAAGTGAAGTTAACGAGACAGATGAACAAATCAATGTTTACTAAAATAGCTAAAATAATTTCTTGCCGATTTTTTATAACAAAATTATTTCTCACAACTAGTTTACAGTGATATGGCTTTTACAATGTGAGACACCAGAAATTATTTATAAAGCTAGCAAATGGTCCACATGTGCATTTCGCGAGACAAAAATGGCGGCCATTTTGAAATAGGCGAGCTTTTAAATCTGCAGTTACCACACAAACAATGTACGATTTATCTTCTTTACTCATTTTCGAAAATATTTATTTTTCATTCCAAAAGTCCTTAAAATCAGAAGTAAATCGATGAAACACTTCCCTCCATAAGTCTGGCAAATTAGCTCCCCCATCGAACTTCGTGTTAAAGCCTCTTTACGTTTGAATTTTTATTCACTTAACCTGCGATGAAATAACTTATAATATTGATGGAAACGTACTTTGACTTTTTTTCCAATACCTTCTTTTCCCAATGTTTTTCCTCGATTACAATAGGTCGAAATTTGCTGATAAATTTGATGAAATTTTGAAAATCGTCATTCCCATGTAGACCAATGGGAAATGGTGGGTTCGGGGCAAATCAGAAATCATGATATCTAAGTATACAGTAAAAGATTCAGCAAAAATATTTAATATAAAAAATTGAATTGACTAACTTTTTTGTACACTAAGTGTTTAGCGCACTTGACCAAAGTTACAGAGCTTCAAAGTCATTTTTTCGCCTCCTGTGTTTTTTCAATGGGAGAAGTTTTTGAAAAATAATTTTGACTTTAAAGACCTATAACTTTGCTGATCCTGAAGAAATGTATCATTTTTTGTTTAATAAAGTTAGCAAATTCAATTGCCTACCTACCTTTTTTGCAAGGACTCAGAGTGATGGATATTCTGTCATATGAATTGCAGCAAACCTACCATTTCCCATTTGTTGACATGGTAATGTCGATTTTCAAAAAATCATCAAATTTATCATCAATTTTCGATTATTGTAATTTAGGAAAAATTTGGAGGTATTTTGGGGTCCAGATTTTCGAAATATATTATTACCGTAGTAGCTCAAGTAATATAATTATATAAAATACCACGTTTGGTGCAAAAATCAAGGTGATGGGGATATAGTGTCCGAAAAGCACCCCATATCTATGTTTTCATAGAATAGTATACTTTCTTTTGAATGTACATGCCAATCATATAGTTTAATATAAATAGACTTCACACAAGCATGAATATTTTATCTCAATTTAAAGCCATTAACATTCATTGTTTTTAAAGCGTCAACTGTTTATAACATTAAGCAGTTACAGTATACTGTATGAAATAATTTGAAATTAATATAAATTCAATAGGGCCATGACCCGTGGCATTGGCCCTCAATATACTATCATTTACATTAAAATAACATAAGGATTAGTTATAATCGCACATAAGTCCTTCTATGGAGCCTAACATGATTGGTTGAATTCCATGTTTTATCATATATCACTCTTGTCCCGAGCCTTGCCTAATAGAAATTTTAAAAAGGCAGTAAACGTTTCTTCTTTGGGCAAAAACTTCTTCCCTGACATAACCTAGTTGGAAAGAGAAATTCACCAAGGTTATGAAAATTACACTATAGGTCGCATTGTGACATGTGTATTCAGCCATCATTTCCAAAGAATTCAATGGTCATATTGAACATTATTTTGCACGCGGAGGTCCTAAAGCAAATACATGTATGCATCAACTTATAAATTAAAACAAAATACAACAACCTGTATTTGAGTTATTACCCGGATACGTGGATGAACAGACAAACAAATGACTTCTCACAAATATGCTTCTCAACTCGATAAAACACATTTACAGCCCTGACATCGATACATTTATCGATGATATAAAGATCCCTAGATTTGGAACCTGAAATATCAATTCTTGTACGTCACTGTCATTGGTTATTGGACCACTGTAAAGATTTCATCGATTTAAGATTCACGGACAAAGTTCGTGGGGGTAGCTTACAGGTACGTAAATATTGATAATTTCAATATCAGGTATTGCGAATATGTCACTTGTCTATATAGTTTTAATTATCTTCTGCGACTGCATTTGACGGCAGTAAGATTTCATTCAAAATGTCAAGGCTCATATGTACAATCTGTATTATATTTGTCTCTCTTTGGGAGAACAATACTGATTGTTGCTATTTTATTGCAATTACTCAATTTTAACCAGAACCAATTCTTGCCACCCAACGAACGTCCAGTGAATGCTAATTGCTTATACGTATATTACAGTACATGTGAGTAATATAAAAAATATATTCCAGAAATCTAATTAAGGAGTAAAGATGGGGATTTCATGATTCATGGCGTAATGTATTGACCGAAATTGTTATTCTGTTTGTTCTTAAAAGCCCGAAATGGCGTAGCGATTGAGGTCCTTGACAATGGCCAGAATAAAATTTGGGGTCATATATTCGACATAAATCATAAAATCGAGGTCTTTGTTACGATTCTAATATGATAAACAGACAAGAAACACAACTATTTGCATTTATGAATTTTAGCGGTAATACATGTTCCGATATAGACCAGCAAATCAATTGTTCTAGCTATGTGACGTCTCGTATCATATAAGAATTAAGAAATATAGACCGAAAAGCAGGGCTACTAGTTTCGAATGCACTTTGCAGGTCTAGGCACAAACGTTTTCTGTACCCCGAACGACCGAAGGGAGTGAGGGGTTCGAAAGCTTTTTTGCCAAGACCTAAGGGGTGTATTCGAAACTAGTAGCCCTGCTCTGAGGTCTATATTACGATTCGATCATGAAAGCTCACCAGAATATTGCAAAATTGTCAATTTACGACCAAACCATAAGCACGATATCGACAATATATTGAGGATATCAACAGGACAACCAAAAGAACAACCAACTGTCAGAATTGAAGGCAATAAGTAGAAAACAGAATACAATGTTTTTTGGGGATTTATCTATATTGTAACCCCTTAGAAGTAATAAATATGGCTTCTCTAAGCCAGAATTATCTAAAGGAAAAAGCCAATCAGACTGGAACAAATTTGAGCGGGCTTTTTAAATTTAATTTGAATTTCTATTGATGTAAGTGGAGATTCATGGCTAGAAACAATCATCGAATTGATACAGTTAACGAATTAATTCAAGCCTCAGAATTGATAAGTTGATAAACAAACTTGTTTTACAACAAATAACACGAAAAAATCAGGGGGTCACTCTAATTGTGTTTTTAGGAGACCCCTCTCTTTAAGTTTTTTTTGACATTTCAGCATATTTTATTGGTTTCACGCATATCTACTACATTGATAATTAATGAAATTAATTCTTTATTGCCCAGAAACAAAAATCACGGCGAATATACATTTAATCCCTGCCATTTTGAATTTTGCAGACGAGAGGGGGATGCGAAAAGAACGGAACGGCCTAAACTGACCAATGAGTGCACTGAACGAAGCACTTAATAGTACAGAGCCGGGGAATTGATCTCGAATATAACCCAGCTGAAGCATTGACTTCGTTCACAGTTTATAGAAGGCATGAATACAGTCATGTTCGAATCGTCGTTATAAAATTGATATTACAAAATATGCCACAATTGTATTCTTTCTTCTTTTAGGGAGAATAAGCAAGCAGTCATTATATAAAACAGGCAAAACAACTAATCTACAATCTATCAGTTCATTTTCGTTTCAAAGAAAGGGGAACATTTGAAAGCTTGCACTGCTTTCAAACGCAGTTGTGTTTTCATACGCATGCGCCATCAGCTGCCCTCCCGATACCCTCAGGTACTCCCCGGTAGATGTTCGCAACGTGACAAAACCTTGGAGGAATTCACCTTCAACCATAGTAAATGTTGATTCTTGCGCAAAGTCCACATTATGGGTATTGTCATACAAGCTCTGAAGCAAAACATTTTCGCCAACGATGTGCATCACGTTCCTTGTCTTATCAGCGGAGAAGAAAGATACTGAGCTATTTTGCCAAGTAATTCCAGGTGACTGGACATAGAAGGCATTTGAGCTGGTTGACTGGTTGAAAAGCCAGAGTTGATTGGTGTTATGTACACCGACATAGTAAGCGGAATTGATGTTCGGCTTAAGAAGATATGGTCCATCAAGTATGAGTTCTGAATGTAAAGAAATACATTGTATAAACATTAAATTACTAAACATATACCAACTTACCAAGTACTATGCAAAACAAGCATATTGCATTCCAAAAAAAACATCGGTAATGTAAAATATCTCATATTTTGAAGATGGGTCTAATGGGGATTTCAAAACAATATTCTTATTGCAACCCGTTTTAGAATAGCAAGTATTAAAGTCTATCTATTAACAAAGCCACGATTATTCAGAAAAGGCGTTTTTAAAAGAGATGTTCAGTAGTACACTTTGCTTGAGTTTTATCACCCTTTTGGTATTTTTGTGTTCTTGCTATTTTAACTGCCGTTTGTCTAAGTTACCTACCCTACCTAGTACGGTACCTACCCTTTCTCGATTCTGATTCGCAAATGAAAGCCAATGCCCTATTACAACTCGTGTCAATCCAGTCTTTAGATGATGTTCGGTGGAATACGCACTCCTCTGCAATGTTATTAGGTTCACCACTCCTCCATCTGTAACAGAGAATGGAGAAAGCCCAAGTAACACAGATTTGCATTCAACTTTCGGTTAATCTACAGTTACATGCTCGGGGTGTATCCCTGCACAAGTACCAAAGAAAAAATCAACAGCAGTACATTACAAAAGCATTACCTTGTAAACCCAACTGGAGTTCCATCATACCACGTGTCATAAATGTTTCCAGAGCCTGCTAAACCTAAAATGACCAAATAACCATTTGCTTGGAAATCTTTTATTGCACCTCTGGATTTGACGAAGGAGCTGGTGGAACAATATGGTGCAGCAATATGTGAACTTATATTTGCATAGTTACCTACATATATCCAGCATTTTGTTTTATGAAATGTTAACTTTTTTTCACCCCTTGTGATGGCAGGCATATTTTGACCCGGAAGCTGAAAGTTTTTTAGCAATTTATATGTAACAATCAAGACGTATGCAACTCCTTAAATACTGGTTCAAATGTTGCTGCATTATAGTGTGCTACGGAATCCCCAATTCCCTGAGCCATGTCATGGATTAATACGATGCGATACTATCTGATTTTGAAAAATACATTCAGCTCTATTACTTGCGCAGTTGGAGAAGCAATGTGCTATTATGCTTAAACACACACAGGCGGCCTTATGCAATCATTTGCCTATTTTAAAAAGTACCTTATTTGCATCTGAATAATACTTCAAGTTGTCTTTAATAAGGCACCTTTGCTTTTTCATTACTTTTTTCAAATTACAGACCTTTTAGCATGGTCCTAGAGTATAGCTTGCATATAATTAGGCTACAATAAGAAGTATACCTATATATATAGAGCTGATAGGTAAAGTTAATGCTGTGTTCGCCAGAAAGTCATGCTCGGACTCGTCATTAACGGAGACTAGGTCGCCATTAAATGCCTGACAGTATAACCGGGCATCTGATTGAACCATGGGTTGCTCTACAAACTCGTAGCAGTGTCCATTGTAGTTGTAGGTGTTTGGAGAATTGGTCAGATATCCAGAAAATGCTAAATAATCACATATATACATATCACACTTTTTAATTTGAATAGTTTGGTATCTACGTCATGCCTGTATATTGGACATTTATTCTTTTATATTTTATATCATATTAACACAGGCTGGTATCGAAAGATTTGTCCGCTGTGACGGAGCATGTTATTTTTTATAAAAACACTAAGAATGCTTCACGATTTATTTTTTAACTCATATGTTTCGTTATATCAAAGATAATCACTTACTCCATGCAATGGATATATCATTTGCGTGTAACCTTCACTTCTGTTTGAAGTCCAATAACGCTAGAAGTAAAATCTATTGAAAACGGCGCCAGAGTATCAAACTCTAAAATGTACCATTTCTTTTTTAACTTTTTAATGGCATGGTATAGTGACACGATAATATTAACATGTGTTTTCAGCATAACTCTGAATGTATTAATGAGATATTAATGCATTGGGTCTTTTTAATTTTTTTATAAAAAATAATATTAATATTTTTTGTCCGCTGTGACGGAGCATTTTCACAGTTCACATTTGCAACTGCTCCGTCACAGCGGACAAAAAAAATAAACATTATTTTTTATAAACGAATTAAAAAAACCAAATACATCAACATCTCATTTATACTTTCATAGTTATGCTGAAACCATGTGTAAATATTATCGTGTCACTATATCGTGCCATTAGAAAGTTAAACAAGAAATGGTACATTTTGAAGTATGATACTCCGGCGCCATTTTCAATAGCTTTTCTTCCTAGCGTAATTGGACTTCAAACAGAAGTGAAAGTTACCCGCAAATGATTTACCTATTGCACGGGGTAAGTAATTTTGTATGGTATAACGAAACATATGAGTTAAAAAATAAATCGTGAAGTATTCTTAGTGTTTTTATAAAAAAAATAGCATGCTCCGTCACAGCGGACAGATATTTCGATACCAGCCTGTGATTAAAACCATTCTTACTTCGAAATAATCTATAAAACTAATAGATATCATTTTAAGCATGCCAAACAAGTAAACCATGTTATTATACGCGATATATAAATCATACAGAACAATACAAGGAATTTTCCTCAATTGCACAGCTTTCGGTTGACAGTGCTCAATATTAGATGTTCGAAAAGTCACTTTCAAAATGGTATTTTAATTTGTAGAAAGAGATATCATAAAAAGGGAAAAGGGGAAAGCAGCTGCAATACATTTTGTATATCCTATTATATATGATTATTGCTATAAAAAACATGGCGTCAATATGTGTTTAGCATGTTGCAAATGTTTTTCTAGCCAATATTGACTAAACCGAGCTTAAGCTTAGAAAAATTAGAAACTGTAACTATGAACGTACATTTGCATTTTAGCTTTCTTGTAGAAACATCTCTGGAACATGTCGTCTGAAAAAAACATATTGAAATATTTCAAGAATTATGAATTGAAACGCCTATGGACTTGGAGAATGGATTTTATCCATCCCACATCATTTGAGACTGAATGCTCTATCTTGTGTACGTACTTGTATCTACAACTATTTTTGGGATTTTATGAGTATTGGCTACCAATTTCTAATTTTTTCTTCAACATGTATTGTAATTACTTCAGTATGAATGAAATGTCCCTAGGTGTTCTGGTCTTTGATTGTGATATCGGTTCTTGAATGGTGGGGAAAGGGGTATTAGACATTGTTTCTTTTAACGTTAGATCATGGTTTTGGGATATCTTGGGTTTGTTTTCCTTGACTGGTATGCATTTAGAACTTTTGGTCCTTTCCCTTTGGCACTCGTGGTGAGATATGATTATTCTCTTAAAATGTTACTTTGGAGTTAATCTTTTTAGTATTACTCAATTTACAATTAATTTGAGAAAAAGTGCATGTAGATTGAAGATTTTAGTAAATATGAATAGTTACTTTAGAATTTGCAGCATGTTGTTTGGTCATCTGTATATACTGATAGGAGGCGTCATCTTGAAGAGGCGAAGTTTCATCCATCAGCTCGTTATTGAGTACGCAATCCTTGTCATTGGAACTCGTGTCCATTATCTTGAAGTTCACGGAGACGCATGTGTTCACTTTTTTACACTCTCTAAGACACTCTAGTACATCCGTAACCGTTACTGTCTTAATTTCAGCGTTTGGTAAAACCTTCCCGTTTAATATTATCTCATAAATTGTCGTTTGTGTCGAAAATATGTCAAGTTCAGCGTTAATTCTCTCCATGAAGATACATAGAATTAAAGCTTTGAAAATGACATTCATATTCATTTTCTTCCCGTGTGCAATGTTTGCCAAAATTATATTGAGTCTATTCGTTGTTAATTGTGTTAAATATAAAACATAATTATATACTCTTTTATTTGCTGACAACACTGTACAGCCAAAGTCTGCGGTACAACAGAGCAATTGTTTGTTGCTATCACAGACCTGAACACGGTTGTTTAATTTTCTAATTGCCCCTATTGTTCTGTATTGAACATCATTGGAAAATATCGATACATGAAACACAAGAAATTGCTTTAGAATTCATTACAGTAATGCATCGACAATTGTCATTTAACTGCTATATATTGCTTTTTTATTTAGCATATGGATCTTACATCAAATGTATTATCTTTATTAAGAAGATAGATCAATGCTTTTTAATTATTCAGATTGGTAAATTCACTCGTCAATCGACCCTGTTCCAATAACCTAAATTTTGCAGCTTTTATACTTCACAGATCACTTTGTATTGTGCTGTATCGATGCCATTATTTACTCGTTTCGTTCACGATCATTCATCTCCATTGATGTCCTCTTTCCGCCCTTTCCGGATTCGACCATGCACATACAGGGTAAGCCAAGAAAGGGTACCCAAACAAATATCATGACTCGGTCACCCATCGTGGCCTTAATAAATATTTAGTACAATTGGGCCTTGTTCAATTCATTTGGAATCCCCTCATTATTTTCTTTTGTCTATTCTTAATTGTCATGCACTCATCCAGAGTTTGCCTCCAGAGCATGATTTTTAAATTGGCCATAAAATCTTGAAAGACAAAATATGTTTATTCGCAAATTAAATGGTCATGGCATCATAGTTTGGAATGCAAAGCTTGCCTATAACTATGGCAAGTTTGCAAAAACCTTAACAAGGAGTATACGATAATCGAAGTTTCACAACGATATGTATTCTGCTTCAACATATGGTTGTTTAATTTTAGTTTCATACTTCACGTATAGGTTCAATTACATTTTACGTAAATTGATGGTTCTTTCATTTTAGTTTCTTACTTTACATAGTCACATAAACTATAGGTAGACCTTATAAGCTATCATCTTAGTTCCTATAATACGTTTTACGTAAAGATTTAATGACTAGAAATATAGATGGCATTAAAGTCTAATTATTGACTCCTTAGCTTCAAGTTTTAATTCCCTTTCCCAAAACCGTGTAAAAATCGAGAGAGATTTAAAGTGATGCATGCTTGAAATTTAATATGTTAGATATGACAAAAGATATAAAAACATTTTAATGCATTGTTCGATCCAAAGTCAGATTACAGGTTATATCGATAAATTCTTGGAACGTGAGAATGACTTTGTTAATCTATTATCATTTTAGCTTTGTGTCAAATTTAATTGATTTGAAACAAATAAGATATAGCAACAATGCATTTTACTCTATGTCTGAGCATCATTCATTTGTAATGTTTAATTGTAAACATGACAAGCGAATGAATCATATCTGACCATTTCAAATTAAATGGCTTCACCTTAAGAGGCATTTATGTTTGGGCTTTTCCTAAATAATGAGGCATTTATGTTTGGGCTTTTCCTAAATAATTGTGAAATAGACACGTTCTGAGTTTATATATCTTGAAAGGTGGCGTTTTTTTACGAACACACATTTTTTGTATTTTAAGCTCATTGCTTTTAATATAACGGGGGTTACATGTATGTTTAGAATAAAATCATTGATTAAGTTTCCTTGAAAACGTTCTGTTGACGTAACCAGATCCAGGTGTTACACTTGCAAGGCTAAATATACATTTATTTATTTTTAAATGTGTGGTTACAATTTCATAATGAGTTCTCGTACTGGTAGCTCTAACAAAGAGCAAAATGAAATGGAAATGAATAATACAAGAACAATTCTAAGGATGTACTAATCTAGTAACCGGGGTCGTAGTTATGCGACATAATCGTGTGTTTTTCAATGAGATGGTGATTACTGGATAGTATAGAGTTGCCTTGATTTCAGCGCCTTTCTTAATGATTTTGTTTGGAGTTGCCTTCCTCGTGTCTTTCAAATTGTGTTTCTAATCTCTTCAAGCTTCAACCTCTTTGAATTTGAGCTTACATAGTTAGTATCACTGAAATGTGTTTTGTTGCATGCGATATTCAAATAACCCCAGGGATTATGGTCCCCTTTCTATACGGCCCTTACTGGCCCTGATTGCGTATAAGATAATGAGGGAAAGAGTTGTATTTAGGTCACCATATAAATTAATGGAGAGTAGGACCATAATTTGATAGGACCTCCTACCCTTTTACACCGGTACATTATTTGCCGCAATTTGGTTAGTCCATATAAAACTTGCTCACAAAAAGAGTTGGCATTAATTATAAAGCCTAAAGTGGTAAGAGTCTTAAACTGCCTGACACCGATGACGCATTAGTATTTCACATCTGTTGAGGATTTAAAAGATCAATGAGGTAACTTGGGACGTATGGATCAGAGGACCGAAATACACTATAAATTGTATTTATCTGTCGATCAGTCCACGATATCTGAAGTGGGGGAAAGAGCGATTGACAACGAAAGAATTTAAAGAAGTTTACTGAGCTTGAAATACAGGTAAGTGCGTTAACTATGACATCATAAGACCAACTAATCATTAAAATATTACCTTGAGTAGTCTTGCATTTAGAAGTTATTAGAACTAAATATTATTCAATTGTTTAAAATGTGAAATTAAACTCTAAATTGCAAGTAATAACTATTAACTACCATATTAATATATATATGCTCAATTTGAGGAAAACATTAGTTTATCAACAATAGAATACATGTATATTGTGTACGTTAAAGCCTCTAATTTTTCATTATTACGCTGGTAGATTATTGAAGTGAATTTAAAAATAAATGCAATTTGTGAATCGCTTGGAAAAACCTACAATATCCAAAATAAAATCTAATGACCAATTCGTCAATTAACAATCTCCCAATAAATCACAAAAAACGCATTTCATTTATACTATTCTAACCTTTTATGTGTTCTAAAAATAAGTTCAAGCGGTATCCAATACTCTTTATATCTTAAACAGTGGACCAAGTTTGTATTTAAATGATTTTGGACAAACGCAATCCAGTTTTTTTCAGGTACTCTATTTGAAAGTACCAAATGGCCTTTCACCTACAAAGATCATGAAACGTAGTGTATAGGCAGTGTAGGCATATGGATCTGAAACCTGTTGGTCAAAATGGCATTACGGAACAGTTGCAGTAATTTTTGTCCTATACCTTGTGAAAAATCAACTGGTCCCCGTATCAAAAGTTACCTGGTAATGACCAGCAGATCGGCCCTTAGAGCCTAAACTGGTTACAAGTTTTACTAGCTTTTCTATATACAGGGTGTTCCAAAAGTAACAGGACTGGTGCTGGCATTTTGTTTAATATGCACCAATCGTCTTCAAAATTTTACATAATGTACTTTCATGTATCGTTACTAAGACTGCAAAGTTTCGACAAAATATATGAAACTCGGGTAGAGTTATGGTTGCTATAGTAACATGACATCACAATACCCGGGGCAATATTCCACGCAAAAAGTTACAGAGACATTAAACATTTTGTACATGCCATATCATTTTGTACATGCCATATCAAAGTTGAAATGCAGCAACTGGTGGGAATTACATTTGTTTTACATCATTTGATATTCCTATGTATCCTCTACTTTGAAAAATAGGCTCCTCTTTGGTGAGTACAAGAGTATTACTCTGTATCCATGACTCAAACACACGAGTGAACCCATTTGATGACATGTCACGCAGGGCCAATTGGACAATTTGGAGAAGGTCATTCCCATCTTTAAAGGTCCTACAGCACTGATTAGCATTCCATTCTCAATATAAGTAAACATTAGATATTGCATGATCAGAGTATGGTGCATGGTTTTAGACTCAAGACCTAGCTCCTCTATAGCTGCATGGTCTTAAATGGTGACCTGCGGGCAGGCGCGCTATCAAGGTAGATGACTGGCTTCAAATTGGGTCTTTTCAAAAACTCAACCGTGAATTGTCCAGACCCTTATACATAGTGATATTCCAGGAAATTGAATAAATATTATTATCATTATGAAATTATACTTGAATCTGAGTTGTATATGCAACACCTTTACAACAAAGGAACTGATACAATAAACAAGAGATGTTCAGTAATACAAAAATGTGAGATATCATATTTTCACGGAAAAGTTGCCCCGGGTATTGTGATGTCATGTTTCTATAGCAACCATAACTCTAACCGCATTTCATCTTTTTTTCTGAAACTTTACAATTTTAGTTGCAATACTTCAAAGTACAATTTGTGAAAATTTGAAGACACTCAGTGCAAAATTGACAAAATGCCAGCACCAGTCCTGTTACTTTTGGAACACCCTGTAGTTTCTTTTTTATTGCTGATAGAAAACAGGATGAAAGTATTCACAGCGTTATTACTACTGGTACTGTTAGACGTCTGTATGTGTGCCGGGGAAACTAGCAGCCGTAGTAAAGGGAAGGGTAGCAGGCACAGTGGGAGTTCAAGTGAAGAGGGTAATATTGTGATATAATCACGAATGCAATTTCTCAAATGCCAAATTATTTGATATGTTAGATATCTAAAACTCAAAATAACCTGCCATTGATACGCCCATTACGTTCCCAGTACGGTGGGGTAACATCCCATTGTCATTAATTGACATTTACCCACCTAGATCTTTTAAAATTTGGGGATACCCAAATAAACATTTCGATTTTGAACAAAAATGCCTTGGTTAACCCAATATTATCACGGGATGTCATAACTAATTTGATCGATGTGGAGGAGCAGTTCGTTTTTACAAGTTGAAATAGTTCTTACTTCAAAAAGGTACACATTCCCTTATTTAATAAAGATTAACTATGGTCAGTGTGGGAGAGCCTTTTTTGTAACTTCGTAATGGATCATAAAAGATTTCCGACAAATTTTGAACGGAAGCATGATTGACATTGTCATTGCATGTATTGGTTCATTTATCGCAACAAATAAGTACTATATTTTCAGTAAAAAATATTGTGTGAAAGTATTAAAATTACTTGTCGAAACGACCTGATCCGCAACATTGATCAAATAAGTCGATGATATCCCGTGAGTATTGAACAATTGGAGCTTTATGACAGTTGAGTGTATCCTCGGTGTGTTTGGATTGGAATGAATCTAAATGTCAGATTAGGAAATATTAAAAATACGTTAACCGCCAAATAAGAATATTCCTACCTATTTTTCAAAGAAGATGGCGATATTTGTATTTCCTGTGTCCTCTACGAAATACTCTATGCGTTTCCAATACCTGATAAGGGACATTACAAGGTCAGCTTATTTTGGCACACGTTAGGTATATACCAGGACATATGTCAACTTATAGTAACATACATGGTACCTCTAAATACTTCACTTTAAACATATAGTATTGGATAGCCATATATAGCGCAGAGTTAGAACAGTAATAGAAAACCAAAAAAAGTATTCAGAATCTAAAAAGTTCTTGGAGTTGAAACATATTTAGAATAGTTTGAATAGTACACATGTTTACCATGCCATTACAGAGAAATGTATTCCAAGAAATCGAAGAGAAAGCACACAGGGTAACTTCACATCGCAGGTGACGTTTTCAGGGATTGTTGATTCTAAAGGCTCTCCATATAACTTTACACTTGAACAAGGCCTACTAGAACCCTGGAAGATGGTAGATCCAGATGTCAAGACTGAGGCAGATGTTATCGCAGAAGGTGAGTTTCAATTAGCCATACATTTTGACAAAATATTACTCTCGTGTACGTTAATCGCAAACTGTTACAGACGCCGAATGGAAATTGCTGCAGACGCCGAAAGAAAACCTTTACAGACGCCGAACTCAGAACATCGTCCAAAAAAAGTTGCAGACTATAGCAATACATTATCACCACTTTCAGTGTTGACATTTTACGGATGCAACGAGTCATGAGGACAGCAAACCACAATTATCTAGAACTATGATCTAACACATAAAGAAAACAAAGTTATATCCATTCCCTCGTAGTTCAGGAACATTATCACATCATACCAAGGCCGCAAGACAATGGAACATTTCTTTCATAATAAGAACATGACAACGACCATGACAACACTCGTTGGTACACAGAGTATTCAATATATAATTTGTTAATAATCTAGCCATTTTCCAATTCACATTATTTGTATTTGGCATTAATCAAAGAATAACATATGAATGAAATGTGATTGACTCTAACCTTATTAGCAGTGTTTTTCAAAATAACTATTTTATATAGCTAGGTAAATAGCAATGGAACTTTTGCTTCATGTATGCTCTGAGGTCAAAGGATAATAGCTGTAATGTTCATATATAGAATACATGTAATCCTAGATCAGTTTAATCTTAAAATAGTGTATATCTTAAAGTAACAACAATAACAAGATTGATTGATATTTTTTATCAAAATAAACTAAAAACTAGAAACAAATTTTGCAATTAGAGTGTCTAGACTAAATGATAAAGATAGAAATCATCTTAGAGATATCATACGAGTACTTCTAGAATTCTATTGCACTCTTTTGCTGTTAGTTTGGTAATGGGTATGTATCCTTTATAGCGATCTGATTTCCACACGCGACCTAAATCACCCTACCATACCTTGCATTTGGTGTTCATGAGCAACCCATTTGGCTTATTAGCAATGATTATATTATTTGTTTTTATGTGTCCTTTCCTTATGAATGGTTTATCGGACGACTGTTAACTGTTTATAAGGTAATTTTAAAAATATACTAAACAATACAATTAGACAAGCAGAGTATCAGTAGCATTTTTAGGGGTTAGGTATAGTAGAGTGTAAATATACTCTTTGTGTCACGCCATGGGACGCAGTATTCGTTTTATATTCTGACATCACACGTATTAACATGTACTACTTTTTTCAAGGCCTGACTGCGTCGCTAACATGCTAAATATAAGAGTTAGCTGACGTTTGGGAGTCTGACTTACCTTCTAAAGGTTAGAACCCGAATCTTAATGAAACCATATCACCTTTGTTGCGTCGATGATGATGCATAAACATAGCATTTGATAGAAATTAGCGTAAATGCTTTTCCGACTTTTTCATTTTTCATCAATGTTGACTTCCGGGAAGGCGTTGTAGTTATCACGAAATAACGCATTGACCCTTGAACTTTACTTTGTTGACGTGTCAACCAAGCATGTCTGGTGTGAAAATTAAAAGAATATTAAGCAATGTTCTACATCCGCCAAGCTGGGTGAAGTAGTCAATATTTAAATTACTAATTTCAAGTGAAGTACGCAACGAACGAAACTGCGTGATCTACACTCCCACTATTGGTCTGAATGAAATGCTACGTAGAAATATGAGCCGTCTGCTGTATTAGCCGATGAATAGAGTAAGACCTGTTGGTGATGCTTTATAATTTAGACCAAAACATTGAAGAACAAACGAACCTGTAAATCGTGAAAACAACGAACAAATATTCGGTTTTCACATATGTTCGGTAATTTTTCGTATTGAAACTTCCGGAACTTACAAGGAAATCATTCATTTTCTCGATCCATGATTTACCTCTTGGATGTTGTGGCAAATGCTCCATGGTTGACGGAACAAAGGTGATATGGTTTCATTAAGATTCGGGTTCTAACCTTTAGAAGGTAAGTCAGACTCCCAAACGTCAGCTAACTCTTATATTTAGCATGTTAGCGACGCAGTCGGGCCTTGAAAAAAGTAGTAGTCACCATTTCGTTGTTGATGTAATAATTTAACATCATCATATACATAGAGTGTTATTAAATCAAAATCTTGAAAATGTTATTTCGGGCACAGTATTCTATGTATTTCAATTCTACAGTATCAAAATTTAGAATTGTGATTTCAGTTTTCCCTTTCACATTTAGGTCGGGAATTTGTTGCGTATGTTAAACAAAGGTTTAACGTCGATATAAGCACACTAACTGACGATGAACTACTTATGGGATCGCAAAGGACCTTTGGAAAATTATCCTTTTTTGGATACCTGATAGATGCTGATGTAAGACTCATTTCCAAAACAACCCCTTCGCAACAAGTGAATTACTACAGCAATACAAAATACAAAGGTCTTGGATATGCTCTTTTTGCAGTCGATGATGTTTTTCTCACAGGAGGTTAATTTTGTATTATAATCTATTGCTTTTTACCCTTTGTCTGACAAAATATGGACTGAGTTCACATAATTATATGGACGTATATAACGCATAATAGGATAATTTGCACACTAGAGAAAGGTTGAATTATATTAACTTTTTCTGACAAGGTATGGGCTAAATGCGAATCATACGTTGCACTCTAAAAATCGGTTGATACTATAGAAACATATTGTATCTGATAAAATATAAGCTAAGTGCGAAACATAATACGCTGCAAATTAAAGATCGGATTCCCAATTATACTTAAAAATTACTAAGCCTTAATCGTCTTCAATTGTTTTCAGGAGAATATACTGGACTTATGCCAAATCAGTCAGTAATCTATGCGGAAATTGCAAGAATAGACAGCAATGAATGTGACTTTGATGAGCAGCTACACATAATTAAAACACGCCCACTGGGCAGTCACCCTGCTAAAATGGTAAATGGTGTATACGTTGGAGCCAACACATGGGAGGCGGAAGTCTGGTCTAGTATTTATGGTCATGGTGTGCAATACTCCGTCGATATGCATGGAGTTTACGTTTATGCCTTCGTTAACATATTCAGCAACCCATGATTGTATGTTATGATGTACTTGTTCAACGTCATTTGCAACAATAAATGTTACAACTGTAACTTATCATTGTGTTTCTTTGTCCGTTGTTTAAAATAAACAGTATCTGAAAAAGAGTCAGCCAACCATAATACTTTCTATTGTTAATACGCAGGTCACTGTTAAAATAAACAGCATCTTAAGAGGTTCTGGACAAATCATTTGATTCTGGACTTGACATATTTTTTTTCCAACGAAATCACATCCAAGGGTTGAATTTTTATTGGATATTTAGAGAGCGAGTCCTGTATTGATTTCAATAAAAAGGTTAAAATAGAACGCTATTTGAGAGTTAATCTTATACTTTCATTACATTGATAAATTAAGGCAAATTCTGAAAAATTTTAAAGTGCATTTTTTATGAAATATTATCCAAGTATTTAGATGAAACGGTCTTATTTAAATACAAATCATAACATGATGATATTTTTTCATAAAATATTTCTTCAAGAAATTCAATTGAAGGCTCAAGATAAAACGAGCTAATTTAGGTGAAAACCCTTACATGATGATGTGTTTTCATGACTTCTTTCATAAAATTCCATCAAGGGGTGAAAATAAAATGATCGAATTTAAGTGATTTAAGGATCACGAGGATAGGTTTTCTTGGATATTTTCTATGAAATCCCATCCAGTGGTCAAGGTAAAATTTTTATTTGGTATATTTGGTCACGTGTTCGAACCCATAGAACCATATAGGAACGTCATTTTGAATGTTACGTGATAAATCCATATAAGGCTTTTAGAACAATGTGGGGAAAGATGAGGGGAAACCCCTGACACCTGTTCACGATTTTATCCGAACGTTCATCGGATCATTTCGGTTTTTATGCACTTCATTATTTTACCGAAGTTTGCCGATTCGATTCGTCGTATTTCGGAATATTGGGGACAATTTTATACTCCATTGGGAGTATTTTTAATCTACTTCTTATTACGAAGATTCCCGAACCTTGTTCGGATTAATCCGGATTTTCTGACCTACTTCATCTACCGAGATTTAACGAGTTCACATTCGGCTCATTTCGGAATCCTGGTGACAATTTTATACTCCATTTACTGGATGAGCATAATGTAAAAGTGGTTTTGAAAAGTAGCAAATTTCTCTTTATGTAGGTTTTTTGTGGTTTATTATTCTACATTGATTCTGAAACTATTGGTGTCTAGTTTTTCAGCGTTTTGGAAATATGCAGATTTATACCCCCTGGTGTTATTTTAAGGGGGGTCCTAGGAAAGCCATGTATAATTCCTAGAGTATCCAACCAATCATCTTGAAATTTACAGGTAATCATCTTCTTATCATGTCCTATCATTGTGAGCAGTTTCATCAATATTGGTTAGCTGGTTGCTATGGTAACAGAAATCGCTTGTTAAAAAAGTACACATTTTCGTAAAAATTTAAGACCTACCCTGAGACAAAGCACATAATATTTTCCTGGAATTGGGAGGAATTAGCATGAAAACATATTAGAAAACTTATTTAGAGTATGGTTGATAATACTAAATCAATTGATGTTTTATTTTAGCCATACAATTAATTATATTTGCCGATGATAATATGACTATGCAAAAATGTGTAAAAGGGGACGTGGCACTTTTCCCAAGAAAACTTTATTTGTACCCAAGTTTGTGAATAAATATATGACTATTCATTCTGATATTAACAGATATTAGTATAGTTATGATGTTTAACCATCATGGGAAGTTTCGCTATTGTTGGTCTGCTGGTTGTTATGGTAACAGAAATCATTTGTTAAAACAGTTGACCATTAAAGGGGTATGGGGTATTTTATCTAATTAAGGATATAAACTTTGTCTTCAAATATACATTCATGGCTTTGTGAGGTCATCAATGTGATTTTATTTATGTGTGCTTAATTTGCATCTTGGAATGAAGTTTTGAGGAAAACGCATTTTAACAAAATCAAATAAATTATTGTTTATATTAAATAAATTCATTTATCTCATTCTGGATGATACTAATTTATCACTCACTCACATGCTTACCTATATATTTGTTTCTTTTTAAATCAACCTGATATCTTTATGAAATACATGTTTGAGTGATTCCCGTCATGCTTAATATCCAGATAGAAAATAATGTTATTCATAAAAATAGTTAATAATTCCTATTTGATATAACAATAATACCAAATTTAGAGCATTATTTAAATGTTGCAATTAGAATTTAGACTTCATTAATGTGATGGCAAATTAAATCTGCATTCCTAGGAATAAGTTGTATATGCAATGATAAATCAGTTGTTGATATGAGCTTTTGTTGTCAATGTTATGCTTCAATTACCACAGTTCATGCCTTCTTGATTAGCTGTGCAGACCTGATGAAATAGATATACGTTGTGCGGTTAAGCTGTGCTACATCTAGATAGAGGTGAGTGATTGTGGGTAAATACAGTGAGTGATTTTGGACAGGTGAGTGATTTTAGTCAGGAGAGTGATTTTGGACAGTGGTTCCAAACAGTGCGGTGCGGTTGCCTAACTGATTACGGTCAGTTGCGAGTGATTTTGGACAGTGGTTCCAGACAGTGCGGTGCGGTTGCGTAACTGTGTAGATGCAGAGGCTTTCTTTATTTTCTTTATTTTATAATTTTAGGGTGAAGTCAAGGTAGGTGATCTAATACACATTGTTTATGTGTGCTGCATACAGATAAAGTTTAGTGACTCTGTGTTAATAGATTGAGTGATTTTGGACAGTGGTTCCAGACAGTGCGGTGCGGTTGTGAGTGATTTTGGACAGTGGTTCCAGATAGTGTGCTGCGGTTGCAGTTGTGCTATATACACAGTTATTCCTTATTTTTTACTTTTACGTTTCAGTTAAGGTAGGTGATTTAATACACCATCGTTTAGTTTCCATTATTGCATCGTGGAGTGTTGCCCTTCCAATATATATACTTTTTTCCATATATCATGCAACTGAGTAGAACCCTGTAAATCAATGTATTAGTGTTGTTACGTATATATCATGTCCGAGAGAAGTTTGAGGAAAAGATCCTCTGCTCTAGCAATTGGTGAAGAATGTCATAGTAAGAAATTACGCCAAAGCAACCTTTTTGAACAAAACAAGTGCCTCTTTTGTGAAAAAGATCTGAAATATCTCAAAGGAAACACAAAAGAATCATTAACAAAATCAACATCAATAATAAATGCAGTGAAAGCCCAAGAAGACTGGACTTTACATGCAAAAATAGGAGGACGCTGTTTGATATCAGCAGAAGCTTGGTACCATAATACCTGTAGAAGAAATTACTTGTGCAAGAAAGTACGAACGATAAATGAAGAGGAAAAGGTTTTAATAACATCATTTGACGTCATATGTAAGCATAAAGATGAACATGTCCTTCAAACCGATGGAGTTGAAACACTTGAACATGTCCATGAGCTGTATCAGGCACATATGAAGGAAAACAATCTGAGTGACTATAACCCCAAATATAAACAGCTCTTCCTGAAGAACAAACTTTCTGTTCGCTATAAAGATGACCTTTGTTGCAATCTACTCTTAATTGCCTTTCATTTGAGTATAATAAAGCTATACTTCAGAAAGATCTAAAAATTAGCGAAAATTTCTGTTTTCCTGAAAAACACAGAATATATGTGAAATAGATGGATGTTGCGAATATAAATATATAAATTATATATAATAATATAAATTTCAAACAATAATATTAATTATTACTTTGGTTTAGAATGAAAAATTTATAATTTTTGCGAAAAAGTCCCGTCATTTTTAAAGCGCCGGCCATCTTGAAAAATTTTTTTTTGCATAAAACTATTCATCAATATACATCTTTCCACCAAATATGAAGAAAATCCGTCAACTAATATTTGAGTTATCTTCCGGACGGACGGACTGACTGACTGACTGACTGACAGACTGACGGACGGACGGACGGACGGATGGACGGAGGGCTTAACTATATCCCTACCGAACTTCGTTCGTTGGGATAATAATGTAGATATCAAGGAAAACTGACATTATTTTTTCACTTTGAACACAAATAAAGAATTCTTAGGAAATTATGCCATGGCCCCTTTCTATTTTTTTTGCAAAGCCAGTTTACCATCAGCAAGTAGAATTCTTTGTATGGCTAAGATAAAGCATCAATTGATTTAATTTTATGAAACATACTCTAAATAAATTTTCTAAAATGTTCTCATCCTGACTGTCATAAAAATATTATGTGTTTTGTGTCAAGGTATGTCTTAGATTTTTAAGAAAATACAATCTTTTTTAACAAATGATTTCTGTTACCATAACAACCAGCAGACCAACAATAGCGAAACTTCCCATGATGGTTAAACATCATAACTATACTAATATCTGTTAATATCAGAATGAATAGTCATATATTTATTCACAAACTTGGGTACAAATAAAGTTTTCTTGGGAAAAGTGCCACGCCCCCTTTTACACATTTTTTGCATAGCCATATTATCATCGGCAAATATAATTAATTGTATGGCTAAAATAAAACATCAATTGATTTAGTATTATCAACCATACTCTAAATAAGTTTTCTAATACGTTTTCATGCTTATTCCTACCAATTCCAGGAAAATATTATGTGCTTTGTCTCAGGGTAGGTCTTAAATTTTTACGAAAATGTGTACTTTTTTAACAAGTGATTTCTGTTACCATAGTAACCAGTTGACCAATATTGATGAAACTGCTCACAATGATAGGACATGATAAGAAGATGGTTACCTGTAAATTTCAAGATGATTGGTTGGATACTCTAGGAATTATACATGGCTTTCCTAGGACCCCTCTTAAAATAACACCAGGGGGGTATAAATCTGCATATTTCCAAAACGCTGAAAAACTAGACACCAATAGTTTCAGAATCGATGTAGAATAATAAACCACAAAAAACCTACATAAAGAGAAATTTGCTACTTTTCAAAACCACTTTTACATTATGCTCATCCAGTAATTGGAGTATTTTTGATCTACTTCTTATGACGAAGATTTCCGAACCTTGTTCGGATTAATCCGGATTTTCTGA